TTGTTACTCTTAGGTAACATCGTTAAGAATATTTAGCTTGTTTTCCTTATTATTTCCTTTATTCGTGCAAGAAAATTAATGATTCTTTTATCATACATTCCCTGTTCGGCGTCCAAGTGAACGAAATTTTGATGCTAATGACAGGATTACAAAGCTAACATAACGTAAATTAGAGTTCTCCAAGAAGAATGAGCTCATTCTTTCTTGAGTTCTTATATTTTTCACTACAAAAATGACCTACTCTATAAAACATGCAATAGGTCATTACTTGTGGTTAACAATTGCTGTTGTTCGTTGATATTTCGTAGTCACCGCTACAACATTCTGTATCGTTTGCTATGAGTTAGTCGCGCGTGGACATGATGAATTAAACTCATTCTCTCCACATTTCAAACACTAAATATCGATTAAAATGTGCGGGCGTCTCATGAATTAGACTTCCGTTTAATTACAGCCTCTAAAAATAACTTTGGTGAAAGTCACAAATCCCGGCCAACGCCCAAAGATTCCCTCTCTGTCTTACTCTCTGTCCTTTTATTTTCTCCTGCGCATGCGAAATGCCGCACGGACGTCAGCATACGTACATTATTTTCACGATATGTGTAAAGAACTTGGCCAATATCCAGCCAACTTGACCTTACGCTTGGTCAATAACACATATTCGTATTCACCAAATCTGTGGAATGTAATTTTCGTGCGTTCTGATTGGCTCCTGTAACTCGGAATATCCTTGGATAGTCAGTGTTTTGGGACGGGATCCAAAATGGCTTCTCGTTTCGCGACAGTTTCAAACGACGAAATTTTAGCGGTAATGAAGCAACTGCGCCAACAAATACATACATACATACTTTATTGAGACTCCCTTTAACAGGGCTTTAATTTAATTCAAAATACGTTCAAAATTATTCAAAATATATTCAAACTTATTTCGTATGAAACACATTATTAAAAAGTGTCCGCTTAAAACTATCAATATCTTAAGTGTTCTTAATATTGTCAGCTAGCCCATTCCATTCCCTTGGACCCCGAAAATAAAATGCCCTTTGTCCCATTGACAGTCTAGTTTACATCGGGGGATCACAAAATTGTTACATCCCCTTGTGCTCTTGTCGTGAACTGCTGATTCAGAACGTTTAATAAAATATTTACCTAAATAATATGGAGCTAAGCCATTTTAAGTCATTAAATAGAACCTTCTCCGTAACATCTAACTATTTAAGAGATCTCCTTCCCTGGGAGATGTGGTCATACTTCCTTAAACCTATACAACTCTGGCAGCAAAATTTTGTACCAACTGCAGTTTCTGTAGGTTACGTTTAGAAGTGTTCCCCCATACTGAGGAACAATAAAAAAGGCTTACTAAAAACAAAGCTATTTATAAGTAATAAAAGCGTTTTCTTATCCAATAAATGTTTAATTCTACCTAACTGTACCAACTGGTTCATGCAGCCAGAGACTGTTTTAAGCAACATGTACATCATAGGTAAGATGTTGATCAATGTATACCCCGAAATCCTTAGCAACTGAAACTGGTGAATACCAATAAAGAAACAAAATTTGGCTAGTCGGCGTTTACTCGGAGGTAGAAAAAATTTTCTTGCTGAATTTGCAACAAAATCATCAAAAAATGATACCCGAAACACTGTCAAATGCAACGTAAACAAACTCTAACTAAGTGACGTCTTATTTTTCACAAAAAGTTTCTTTTTGATTTTTATCCAACTGATTTGGTAAATACTAAAACAACTATCCCCCTCAGGGTCGGTTTATAGCGCCAGATATATACCTCGGCGCTTCGGGAGATAGTTGTATATTAAATGAAGTGATAACAGAAGAAAAGGTCGACCCCACCACTTGGGAGACTTCCCCTTTTTTTCCAACAGTAGAGTGGACGGTTCTTTAACGTCCCCTTCGAGTTCACTGATAAAGGAACGATGAAGGAGACAAGGCCATCGGCTAAACTTCACCTTCCCATGACGCGATCAACTGAACTAAGATCTCTTAAAAATTACAGCCAGAATGATCCTACCAGCCGAGGTATAGACTGGGGCCCTCTCCAGCTTAGCAGCTTCGCAAACCGGCGCTATTTCAACCGAGCTAACCGAGCGCGAGCAGCGGCCTAATCTCAGTAGTTTTTTAACAGTTTTTTTTTATCGAAAACACAGAATTTTTCTTTTTTAAAGAAAAGACAACAACGACGACTGACGACAAAAACAAACAAACAAACAAAAATATGCTATATGTACATGTAACTACTTTTCTCGGACCTAAATTTGCCTTATAACTAATGACTAATAAGGTGGAATCATAAAGTGAGTTTAGTTGTACCATAGTCATATCATTCATTCAAGAGAGTAAAAACCTGGGTCGCCTTTTTCTAAGAGGTATCCCCACAAAATTCCAATATCTGAGGGAAGAGTCCTGCGAACGAGATTGAACGTGGGACTGACTTTTTGCAGCATCGTCATCCTTCCCCGGCGATCCTCAAGTCTTCATTCAAAAACGTTTGCCGATATGTTACTAAAGTAGCCTAACGATAGCACTGACCGTTTACGAACTGAATGAGGCTATTTGTAATCATTCTACGCTGTGAGCGAAAATTTTAGTCAGGATGAAGGGTTGGCTCAATCTCTAGTATGAAACATCTTGATGGTCGCCTGGTTAGCTGTGCCGGATCCAGAAATTGAGATAAGCAGGGGGGGGGCGGTCATGCAGACCCTGAGATAAGGGGGGCGGTCTCTTCGGGCCTCAGTTTGGTCTAAAAATAAGGGGTAGCTCGCCCTCCCGGTCCCCTCCCCCTGGATCCGCCACTGCTTAGTTCTTTTCATCATTCGAGTCTATAGCACAAAATTCTGATACCCTGTTCAGCCAAAGCTGGAACTGCCGGCTCATCACCATCCAAGTCACGAGGCCATTAGAGTAATAAGAGTTATATGGTCATGGGAAAAACATAATTTCGATTTTTATGATGATACATTTTAGCAATGAAAAAATATTTTGTGGTCTACTTCTTCTCCAATAACTTACACGAAATCAAATATTCAGTTGATCCGCTAGATATCTTGTAGTCATTAAGAGTACGACCACTTTCGAGCTCCTCGCCTCCACAAAAAAGGCGTTGTTGTTCGGTTGACGTTCCTTCTTTCTCCATAATTTTTTGCTTCAAAGCGTCGATTGAACAATTCGATTCCATGTTCAATTTTATCGTTTTTCCAGCAGGCATCTTAACGACAATCTGCACGACATTTGGCAGTTTTAGATCCAAGTTTAATGTTGACTCCTTTTGAATTCTATAGTCATTTAGAGTACAATGGTCTTCCAGTTCCCTTCCAGCAAACGTGAGATGTTGTTGTTCTGGCGGAACGCCTTCCTTGTCTCGAATTTTTGCTTTTATGTTCTCAATGGTGTCATTTGCGTCGAATTCTACCGAGAACGTGATGGGATCCTCAGTGAAGGGATTCTCAACATTTATTCGAATGAATATGGTGTCCTGGCGTTTAACCACCAACTGTAAAGTTGATTTGTTCTTAATTTTGTAGTAGCTTAGAGAACGAGTGTTTTCAAGTAGCCTACCACCATAAACGAAACGTTGCTGATCAGGGGGAACACCCACCTTGTCATAAACTTTTGCTTTTACAATCTGGACAGAATCGGCTGATTCAACAGGTAATGAAATGGTCCTTCCAGCCAGGGTTCTAATGGAAATTTCGAAACTATCCCGAAGACGTAAGACCAAGAATATCATAGATTTGTTTTGGATGTTGCAGTCCTTCAAGGAGTTGCCATCAATCAATTCTCTGCCAGAAAACATAAGACGTTGCTGGTCAGTAGGAATCCCTTCAAGGTGGTAAAGCTTTTCCTTCACATCTTCAATGAAATCGCTTTCCTCAACGCCTATTTTAGTGATCTTTCCAGTTAGCATCTTTACGAAGATTTCCATGCCTTCACTAGCAGAACTGCGCTTAGTGTCCTTATTCAGAACAGGTTCTTCGCGAGTTGTCTTTTGATCAGAGGTTTCTTGTTTGCTTCCCTCAGATGCGTCAAGATCCGCAAACCTTCTCACTGCTTGTTCGTCATTTACTGGTATGTATAAAAATAAAGGAGTTAATCAATGATGAGGCAGTGCTAAAGGAGGCTGAACGTTAACGGTTATGTATGTGATCTGTCAGCTTGTGGACGACATCATTGATCTTCTTTTTTTAAGTAATAGTACAGGACCGAGATGTTTGAAAGACGATTAGCGCAAATCCAGGGCTAGTTATCAAGTTACTAAGACAGCTAATGATTTGTTTGTTGTCAGTATCCGAGGATTACCGCAAACCTGGCTTCAGTTGTTCTCCATATAAAAGAAATCTTAACTGTTAAAAGCCCAGTGTCATGAACAAAATACTGGAACACAAATCGTCACATGTTAACTAAAGCTCACTGATAACTGGTTGTGAGTCTTGTGATGGAATAGAGAATTAACTTTAGTGAAAATTCATGTGCTACAAGCAACCCAAAAAACCCACTGAGCGTTTGGCCCAGTAGTAAAGGGGAATTAGTGGACCACACGAGACAAAAAAAAGACATATTTTGACCGTGGTTGGATTCGACCCATCAAGACCTCCGGATTAGTTCCCCCGTCGCTCTACATAGTCGCGGGTCATGGCAGGGGAAAATGATTTGGGGTTCGGGTCCTGAGTGAAAACGACTGGAAAACAAGTACAGGTCACGGATGTTAGAGTCAACAAAATAACCAACTACACTACGAAGCCAGACGATTCTTTGCCTCGTGTGGTCCCCTGATTCCCTTTTCTAGGGCTAACGCTTAGAGAGGTTATGGGTTATTTCAACCCCACAGCCAATTTTCTGTTCCATTGTTTGTTTCACAGAGCTACGCAGCACATTATATAAAGCTTATGAGTCTGTTCACTTGCTTAAAAAGTTAGAACTACATTTAATGTCTGGTTATTTGACTGTGAGTGTGAAACTGATCAAACTCATCAAAGTGTTACTTTTTAAGTACCAGAGTACTTACCTAAACTCGTTAAGAAAACCTCGCGACAAGCTCTGTACTCCTCCTCCACGATCGATGTCTTCAGTTTCAGCTCTGTTAGCCCAAACGCTTTAAGAACGTCTTCTGTCACAAGGTATTTCTGTGCCATTTCATTAAGGTGACCTGTTTTGTAGTCTATCCACAGTTCGTCAAGGATTTGGAGAGAACTGCATTCAACAGTGATAATCAAGCTTCCTGTTTTAACATCAGCAATAATCACTTTGCGTACCTTTTCCATGTACTCTATAAAACCATTGAAATCTTCAGGTGTTGATGGGTCAAGTTTCTGAAAGTACTTTGACGCAATCATATCCAACACTTCTTGGGTAGACTGAGATGTAGTCGTTACTTGTGGTTGACTTGAGGGGACAGGATCTACTAACGGCGCTCCTTGTACCACTCCTGGAAGTTCCCGTACCACTGATGGAGGGCCCTCTCGTACATCCCTTGTAACCAAACCTTGTGGCATATTTGGGCTGACAGGTGTATGTGCTACGGCCATCCCCTGGACCACTCCTTCGGGTTTCTGCGTGTTTAGAGCCTCCTCTTGTGTACCTCTCGCAAAGCCGGTTTGTGGCTGATCTGAGACAAGGGTAATGCCTGTGGATCCCTGGATCACAGCTTCTTGGAACACTCCACTTGGAGAAGAAGGTCCTGCCAACCTCTCACAATTAAGCCAAAGTCGTAGAAGAGCTGTTACGTTGGCTGAAAAAGAAATACTGAGTTAGACTTTCAGGTTCAAGCCAAGAAAAAAAACCAGCCAGGGTAGTCCGCCGAGAATGTAGCCATCTCTTCTCTGATCACGAGTCATCGTTAACGAAAAAAAAGTAAACGGAACAATAAACGATTGAACAAGCGTGTATACTCTTGTCTCGACCACTAGTCATGTCAAATCCATGTTTTTATTTGTCATGTTAACATCAGTGGAAGCTAAAATGATAGTCTCCACAGTTGTTGATCAGTCCAGTATAGATGGAGAATTAGAATAAGAATTATTCTACCTTTGAAATTTTTTTTGTTACTATATTATTGGCCACTAAAGCAGTGAAAGCGTTAAGATGTCAACTTTTAACCACGCCTAAGAGCAGAGCTCCATTAATACTAAAATAACCATTTACTTGATATAACAAACTTTAATCCACAGGGAAATGGTCAATCGACCAATTAATATAGGTTGACCGCTTACTACAAGTTTGACCAAACTAACAGTGAATCAAAACACGAAGACGCGGATAGGGCATTTTTCCTCTTCCGTGTGTTAAAGAGATTCACAGATAAAAAGAGAGGAAATACTTAACTATGCGGAACGTTTAACACAGGTGAAGATAAAAAAAATTTCATTTGGACATAGACAATAATGACCGTGACCTCAAAATAGAGATTAGGTTTAGAGCTGAAGAGTGTATTCGTCTAGGACTTTCTAAAACCGCGTACGTGACATTACACAGGGTGTTAAATAATTCAGTTACCTCTTGACGGTGAGCACAAGCCCGCTGGAGAGTTAAGTCTGTCTATAGACTGATTCACCTTTTCCACTTGAGTTTGTAGATCTTGAACCCTTCTCTCCAAACGGTCAATGCCTTCTTGAGTTACATCCCGCTCTAGATGATCTTTGATGCCTTTGATGTCCTCTGAAACTGCTATTTTTAGTTCCTCTATGCTTTTTTTGACTTCCGTATCACTTTGATACCACATCTCCAATTCAACAACATGCCGCTCATGCTCTACAGTGAGAGGATCTGTTAAAAACTTATCGATAGCTACTTGCCATTCAGTTTTCGTTATAGGGCTGATTTGCCCGGCAATCCGGACTAGAGCGTCGCTAATTTCCTTCCAAAGTGTCAAAAACTCGTCATCAGTTATTGACATGCCTTGGTTCACGTGTCCATAGACTGAGTTTCGGTAATGTTTTATTCTGACCAAATCTGCAGTTAAACTGTGGTCTGTAGTGGCTGGTATCGCATCCCATCCTGTGGTTGGAGGGGCGAGGTTGCATATTGTCCTGAGCAAACGAAATAGCAAGGTGACATCAAAATCTGTCGACCTGCCGTACAGCCCTGGAGAGGGGTAAAGACAGTCCCATTGTGGCTTGGTAAGTTTCGCTGTCTTAAGCTGTGCTTTCGTACTAGAATTGTTCAAGGTTGTTGGAAGTGTACTTGGTGAAATAATCATGTCAAACGTTTCCCTTAAAAGAGTCGTGCCTCCACTTATTAAAAGTCGGGTGAGGCGTATAAAATTTTCTTTTCCATCCGTTGAACAAAGCACGTCATGTGGATCAGCAGCAGCTGCCATTGGCGGAGACTTTTGATGGATACCAAGAGAGAATGATCTAACTTAGCTCATTCTGCCTTGTGGATACACAAACCGTTCTCAGTACTTTTCAGGTTCAGCGTCCCCTGATCCCGAAAGAACAGCCTTCCAGCAAGTCTAATTATCCATCGTTGAACGTCTACATGTGTCTTTAAAAAGAAATCAAAGAAATGCAAATTTCTCGGGTTAGAATTGTTCCTTTGCAGCGTGCGGGACAAAGAAGAACAAATTCGTTCTCTTGCCTTTCTTCTCACAATTTCGTTTTAAAGTGCTGGGGAGCCTGAAAAGGGTATACTACCTCCCGCCCCCGCTTCCCGGGAAGAGATAAACCGGACAGTCACGCAACATTTGTTTTGGTCACAAGACAAGCATTCGTGAAATCTCTTATTTAGGGCCTTTTTTCTAGCCTGCTACCCCGGGCCTGCTACGCAGGCTACCTTTTTGCATGATGGCGAGCCAGCTGGCTCGGCTCCTGTTAAGGTATTGAAGAGCCGAGGCAGCCCGGTTCGGGCTTTGCTCACCTTATGTAAACAGGCCCTAAGAACTCCATTAAGGAAATTTTACGATACGGTAAGTTGAGCTCAAAACCAACAAGCCATAGCCATCAGTTAACTTCATGCGTATCACACAATTTAAAAACTCGAGATCGAAAGCTCTGTTTGAGTAGTTCCGAATTGACTTAAAATGAGGACGAGAGTCAAACTATCTGTTGGAACGGAGAAACTAATCAGCGTCGAGGAGCATTTCATCTGTTTATAGAGCATATTAATTCTACTCCCTGCACTTACACTCTCCTCTTCTCGTTCATTGATAACTGTTCTTTGAGCGGAGCCGTGAAGCTTCGTTTACCGAGTGTCTTTTTATTTGTTATTTACCCAAGCAGTACCTTTTAACAGGCCACTCGAGACGTCATTGCAACAAGACCCAAATGTTGTGTGGAAAAAAATTTCAAAGAACGGCGGAATTTTGCAAATCCAAACCTCTACGATACGGTAAGTTGAGCAAAGGCCGTTTCAATCTTTGCACCTGGTTAAGTCTGATGACCACGTGCACAAGAGTTAGCCTGCGTAGCAGGCGCTTGGAAGTAGCGGGCGAAAGAGAGAACGGGCACGCGCGAGGGAGACACGCAAGGGGTGCGCTTGGAAGTAGCGGGCGAAAGAGAGAACGGGCACGCGCGAGGGAGACACGCAAGGGGTGAGGGAGCTTCCCCTCGCGTGTCTCCTTCTCGCGCGCCCGTTTTTTCTTGTGCCCACTATATCCAAGCGCCTGCTACGCAGGCTACAGGAGAGTGAAAGCCTTGATCGCGGGAAAGAGAATTATGACACCAAAGAAATCCGCGGTTTAATAATCCCCATACTACTTGGCTTAGTAGATTACTAAACATATACTACCTTTAATCATCAATGCACAGGTAGCCTGTTCCAGGCTCCGAGATAGTGGTGAAAAGTCGTTCAGTAAAAAGAAATGAAAAAAACGCGCGGAAGCTTTTCCCGCCGCCACCGCCCCCTTTCCCAAGTCGCGCGCGTCTTATTTTCGCTTTGCTCGTTTAATCCGTCCCCACTATACTATCTGAGAGCCTGGCACAGGCTAATGCACAGGTCACTCGAGACGTCATTGCAACAAGACCCAAATAGCGTGTGTAAGAAAACGCGGTCGTTCTTGTCTTCTTTCAAAGAACGGCGGACTTTTGCAAGTCTAAGCCTATTATAAAACTCATCTCGACTTTTCTGGCGCGAATGAAAACTTCCGTCGACGAGTGCCAGTGGCAGTTCAGAAATAGGCGATGGAATTGCACCACGTCTAGGAATTCCATTAAGGGAATTCTACGATACGGTAAGTTGAGTACAAAAACCAACACACACCGTTTTAATCTTTGCACATTGTTGAGCATGGATTTTCGTGCACTGTCGAATTCCCAATATCACATGATTTAAAACCATAGACACGACACTGAAAGCCTTGATGGTGGGAAAGAGAAATTACCAAATTTCTTCAACTCATCGAGCTTATTTTTTGTTGATTGTTCAGACTATAGGGAAACGGCTTTGTCTATGCTATCAAATAATAGGAAAATCAGCCGGAGCATCCCGGTGTCACAGTGATATGTGTATCCCCGTGATATGCGTATCCCCGTACACATATCCCTAGTGATATGTGTATCCCTCCAATATGGCTGCCAGTGAAATGTCTATCCCCTACCCCCCACCCCTCCAAACAAGTGTCGGTTTTATTTCTGTTGTTTTTGTGAATTTTGCGAATCATCGTCAAAGGGACTACAAAAGATTCAAGATTACGAGCAACACAATCGACAAAAGAGCAACGATTCGAGACAAAATAATCGCAAAGCTGTCTCTGCCGGCGAGTTTACTTCTTCGTGGGCCGCAACGTTGATGTAAACATTCATTCTCGCTCCTCTCCTTATCCAACGTGATTATAATTCATATGTCACTAGTCGCTTTAAACAAGTATGACTGACAAAATTTCATTCAGCAAGGGATAACTCGAAAAGTCAAAAAATAGAGAGGGGATGCACATATCTCTGCGCTGCTCCGGTGATATGTGTATCCCCCCGTGCAAGCACCATAATAATCCACCTTTTAAGTTGTTTGATTCCTGTAAACCTAGTTGTATTACTAGTTGTTCTGATGGATTATATGGACGATATTTCCTTTAGCAAGAGAAGAAAAAACAGGGGATACACATATCTCTGCGCCGGGTCAGTGATATGTGTATCCCTTCTGCGAGCGCCACAATATTCCACCTTTGAATGTTGTTTGATTCCTGTTTTAACCCTAGTTGTGTTACTGGTTATGTTAGATGACATCGACGACATTTCCTTTAGCAAGAGAAGATATTTTCTTATTGTGTCGTGGATGAGCATCAGTGTTTATGGTGTCCCCACCCGGGATACACATATCACTAGGGATATGTGTATGGGGATACACATATCACTGTGACACCGGTTTTCCGTCACGCGGGCATGTGATGGGTTAAATGCCGTAAACCCGAGCGTAAAGTGAGGTAAAGTTGATGCCTCGTCACAAGTTTTTGCCGACAACTTGATCGTAACACAGCCGACGGGAATGATTATCCTGCTAGAGACAACAATCCTCCAAACCGGGTATTCCCTAGAGAAAATACCGTGTTTGAGTTTGTGCTGTCAGAGAAGGGATCACAGACACTCCTTGTAACAATCGATGTACATAAATGGCGGATTTTTTTGGAAAGGCTGTGAGACAATTGTATCAAATCAAAGTCTATCTATTTCGGGCGCACTCGCACTGATTTTATAAGTCTGTCCCATTCCCGTTTATTGGCCATGACAGATGCAAGATCCTGCCTCGAAAGACCGGTGTCATTCTCTAGTTGGTCAATAAATGTTGTTGCTGGGCGCCCCCAGACGCGCCCCCTTGAGCGTCTGCCGTGTTTTGGATCCCAAATAAAAATTTTAAAATCTGCACAATGTTGAGGAGGTCGGAGAAACTGACCATGTACTGCGTGTATTTTTTTAACAATTACAAGGCATTTGAGCGGACCTTTTGAGGCCAGCCATATACAATCGCTTATTCAAATTGGATGGTGGATATGAACTGGCGATGCCAAATTCGTATTCGTCCGGTATTCGTTTTAGGTTTGGTGGTATCGTTCATCTCATGATAATGAATGTTATTGTACTGACTGTACTGTTCGAACGGACTTTGAGTGCCCTGCACTCGGCAATTTTGCTAGTTGTGTTTCATGAAAACTCTGATCTCTTACCTTTGATTTCGATTAGCATCTAGGGACAAAACCTTCCTTGTATTTGCCCTCTGCAAAATCGAGACTGGCGTAGGCGAATGCTAACAACTTCGACTTGCTTGAAAGCGGAAGTCAAGGCATGGGCACACTACCTCGTTCCCAGGGTCTCGCGAGCGAACGGCCGGTTGACCTCTTTAGCTTCAACTTGGCCTTGTTTTCCCAATGCAGGTCATGTGATAACACTCTAGAGAATTGTTTCTTTCAAATTTCGTCTTATTCACGTGCATATCTTCCTGGTTTTCGAGATGGAGCGCTGTCATAGTGATATGGGCATCCCCGCGTTTTGGGCATCCCCATTGCCATATTCCTAGCGTTTTGGGCATCCCGGTGGGGGATGCCCAAAACGCTGATCGCTTCGACATTGCCTAAATTATTTCAGACTGGGGAAAAGTCGGGATTGTCAATCACGAATTTACGGCTGAATAGTGTAGACGCATGTAAGAATTATATCGTCTGACACTTTTCGTCGGGTTTATTGCGCAGAAAAAAAAAAACCCATAGGCAGTAAACGTTGGCTCAAAACATGACGAAACTGAAATAACATCGCTTCGCTGTACAACTTCATTGTTTGCAAAGCTTCAATTTTATTTAATAGAACTGTTTACAAGCGAGCAATGCCGCAATCGCCGGCAGCTGCGATCGTCTGATTCCAAACAGCCAAAAACAAGAATACTAAACAAAGGACCTCACAAAGCAATCAAAAGACAAACATGAATAAAACTGCGTTTTGTGGTGTTGAATTCATAGCATGCATGACATTTGAGGCCTGTAAAACTTAACCCCGCAGCGCTACTTGACAGACGAAAGGCTGTCACACAATTTATACAGAGGCCTCTTGCACCTACGAGACAGAAGAAATCTGTTGCCGTTTTGAGATGTAGTAGGGGCTTCTATTGAATCAATGCAAAACGAGCTCCCTTTGCTAAGGAAAAAGCCTTAGGAACGAATTTGCTGAAACGAAATCAAAACACGCTAAAATGGCTGTCTTTTAAATAGCTTCGAAAGTGTTCAAGGTCGTCGGAACATTCCGAAGTGTTCGAAGAGTTGTCGGAAATCTTCGGAAGCCACCAGGACGCTTTCGGAAATCCTGGTCGTGACACTGGACGAAAATCTTATGCATTTGACTCAGATGAAGTTGGGAGGTATAAAGTAACTTCTGTGATGTCAACTCGCCAATCTGAGTTCTTACTAGCTCTAAATCAATCAAATCAATTAGGCTAACAGGCACAAAGTTGCAAATTTACTAACTTAGGAAACCTGAGATGGTGCTTTTTAGTGAGAATGTCAACGGTGCTATACCTTTCCTCTTATGACTTCCACTAAATTGAATATACAGTTGATCTGTTTGAACGGTTGCAGTCGTCAAGAGTATGACTAGTTTCAAACTTTAGTCAGGGTTTTAATGGAATTCGAAAGTAACTCCCACGCGAACAACAAAGGAAATAGAACATGATAGGACGCTAGGCAGGCTAGGATCGGTTGCCATGCCATAATCGCGCGTGTACTTATTTGCTTTGGATTTACTTCCGGCACAGGATACCCATTTATTTATTTTGAGGCTGCCCTGAGGTCAGCAGACAACTCAATAAAAGGCGGGTCTTCACAAATATGGCTGACATCAAGTGGCTGCTTTCTCGACCTGAATTTCAAATTTAAAACCCTGTTCGCTACTTTGCTTTCGATTCCCTGTTATGGCATAGAAATTTTACAATGACTAGTCTCTACACAGCCGCTACCGATGTATCTCCGACCAATAATTCTCACCGTATTCCACGATGCTTCGACTCAAAACTCGACAACAAGACAGGATCGCTCATAAATTTCGACGCCAGGGATGGAGGGATTCCTATCAACTTTGGATTGAATTGTCTGGGATGGATGGTGAGTTTAAAACTCTCGTCTGTGTTGCTATATTCGATAAACTTCCTTTTTTAGGTTTCTTGTAATCTTCGGTCTATTTGACAACAATGACAACAAACAGGCTAATGGTAGCAAAGCAAATCCCCTTGTACCAGCGGTCTAAATATCTTACGAAGCTGTTGTTGCACGGGTTTGGCTTAAATGTGTTTGAAAAATACTTTCCCTTTAATTGTGATAGAAATTAAAATGAAGAAACGTGAAGAAATATTAGTTATAAGCCGTAAAACATTTCGGACGATCAAGAAACAAGATTCGCATCAGCGCAGGGTAGTTTATTGAAGGGACAATTAAGTTCTTAGTCGATGTTCCTCGATCTCTTTAATGCATTATTTATTTCTGTCGAGATTACAGCGAACATCTTATCTTTGCAAATAGCTGTTCTCCAGACATAATCTATTTTGTTGGAAGAAGCGAAAGGAAAATATATCAGAAGCCGTAGAAAAATTGTAAACGGATACGGCTCAATGAAGTCTTCGCTAGGTGAAAAGTGTATAGCACAAAGCTTCATAATTTTCAAACAAACAATTTCTGATTTATTCTACTTCGTAAGGCAACGTAATTTCCAACACAACAAACTGAATGCGATTACTTCTTACATTAAATTTCTTTCCTCAAATTCACTGAAGTGTTTAGTCTTTTATTGTGAAAACGAGATTCGAGACAGGTGAATGAAATCTACACCAAATTTCATTTATTATGCAAAAATATTTTTCGAATTGATTTAGGTGGCTAGCCGCGCGCGCCAAATTAACGAAAAGCTTGTTCAAATCTCTATTATTTACAGTTAAGAAAATTGATTTTGTTACTGGTAAAGTGTTAAGATATATTATGTTTGTGACACAAAATTCTGCTATTTCAAAATGCGTGTCAAATATCGTGTTTGACATCTTGTGAAAAAAATTACAATAAGACGTCTGCATGGTTGAAAGATTTCTATAATTTGTGGAGAAATAATTTGGAAAAAGATATATTTAACTAATGATTTCTTAGTTCATAGAGCTGAAACAATTGTTTTTATTTTACAGTATTGTGATTATTTTACAATAAATTAATTTAAGGCAGTTTCTTCCTGTTAGTCATAACCAAGCCAATCTAAATGACATTCTAATGCCTAAAAATTGCAACCTTAAATGAGTTCCTGCAGGGTTTAAATCAGTTCACTGCCCTACAGTGTATATCACTTGACATGCTTTTCCTTGGCAAAAGTTTGTTGTTATCTATCACGCTAATGGAGAGCCATGACAAAGAAATAATAAAACTACAGCTCTCATAAGACTGACAAATCTTACTTTTTGTTAACCAAGCTTTTATTTTGCCTCAAAGCAGGAAGGTTGATATTGAGTTTAGCAGGCATTCGTAAATGTGTTATGACACCCTTCCCACTTTTGTGTAAAATATATTTATAGAAATGTTCAAATTAAATCATAGCTATAAAAGTATGTTTCTTTTTATTATCTTGTCAAGAAACAATTATGTAGAATTTTCTAACTTACATGTAAAATTTTTAGGGTAAATACAATAGCCATTACAAAAATGAGTCATCAGACAAAATTGATTAAAGATCCTGATTAATTATTGTCCTGTTTCTTAAATATATTATCTTTTACTTGTAGGTGGTTTCCATAGGCCACTAAGGCATGGTATGAAATAATATTTGCCTCTTTTCTGCAGCTACAATGGTGAAGAAATTACATGGAACTTTACTACCTTGTATTTGAATAATTTCCCTTTACAAGAATATCTTTGTTTCTGAAGTTTTCATGGTCTTTGATTTTTTTTGCCTGAAGTCTACCAATGTGCACTTTTTAGATGTAATGGACAGGTATTCTTTACTGTCAGTTTGCCATCAGTAACCAATATCTGTCTAAATCTGTTATTTTTTTTTGTGATTTTCAGATTATATTCATTTTGTTCTGTGTAATCCGAAGACTTGTATGGGATTATGGAAGACTGGCTCTTATTCAGAAGGAAGACCAAGGGTAGGAGGAATTTTTTTCAATATGACTGTGTGCTTTTAGCACTGACCAAATAACTCCTTGAGGACTTACTCCAATTTGAAATTGGGTGACAAGGAAATCTTGGCTCCTGCTGATCATTGCTAATTAATGTTCGGAGACCCTTTTTGCCTGAACACCCAGACTGCTAGATGCATTGTGTCAACAATGTTGTCTGCTTCTGTTGTTCCTTTCCCAGCAGAATGAAACAGCACTTATCAAGGACTGTGGTGGAGAGGGAGGGGAGTGGGGAAGGGGCGGGGGGTGGGTAACTTATTCTAAAGAGCTTTATATTATGACTTTGTAGTTGGACAGCAAGGTTCTATGGAGATATACAAAGCCCACAGGCTGACACAGAAGATGGGGAGCTTGACAAAACACCGGTGGAGTTTCCTGAAGTAAAGAAGAAGGTAACATCATGTACATGAAATAAAGAAATGATAAATAAATTATGATTTAGAGGTAGCACATCCATGTAATCTACCTGATCCCTGGTTGAATTGGAATTGGAAATGTTTATCTTTGAGGAGAGGGGAAAACCTGAGTACCCGGAGAAAAACCTATCAGAACAAAGGAGACAACCAGCAACAAACTCAACCCACATATGGTGTCAATGTGGGGATTTGATCCTGGGCCACAGAGACAAATGCTCTCATCACTGCGCCATCTCTTGCTCCTTGATACTGTAAAATGCAGGTCATTTAGCCCCAACCCCCCTATTCGGGGACATTCAGTGTAAGCCAACCCAAAACCCAAAATTGTATGAGCAGCCTGGGCTAATGACTGAAATTTTTTAGTCTTTAACAATTATTCCACGAGTGCTCATTGGATACGAGATGGTAGATAGCCATCTCATATTCATGCCAACGAGTGCGAGTGGAATAATTGTTTCATTAGAAAGGCCCACAAAATATTGAGAATTCTTCCTGACTTTATTTGTAAAAAAACCCGATTTCAGCTTGTTTTTAATTTTGAGCAGATGTGTACAGTTACAATATTTGTAGAGCATGGTATAATGACTCATATACCCTGATGGCTGAGCCAATCAGAGCTCTAGAATTGCATTATCCAATGATTCAGTTTTTAATGAAAGTGGATATGTCACAGAACAAGCACCAATGTGCCCAAAAGGTTTGAATTGGTGACCCAATCCTGAAAATTAGTCACGTTACTGTAGTTTTCAATCAAAGGTAAATCTGTGTCATTGATCTGATATTTTAAAGTCCTTGTTTGTTGTAGAAATGACACTTGAATATTGATTTTAATAAGTTACATTTTATGTGCAGGTCCCTTGTAATACCTCTTTGATATTCCTACTCACTGGCATATCTCCTTTAGGGTGAAAACTTCTTATTCTGGACATTCCAACTCTTCAATAACATAAAACCACTTTCTGTTCTTGATAACTCCTGTTAAATTGGATGGCATCTGTTTTTTGCCTTTGGATTTGCCACTGCTTTCAAAATTTAGAGTCTCCTGTAGAAAATATTGCAATTTTATGCTGTGTCGCTTTCTTAGTATTGCTTCACAATGCAGCAAACTTGTATTTGTTGATTTGTCTTTTATTCTTTTTTTGTTTCCACATGAAACCTAGGGCCTGTTTTCATGGATCCTTGTTTTTATAAGAGTCTCTGATGAGCACATTCGACTGAAGTGTGGTATAGATGCATTGCAGTATATAGTTTTTCAGAAGCATCTTCTGGTTTATACAGTCATTATCTTCTGTCTCTCCATTGGTATCATCTTGCCTGTCAACTATTCTGGAACTAATGGTGAGAAACAGTCCAGGGGAAGGGGTGGGGGGGCTACTCCGGATTTCAAGTTACAGGGGTGATTGAAGGAGTTTTTGGGTTTGAAATTTTCAATTGGGGGATTTTTTAAGGAAGGAAAATTTGGGAAGTATTTTTGGAGTGGCTTGTGTTAGATAGGGATTTTGGGGGGTATTCAAAACAATCTGAAGAGCTGTGGCAGTGCCCATGTATCTGTAGTTCTGCGAATAAAGTACAACCAAAACTTCATGTGTTATATTATGAAAGCTTTCTGGAAACTTTTAAGGCTCAGAAATTTGGCGTGAGATTTATTTGGGGTTAATTTTTGATCCAAGGATTTCTTTGGAGTTTGGTTTTTGCCCCCATTTGATAATCCCTGTCACTTGAAATACGGATTACCCCCCCCAACCCCACCTGCTTATTAAACCTTTGTTTTTCGTGGCCTTTATCCTTGTCGTGGATGTTCGAGTTTGCTAGTGATGTTACCACGCAAACCAATACTACCTTTTTTCGTTGTCATTTGTATATAAATGTGTAATAAAATGTTGCAATAAAACGCAAAACAATTCTTGATATGCAACCATTTCGTTGAAAAACAGACAGTTTCATGGAAAACGCGTGACCAAAACACACAGTTACCCATTGAGAGGCTTCACATGCGTGCTGCCCCTCGATTAGCCGGACCACCTACAACTCCCCTAAGCCAACATTTTGCCCTAAGTGAGAAGTAAATGTTGATGTTGGCTTAGAGGAGGGGTAGGTGGGGATGATCCGATTAGCCTCCCACGGACACGTTCTTTCGGCTCGTCACGCGTGTCGTTTTTGGGGAAAGAACGCGTGACGAAGCCCTAAGAATGTTTGCGTGGGGTGGCTACCCCTTGTTAACCACAAGTACTTTTCTTTTGTCCCGTTAGAGCCTGACAATAACTCTTTTGGAGCAACCACAGTGTCCAACTTGAAGCCAACCTCAAGCATCTTCTGGTTACATACAGTATTTGGAATCATTTACTGTGTTATTATGGTGGTCACCCTGCGACATTTCAGCAACCTTTTTGCTGCGGAAAGTAGTGACGATTCTACCAGGACAATTATGATTACAAACATTCCTAAATCTGTGACAGCTGACTTGATAAAGCAACATTTTTGGTAAGGAAACAGTTTTCTGTTAAACCAGCCTGAGGACACGCTCTTAGACTACGAGCAGTTTCCGTTAAGCGAAACGCACAAGACACGAAAATGACCACGCTCGTGACTGAAGGCGCGGGATGGGAGAGGCTGCCGCCCTCCTTTGTCGCGTCTCCGATGCTCGCACTCGCATGCATTCCCAGGGTTCGCAAATTCGCCAAATTTGGCGTATTTTACGCCAAAATTGTTCAGATGACTCCACTGAGGTTACGGAGGGAGTCACTTTGACTCCAAAAATTTTCGGTAACAAACAGGGAGCCACTTCGACTCAAGAAATTTTCGGTAACAAACACAGTTTTATCCTTACCTTTTTCGCAACAAATACAATTTACGTTAATTGTAAACGTTGTAAACCTTAATTAAATCATCGAAATTAAAGAATTATACTCCACGACAAAACAGGAAGAGGGTAAATTACGATCAAAGTTTACTCGATGACCGCCATCATGGATTTGAGCTTTCCAGGTCAGCGGACCGCCACAGCTACTTCGTGTATCCCTCACGATAGTGTATACATGCCGGGACCACGTGCTGGAAAGTCTGATACTTGACTCCAAATATTCCAAAATGACTCCAAAATTTGTGAAGCAGAAGTCACACTGACTCCACTCATCAATAAAATTTGCTAACCCTGCATTCCCCTTACTAAATCTGTAGAAAAAGAGAGACTGCCCACAGTCCAGCCAGGTGTCCATTTGGGATATATCATGAGAAGTCATTTTTGAGTGGTAGGGCGAAAGGAGACGAGGGACCTTTGCTCACCACTCGAAATGGAGAGTTTGCTCACAGGCTTGAATAAAACCCTCTTTCACAGTCTTCTCTGTTATCGTATTTAGAGGGCATCTGGGCACTGGAATGCACTTCGGATCCAGACCGTCACATAAGGGGGAGGGGGTGGGGAGGGCAGTCATCCACACCCCGAAATAATGGGGGGCCCGGTCTCCAAAACAGTTTTTTTCAGCCCTTCGGGCTTCAGTTTGGTCTAAAAATAAAGGAGGGCTGCCCTCCGGGCCCCTCCCCTGGATCCGCGACTGATGTGGGCAAGTTGAAGGGGTAGGATTAGGGAAGGAACCAGGCCCCCTTTGGCCCTGTTTTATTTTCAGTGGAAACTGCTCCCCCCCCCCCCTCACCCCCTTTGACCTGATCGCAGTTTACTCTCACCTCTGTATTCCTCTGCTTTCGAAATCAAAGATGGCGGCAACTGTGCTCGTTTCAAAACTAGCTCGTTCCTAGTCGCTCGCGATCACTTTTTGGAGGATATTTGAGTTAGGCGAAAGGAGTACTTGTGCTCTGCGCTTGTTTCAATTATCCGCTCTTGTAAAGCTGGCCTCGTCTGTATCTGGGTAGAATGTAAGTGACCACCCAACGCATGGTCTTATCTCTGTGTTCGCTGTGTGTACAATGTTACACAGGTATCGTTACGTTAACTTAGAAATTGCATGCAATAAATTCTTTTCCTTTGTCTGGAACCTTCTCTGAAGGGATCAAGAGCTTCCCTGTAGTTAAATTCTCGTCAGCAACCACTGACTCTTTTTTAGGTGGGGCCGCTTTTTGGATGCTTGACTGCGTATTGTTCTTCTTGTAGCGAGGTTTATGGAGAGGCTCAAGTCCTTGAAGTTCAACTTGCCTACAACTTCAGGAAACTCAAAGATGCTCAAAGGAAGGTGATTGCAGCGCAGATGGGCCGTCATCACTGTGAAGAGCTGCTTCAAAAGACGGGAGAACGTCCTTTGACCACCATCAGCACAAACAAGGTGTCGCCATGCCAGTGCTGTGGCGCCAGTCATGTTGACGGAATAGAATATTTCACTGAAGAGGAGGAAGATGGAAAAATGGAGGTGGATCAACAGCGACAGAAGCTGAAGAGTTTGGGGATGGCTTTTGTGACATTTGAAAACGCAAAAGTTGTTCAAAGGTGAGAAGAATTTTTTTCACTTCGGGAAATCGTTTCCGCCCTACCCTACCCCTTGAGGAGCTTTTTCTTGTCTTGGTGCATGCTTTATATCGTGGCTTATCATTCACCTCAGCTTTTTCAGACTTTTTCGTATGTAGATACCCCCTTTTGTTTGTAGCAAATCCTCTAAGTGCCTCAAACGGAGCGTGAAATTTGATCTTTTCGTTTCGCTTTTTATCGTACTGTTTTGTCTTTTTTCGATTGCTGCGGTTGTTTGTACCCTTTCTCAAGTATTTTATTCCAGCATCTGGTTTTCCCGTTGTTTAGCCCACTTTGTGAATTAAAAAGAATATTTAAAAATGTTAAAAGTAGTAGGCCTAATTCATTAACGGTAAAACGCAACACACAGACGAGTGTTTGCACTTGATGGAAACACTGACTGCGAGCCTAGTCGTGGCGTCAAAAAGTCTCCCTATTTTTGCGTTAATAAATGGAGCTAAAAACTCGTCCGTGTTTTATTATACTCACTATAAATGAGGTCTTAATAAAACCTCATTAAAAATTAACGAAAATAATGAGCAAACTCATCTGGAAAAGGCCTTTCAGCTTAAGTGGTAGAAAAGAAAACGTTTTAAATTAACAAGACGCATGTAAGCAGTCACGTATTTTTCAAGTGTTTTGATCTCAGGCTCCCGATTTCTGTGCAATTAAGTTTAGCTTCCCGTCTCTTTTCCCGTGACTATGAACTCGTTTTAATAGGTCATTACCTTTTTTTCATCAAGAATTGGAGAGAATATTGCCTGTTAACTATAAGTAGATCATTTTTTCGGAAAGTAGGAGTTGTAATTTAAGTCTATCTGGCATACAGTACCAAAAGTTTCAAGATTTGAAGTTTCTTTTTCTTGTTTCCATACAAACTATACCGTAGCGTATTCAACGCTCTAGAAAGAAACTATATATCAAAACACGTACCCTACGAGCAGATTGTTCTCCTTTGCATGGCTTTTAGCGTTAACGAAGTCGTTTGCATCCGGCGCTTGTCTGTCGCGTACTTGGACGACTAATTAGACACATTAGAAAGTACCTTTCGTACAAGAGTGCACAAAGACTAATCTTAGTACTGGTAATTTACTGTAACGTTTACGAAGTCGTTCGCATCGGGCGCTTATCTGTCGCGTAGTTGGCAAGAGAGAAACATCTGCTCGCATGGTACAACAAATGACGACAAACTGTGCATTTTTACATCTTAACGGTGGAGATCCTTCTGCCAGACGCAATTGGAGCAGTTTAACGGGCCTTTAACTGTTGTACTAAAACAAGAGAGAATGAGATCTCTCTTGACTAAAACGAGTACACTCTCCTTTAAATTATATCTTTCTATGAGAGTTCTTGCCCGAGACTGCCTTCGGAGTTCGTTTTCAACATTTCATTGTTTAGTATCATCACAATAGGTCAAAATCTCATTCTGGAAAATGCCGAAAAAAACAGCACCGTGCGAAAATAATAATGAAGAAGTTTCATTTGAATGGTGACACCATAGGATTTCATCCACAGACTCAAAAGTTAGAACCACCTTGTACAGCGTAATAAACAGTACCACAGAAAAGTACTGCTCAGTAGCTTTCATTTGAATGGTAACACCATAGGATTTCATCCACAGACTCAAAAGTTAGAACCACCTTGTACAGCGTAATAAACAGTACCACAGAAAAGTACTGCTCAGTAGCTTTCATTTGAATGGTAACACCATAGGATTTCATCCACAGACTCAAAAGTTAGAACCACCTTGTACAGCGTAATAAACAGTACCACAGAAAAGTACTGCTGAGTAACTTTCATTTTATTGGAATGGTTTACATCGTAGGACTTGGTTGACAGACGTAAATTATACATTTACACTCCATGTCCCAATATTGACTGTAGAGATGCCGAATTACGACACTTACTTCAAAATCGGATGTAATTCATTGTCAAGTTCTGCAAATATCAAGTAAAGGCAGTCACGGTATCAGAGTAATACAGGTCACGTTTCACGTTTTTGTTCAGTGTAAATTCGTTTTAAGGAGTAGCATCGTTTTCTGCTGACATTGACACTTCTCAACAACCCTACACTTTTTAAGCACATATTCTCTCCTCCCTTTAGTAGGCATTAAAACGTTCTGAGTCTAATGTATTAAACCACGGTTAAGATTCAGAGCAAACATGGTTTGTCTTCTTTCTATATCGTTCTCTAACTAGACTTCTTGGTTTTTTAAGGACATTGACTATAGATTAGATTTGATGGTAATAGCAATTTCTTAGCATCATCACTCATCGTCACACTATGGACTATAAGCAAAGAATTAACTTGCTAAATACCGGATGCAAGTTGAATTTCTTTATCGCCCTTTTTCCATCTCGTTCAATTCGTCAAATGTTGGCAAATTTTTCATTTGGAGTTGAATTCTAAAGGACAGTATCGCGGAAGTCCAGGAAAAGACACAGAAAGTGGATGTCTCGTGTTTACGTCCTCCTCAAAGCGTAAAATTGGGCACTCTGACGTGCAGTCGAGCAACGAAGGCAAAGAAATGAAGAAAAAAAGCGTTAAGCACGTGTAATTTTGTCGTTGTTTTGTCAATCTAAACCTATTGCTTTTTTGCCGTACTCGTTGGTCAAGCTCCTTAATGTGCTTTATGCGTCGCCTACTTCAGTTTTCATTCGGTGGATGAAATAGCTGCTTCGTTGTTTTGACAATCGCTTCTCTTAGTTCTCGGAGCCGCCAACAATACAGAAACGGATTAATGGCAGAGTTCATGAACGTTAAAGTTGAGGAAAATGTCCATTCGCGATTCCATGTTACGTGCAATGTTCCGAACAGAGTCAGTAAAACAAAGGCTGGAAAATAACAAAATAGCATACAAATGTAAAATATAAACGTACTCATTGCGCTTTTCTTGACCCGTGACAATTGCATTTTGTTTCCAGCGTTTTCATTTTCCACAGCGTTATGCTGAATGTTTATCTGTTGCTGGTGAACGCGAACAATTCGATAAATTTTTGCGTAAGAAACTGTGCAAATGATAATGCAAACAGCCGAAAATAAACCTGCCATTAGGTGAAAAACATACTTTTCCCAAAGGTAAAACCCCAAAGACAGGAACATGACCAACCAGATTGCTCCTACGGTGTATTTGACTCGTGTGTTGGTCACTATGATGGCGTACCGCATGTGATAGTGAAGAGCCAAAACGCGGTCCACACTGATGGCTGTTATTGTTCCAAGAGACACTCCAGTGACAAAAAACCCTATCATTGCTGACAGACGGTATAATATAGGGTTTTGCGTTGTTAAGCTTGTGATTTCGTCCGCAATAAAAAGTGGTTGGGCTAGGAGACCAACGAGAAGATCCGAAAACGCAAGGCTTGTCAGCATGATCATTGAGGTTGAGTGTATGGAAGGCGTTCTGAAGATGGCGAGCAGGACCAGAGCATTGCCTACGATGGATATTAGTATCAACGGAGCATTAAGCACAGAGTTTATGATAACTATAGTTTCCACTCTGCTGTGATCCGAGCGGTTTCTTCCGTTATCACTAAAATTCATGATGTCTCTTCTTAAAAGATCGTCAACGATTTATACACACCTTTGCGTTTGTGGCCGCGCTTATAAACCACTCGTGATATGGTGTGGGAACTTGTTAACTGGGTGAAAGCTCGGTTTAAAATACATCCTGTTTGCCTAGAAATCTTTGAATTATACCAATTGTCAATTTCGCTTTTCGATCAATTAACTATTTCGGTTCTGCCTGGGGTAACTTTGTTTTAACACCTGCGGTTATCATTCTCAGATCCTAGATATTCATGCAAATTGCAAGTTGAACCAGTAGTTTCGAGACTACGATATTAATAGCAGAGTCTTTGTTTCCTTCATCACTCGGGTATTGTCAAAAAATCGTGGCTGTTTTAAGAACTACGACATTATATACAGCTATCCACACGTTCTCTCAAGTCAAGTGACGTTAAACTGACTGTGCGTCGCAGTTCTTCATGCAGACACGATTTTGTGTCAACAGCAAAGTGATGAAATAGACAGAGTCATTTCAAGGTCTCGAAGCTAGCCTAGATGACCCGGTTTTTCAATCTGTTTCCATAAAAGTGCTGCGAATTAAAGAAAGATGCAAATTTTTAATTGGTAGCATAATGGGAAAAAAAAGGACACAAAGAAACAGTAACAAAACAAAAGGAAAACGAAAGAAAGTAAAAAGATCAAATGAACTTTTAAATCACTTTTTTAGTGTCAAAACCACTATCACCATATCTAGGCAAATGAAAGTTGCTAAGTAGGATTAAGTAATTATTTACACAACTCCAGACATATAATTGTGAATAAATCTGATAAAGTAGGCGAAGTATTCACTACTTTATTGTATACCCTGAATATGCATAATACAATGTATATGTTGTAGTTAAATTTTTAATCCAGGTAATTTTTGTTTTTCGTTTGTTTTTTGGTATGGTAATGTATGCTAATGAAGTTGAAACAAAGGAAAAATAAAAATTACCTAGGATAACAAATTAACTACAACATATATGTAAATTCGAATGTGGCCTTGCTTTCAACCAGATTCCTAATCCACTTTCTTGAAAGCAAGAGAAATTAGTAGTTAACTTGTGAGAGCGCGAGATAAATCGTCAAACCGTGAGACTCGTGACAAGCTCATTCGCAATGATAGGTAGAACCGACATCGAAGGATCAAAAAGCAACGTCGCTATGAACTCTTGGCTGTCACAAGCCATGTACGCTTAATTCAAACAAGTTCGCATTTTGACATTGCGTTGTGATGCGTTTTACGCTAAGGAAACGTTGGTCACTTTGAAGAAAATCAAACAAAAGCAAAATATTTGTGCTCTTGTGCGTCCCGTTTTCGCAGCGCCAGTGGCAAATATTGGCTTAAGCATTTTTTACGGCCAAAAAGGTCATGTGACAGGGTCGAACCAACTGTGGGCAAACTGAAAACTTTCAAAGACATTCCCCGATTTCCGCATCGTAAAACCGTACCTCGATCACAATTGCAATCCCGAATCTCGCCCCCCCCCCACTCCGTTTCAAACTAAATTCCCGGATCCCGTCCTTCAAAAAAGCCTTTTGTTTGTAGAAAATCTTCTAAGTGCCTTAAACGGATCGGGAAATTTGATCGTTTCGTCTCACTTTTTATCGTACTGTTTTCTCTTTTTTTGTTTGCTGCGGTTGTTTGTACCCTTTCTTACGTGTTTTATTCCAGCATCTGTTTTTCCTGATGTTTAGCCCATTTTGTGAATTAAAAAAATATATTTTAAAATGTTAGAAGTAGTAGGACTAATTCATTAACAGTAAAACACGACACACAGACGAGTGTTTTGCACTTGATAAAAACACTAACAGCGAGCCTAGTCGTGGCCTCAAAAAGTTTCTCTATGATTTCCTTTCAGTTTTGGATTATTTTGCGTTAAGAAATGGAGCTAAAAACTCATTCGTGTTTTATTATACTCACTATAAATGAGATCTTTTAAAACTAGTGATGGGCTGAGATTTTATCATCGATCATCGGAAATAATCGGATTGACCCACCCGATCGATCATTGATTATAATCGGAAAATCTAGTGATAAAAAACTCAGTCGCCATGTTTGTTGTGGACAACATAAACGAGACAACGAAGAGTGGACCCTGGGAAGCAACTTGAGTTTCAATTCGATCTTTGCAAGCTGTTTATATCTGTGTTGCGTTTATCTACTCTAATTTGTAACCTTTCTGATCGCATTAAGTAGATCTAAAAATGTTCTTTACGGCCAGCTACTAATTTAGAATAATTTCTAAGAGAAACATCAAAATGTGCATGCAACACACAATTTTTTTTATGTTTTTATTGGTCATCAATATTTTTTTTTCATTTGTCCGCGATAATCGATTGTCATCATCCATAATCGATTGTCGCGTCGCTTAAAGATTTTCGATCAATGATCGATTATAATCGATGATCGGCACACCACTATTTAAAACCTCATTAAAAATAGACAAAAGTAAAACGAAATGGCCTTTCAGCTCAAGTGGCAAAAAAGACAACTTTTTAAATTATCAAGACGCATGTAAGTAGTCACGTATTTTTCAAGTTTTTTGATTCATTCAGGCTCCTGACTTCCTTCCAAGTTAGTTTAACTTCCCTCCTCTTTTCTCGTTACTATGAACTCGTTTTATTAGGTTCTTTACTGTTTTTCATTAAGAATTTGAGAGAATATTGCCTGTTAATTATAAGTAGATCATTTTTTCAGAAAGTAAGAGTTTTAATTTAAGTCTATCTGGCATACTGTACAAAACTTTCAAGTTTTGAAGTTTTTTTTTCTTCTTTCCATACAATCTATGCCGAAGCGCATTCAACGCGCTAGAAAAAAACTGTTTATCAAAACACGAACCCTGCGAGCAGATTGTTCTCCTTTGCATGGCTTTTAACGTTTACGAAGTCGTTCGCATCCGGCGCTTGTCTGTCGCCTAGTTTGACGACTAATTAGACGCATTAGAAAGTACCTTTCGTACAAGAGTGCACAAAGACTAATCTTAGCACCGGTAATTGGACGCCTAGATTACTGTAACAGTCTGCTGTACGGCTTACCAGCCAGTTACATTAACAAATTGCAACGGGATCAAAACACTGTCGCAAGGCTCATCTCCAACAACCCTACACTTTTAAGCACATATTCTCTCCTCCCTTTAGCAGGCATTAAAACGTTCTGAGTCTAATGTATTAAACCACGGTTAAGATCCAGAGCAAACATGGGTTGCCTTCTTTCTATACCGTTCTCTAGCTAGACTTCTTGGTTTTCTAGGACATTAACTATAGATTAGATTTGATGGTAATAGTAATTTCTTAGCATCTTCACTCATCGTCACACTATGGACTATAAGCAAAGAATTAACTTGCTAAATACCGGATGCAAGTTGAATTTCTTTATCGCCCTTATTCCATCTCGTTCAATTCGTGAAATGTTGGCAAATTTTTCATTTGAAGTTGAATTCTAAAGGACAGTATCGCGGAAGTCCAGGAAAAGACACAGAAAGTGGATGTCTCGTGTTTACGTCCTCCTCAAAGCGTAAAATTGGGCACTTTGACGTCGTAGTCATACAACGAAGGCAAAGAAATGAAGAAAAAAAGCGTTATGCACGTGCGTTATGTCGTTGTTTTGTCAATCTAAACCTATTGCTTTTTTTGCCGTACTCGTTGGTTAAGCTCCTTAATGTGCTTTATGCGACGCCTACTTCAGTTTTCATTCGGTGGATGAAACAGCTGCTTCGTTGTTTTGACAATCGCTTCTCTAAGTTCTCGGAGGCGCCAACAATACAGAAAAGGATTAATGGCAGAGTTCATGAACGTTAAAGTTGAGGAAAACCTCCATTCGGGTTTCCATGCTACGTGCGATGTTCCGAACAGAGTCATTAAAACAAAAACTGGAAAATAACACAGGAGGATACAAATGTAAAGTACAAACGTACTCATTGCGCTTTTCTTGACTCGCGACAGGTGCATTTTGCTTTCAGCGTTTTTATTTTCCACAGCGTTATGCTGAATGTTTATCAGTTGCTGGTGAACGCGAACAATTCGGTAAATTTTTGCATAAGAAGCTGTGCAAATGATAATGCAAACAGCCGAAAATACACCTGCCATTAAGTAAAAAACATGCTTGTTCCAAAGGTAAAACCCTAAACATAGGAACACGGCCAACCAGATTGCTCCAACGGTGTATTTGACTCGTGTGTTGGTCACTATGATGGCGTATCGCATGTGATAGTGAAGCGCCAAAACGCGGTCCACACTGATGGTTGTTATTGTTCCAAGAGACACTCCAGTGACAAAAAACCCTATCATTGCTGACAGACGGTATAATATAGGGTTTTGCGTTGTTAAGCGTGTGATTTCGTCCGCAATAAAAAGTGGTTGGGCTAGGAGACCAACGAGAAGATCCGAAAACGCAAGGCTTGTCAGCATAATCATTGAGGTTGAGTGTATGGAAGGCGTTCTGAAGATGGCGAGCAGGACCAGAGCATTGCCTACGATGGATATTAGTATCAACGGAGCATTAAGCACAGAGTTTATGATAACTATAGTTTTCGCTCCGCTGTTATCGGAACTGTTTCTTTCGTTATCTCTAAAATTCATGATGCCTCTCCGTAAAAGATCGTCAACAATTTATACACACCTTTGCGTTTGTGGCCCCGCTTATAAACCACTCGTGATATGGTGTGGGAACTTATTAACGGGATGAAAGCTTGGTTTAAACTGATGCATCCTGTCTGCGTAGAAATTATTGAATTATACCAACTGCCAATCATGTTCGCTTTGCGATCAAATACCTGTTTCAGTTCTGCCTGGGGTAACTTTGTTTCAACACCTGCGGTTATAATTTCTCAGATCGTATGTTCTTATGCAAATTGCAAGTTGAACCACTAGTCTCGAGACTTCGATATAAATAGCGGAGCCTTTGTTTCCTTGATCACTCGGGTGTTGTCTAAAAATCGCGCCTGTATCATCATAGGCGTACGGGAACTTTTTGGCCAGGGGGGGCGGTAAACCATTTGCCCAAAAAAATCTCGCAAGTTGCCCAAATGTTTACGAAAGAGTCGAAAAGAAATGAGGGCCATATTGCAACAACATAGGCCGTCCTGGCATATGAAGGTGGCTCGATACGGTTTTTCAGGGTCAATACCAAGTCTGAGCATAAACTACGTCGCCATAAACAAACATTTGGAAAAAGTGCGACCACAGTTGTATTAAGATGAAAAATGGGCATCATCAGGGTTGCAATGACATCGGAGTTGTCATAACAACGAAATGACGCCCCCCCATTACCTGTTTTACTTTAGCAGTGATTCCCGACACGAAATGCTTTTGACCTGCAATCTCACCTCATAGTAGTTTTAATCTTTTTAAAAACATGTGTGAAAGATCGTGGAGATAGCTCTGCTTGATTGTTAGAATCGAAAGAAAAATTTGATTAGTATGTATCAAGACACTCTTGTTAGCGGTTTTGTAAACATTTCGGTCTACTTTAACAAATTAGCGAATAATTTTAAACCGCTCGATAGATTTTTTAAAAACTGGCTTTGCCCAAATTTCTCTCGCTGCCCAAAAAATCTGAGTTGCCCAAAATTTGGGGGGGCTGTAGCCCCCCTCGCCCCCCCGGCCCGTACGCCTATGTGTATCATGAACTGCGACATTGTATTGATTGTATACAGCTAACCACACTGTTTCTCAAGTCAGGTGACGTTAAACTGATGTCATCACGTCGCAGTTCTTCATGCAGGCACGATTTTATGACAATAGCAAAGCAAAGAAATAAACAGTCATTTCTACGTCTCGAAACTCGCCCAGACGACGCCGGTTTTAAATTTGTTTCACTAAAAGTGCTGCAATTTAAAGTTAAAGAAAGATGCAAATTTTTAATTGGTAGCATATTGAAAAAAAAAAAAAACCACTACTTAACAGAAACAAATCAAAACCAAAACCAAAGAAGGTAAAAAAATCAAATGAACTTTTAAATCACTTTTTTAGTGTCAAAACCACTGTTACCATATCTAGACAAATGAAAGTTGCTAAGTAGGATTAAATAACTATTTACGCAACTGAGGACACGTAATTGTGAATAAAGCTGATAAAGTAGGCGAAGTATCCACTACTTTGTTGTATACCCTGAATATGCACAATACAGTGTATATGTAAAGTCAGATGTGGCCTTGCTTTAAAACAGATTCCTAATCCACTTTCTTGAAAGCATGAGAGATTAGTTGTTAACTTGTGAGAGTGTGAGATAGGTCGTTACTCGCGACAAAGTCGTGAGCATTGGTAAGTCTGAAATAGGCCATTTATTCTGCTTCGCACTAGGAAGAACCGACATCGAAGGATCAAAAAGCAACGTCGCTGTGAACTCTTGGCCGTCACAAGCCATGTATGCTTAATTCAAACAAGTTCGTATTTTTACTTTGCGTTATGATGCATTTGACGCTAAGGAAACGTTTTTCACTTTGAAGAAGATCAAACAAAAACAAAATATTTGCGCTCTTTTGCGTCCTGTTCTGTTTTGATTGTTTTATTTATGCACTTGCCACCGATATTTCCCCTGATCCCCGTCTCGACCCGTAATCCCGATGATGAATTCTTATCAGCTTATTTTGGTACCAAAAGTGCCTCGCAGAGGATCAAGACTCCCTCATCTTCGGAGCACCAGTGGCAAATATTGGGATAAATACTTGTTATGGCCAAAAAGGTCATGAGACAGGGTCGAACCAACTGTGGGCAAACTATGAAACGTTAAAAAGACTTTCCCCGATTTCCGCATCCTAAAACCGTACCTCGATCAAAATTTCAATGCCGAATCGCGCCTCCGCGCCTCCGCGCCTCCTCACCCCCCTCCCTTTGACGCTAAATTCCCGAATCCGGTCCTTCAAATAAGCCTTTTGTTTGTAGAAAATCCTCTTAGTGCCTTAAACGGAGCGTGGAATTTGATCGTTTCGTTTCACTTTTTATCGTACTGTTTTGTCTTTTTTTGTTTGTTGCCTTCGTTTGTGCCCTTTCTCATGTGTTTTATTCCAGCCCACTTTGTGAATTAAAAAAATATTTTAAAATGTTAAAAGTAGTAGGACTAATTCATTAACGGTAAAACATAACCCACAGACGAGTGTTTTGCACTTGATAAAAACACTAACAGCGAGCCTAGTCGTGGCCTCAAAAAGTTTCCCTATAATTTCCTTTCAGTTTTAGATTGTTTTTGCGTTTCGAAATGGAGCTAAAAACTCATCCGTGTTTTATTATACTCACTATAAATGAGATCTTTTAAAACTAGTGATGGGCTGAGATTTTATCATCGATCATCGGAAATAATCGGATTGACCCACCCGATCGATCATCGATTATAATCGGAAAATCTAGTGATAAAAAAACTCAGTCGCCATGTTTGTTGTGGACAACATAAACGAGACAACGAAGAGTGGACCCTGGGAACCAACTTGAGTTTCACTTCGATATTTGCAAGCTGTTTATATCTGTTTTGCTTTCATCTCCCCTTGTAACCTTTCTGATTGCAGTAAGTAGATCTAAAAATGTTCTTTACTGCCAGCTACTAATTTAGAATAATTTCTAAGAGAACCATCAAAATGTGCATTAAAATGTGCATGCAACACACAGTATTTTTTGTGTTTTTATTTGTCATCAATAATTTTTTTTCATTTGTCCGCGATAATCGATTGTCATCATCCATAATCGATTGTCGCGTCGCTTAAAGATTTTCGATCAATGATCGATTATAATCGATGATCGGCACACCACTATTTAAAACCTCATTAAAAATAGACAAAAGTAAAACGAAATGGCCTTTCAGCTCAAGTGGCAAAAAAGACAACTTTTTAAATTATCACGACGCATGTAAGCAGTCACTTATTTTCAAGTGTTTTTTTTTTTTATTTCAGGCTCCTGATTTCCCTTCAGTTTAGTTTAACTTCCCTCCTCCTTTCTCGTTACTTTTAATTCGTTTTATTAGGTTTACTGTTTTTCATTAAGAATTGGAGAGAATATTGCCAGTTAATTATAAGTGGATCATTTTTTCATAAAGCAGGAGTTGTAATTTAAGTCTATCTGGCATACAGTACAAAACTTTCAAATTTTGAAGTTTTTTTTTCTTCTTTCCATACAAACTATGCCGAGGCGTATTCAACGCGCTAGAAAGAAACTAAATATCAGAACATGTACCCTTCGAGCAGATTGTTCTCCTTTGCATGGCTTTTAACGTTTACGAAGTCGTTCGTATCCGGCGCTTATCTTTCGCGTAGTTGACAAGAGAGAAACATCTGCTCGCAGGATACAACAAATCGCTGGGTGGGGAGTTGGAACCCTTAACTTTTACCAGAGCTAGTTCAGCTGAAACCCATACTGCTAGCTGTGTACCTAGGCTAGATAAAATCTTCAACCAACTGAACTGAAAAATGATTCGAGCCAAACGGTCTGTATCCTAGAGTAAACTGTTTGAAAACCATACCCTTCACAGCGGCACATACCTATATAGCCCATATATGGCAGTACCCCCCCGGGAACAAATGACGACAAAGTGTACATTTTTACATCTTGACCGTAGAGATCCTTCGGCCAGACGCAATTGGAGCAGTTTAACGGGCCTTTAACTATTGTACTAAAACAAGAGTGAATGAGATCTCTCTTGACAAAAACAAGTATTCTCTCCTTTAAATTATATCTTTTTATGAGAGTTCTTGCCCGAGACTGCCTTCGGAGTTCGTTTTCAACATTTCATTCTTTAGTATCATCACAATAGGTCTAAATCTCATTATGGAAAATGCCGAAAAAAAACAGCACCGTGCGAAAATAATAATCAAGTTTCATTTGAATGGTCACACCATAGGATTTCGTTCACGTAGAGAATAGTTAGAACCACCTTGTATGATATAATAAACAGTACCACAGGAAAGAACTGCTCAGTAGCTTTCATTTGAATGGTAACACCATAGAATTTCATCCACAGACTCAAAAGTTAGAACCACCTTGTACAGCATAATAAACAATACCACAGGAAAGTACTGATCAGAAGCTTTCATTTGAATGGTTACATCGTAGGACTTGGTTAACAGACACAATTTATACATTTACACTCCATGTCCCAGTATTGACCTGTAGAGGTGCCGGATTACGACACGTACTTCAAAATCAGATATAATACATTGTCAAGTTCTACAAATATGAGAAATGTGATATTAAGTAAAGGCAGTCACGGTATCTGAGTAATACGGGTCAAGTTTCACGTTTTTGTGTAGTGTAAATTCGTTTTAAGGAGTAGCATCGTTTTCTTCTGACATTGACACGTCTCAAAAGCCTTACCCTTTTAAGCAAATATTCTATCCTCTTTTTAGCAGACATTAAGACGTTCTGAGTCTAATGTACACTGAAGCACGTTTAAGATCCAGAGCAAACATGGGTTGTCTTCCATACCGTTCTCTAAGTAGACTTCTTGGTTTTTAGGACACTGACTACAGCCGGATTAAATTTGATGTAATAGCACTGAATTTCTTAGCATCATCACTCATCGTCATACTATACAAGCAAAGAGTTTTCCTGCTAAAAACCGGTTGCAAGGTGAATTTCTTTCGAAATATCCTTTTTGACACTATCCTGTCCCAAATACTTTATATGAATTTACATCATGAGAGAGCTTAAGGAACAATGACGGCGACGGCTACGAAATTGCGCGCGAATTTTGTAAATTTACTTGCGTGCGTCTAACTCGCTTCCGATTGGTTGAAAAACAATCAGCTACTGTCAGAACTCACACATGCGCATTATCGTGAACCAGTCCCTTTAAGGTGATGTTACACGAGACGGTTTTAGCGCAACACAGAGTTGCAACATTGTTGCAACATTGGTGCGACATTGTTTCGAATGGTTACAACATTGTTCCAACATTGCAACGCTGTGTTGCGCTAAAAGTCGTCGTTGCGAATAATTGAATTCGTCAAATGTTGGCGAATTTTTCAGTCGGAGTTGAATTCTAAAGGACAGCATCGAAGTCCAGGAAAATGCAAAGAAAGTGGATCTCTTGTGTTCACCTCCTTGTCAAAACGTAAAATTAGGCACTTTGACGTCGCGGTCGTGCAACGACGGCAAAGAAATGAACAAAAAAGCGTGATGCACGTGCAAAGTTGTCGTTTTTTAATCTAAACCTATTGCTGTTTTTCCGTTCTCGTTGACGTCGCTGTCGTCAAAAGCTCCTTAATATGCTTTATGCGACGCCTACTTTCAGTTTTCATTCGGTGGGTGAAATAGCTGCTTCGTTGTTTTGACAATCGCTTCTCTAAGTTCTCGGAGCCGCCAACAATACAGAAAAGGATTAATGGCAGAGTTCATGAACGGTAAAGTTGAGGAAAATGTCCATTCGGGTTTCCATGCTACGTGCAATGTTCCGAACAGAGTCAGTAAAACAAACCCAGGAAAATAACAAAGAAGCATACAAATGTAAAATACAAACGTACTCATTGCGCTTTTCTTGACCCGTGACAGTTGCATTTTGTTTCCATCGTTTTCATTTTCCACAGCGTTATGCTGAATGTTTATCAGTTGCTGGTGAACGCGAACAATTCGATAAATTTTTGCGTAAGAAACTGTGCAAATGATAATGCAAACAGCCGAAAATACACCTGCCATTAGGTGAAAAACATACTTGTCCCAAAGGTAAAACCCGAAAGACAGGAACATGACTAACCAGATTGCTCCTACGGTGTATTTGACTCGTGTGTTGGTCACTATGATGGCGTATCGCATGTGATAGTGAAGAGCCAAAACGCGATCCACACTGATAGCTGTTATTGTTCCAATAGACACTCCAACGACAAAAAAGCCTATCATTGCTGATAGACGGTATAATATAGGGTTTTGCGTTGTTAAGCTTGTGATTTCGTCCGCAATAAAAAGTGGTTGGGCTAGGAGACCAACGAGAAGATCCGAAAACGCAAGGCTTACCAGCATGATCATTGAGGTTGAGTGTATGGAGGGCGTTCTGAAGATGGCGAGCAAGACCAGAGCATTGCCTACGATGGATATTATTATCAACGGAGCATTAAGCACAGAGTTTGTGATAACTATAGTTTCCGTTCTGCTGTGATCCGAATTGTTTCTTCCTTTATCACTCAAATTCATGATGTCTCTCCTTAAAAGATCGTTAACGATTTGTATACACGTTTGCGTTTGTGGCCCCGCTTATAAACCACTCGTGATATGGTGTGGGAACTTATTAACGGGATGAAAGCTCGGTTTAAAATGCATCCTGTCTGCCTAGAAATTATTATACCAATTGTCAATTTCGCTTTTCGATCAAATAACTATTTCAGTTCTGCCTGGGATAACTTTGTTTCAACACCTGCGGTTATAATTAATTTTCTCAGATCCTACATATTCATGCAAATTGCAAGTTGAACCACTAGTTTCGATACTTCCATATAAATAGCGGAGTCTTTGTTTCCTTCATCACTCGGCTGTTGTCAAAATATCGCGCTTGTATCATGAACTGCGACATTGTACTGATTGTATACAGCTAACCACACTGTTTCTCAAGTCAGGTGACGTTAAACTGATGACTTCACGTCGCAGTTCTTCATGCAGACACGATTTTATGACAATAGCAAAGTAAAGGAATAAACAGTCATTTCTACGTCTCGAAACTAACCCCGATGACGCGGTTTTTAAATTTGTTTCACTAAAAGTGCTGCAATTTAAAATTAAAGAAAGATGCAAATTTTTAATTGGTAGCATGATGGAAAAAAAAACACTAGCAAACAGAAACAAAACAAAACCAAAACCAAAGAAGGTAAAAAGATCAAATGAACTTTTAAATCACTTTTTAGCGTCAAAACCAATGTTACCATATCTAGACAAATGAAAGTTGCTAAGTAGGATTAAATAACTATTTACACAACTCAGGACACATAATTGTGAATAAAGTTGACAAAGTAGGCGAAGTATTCACTACTTTATTGTATACCCTGAATATGCATAATACAGTGTATATGTAAACTCAGATGTAGAATTGCTTTAAAACAGATTCCTAATCCACTTTCTTGAAAGCGTGAGAGATTAGTTGTCAACTCGGAGAGTTTAAGATAGGTCGTTACTCGTGACAAAGTCGTGAGACTTGGTAAGTCTAAAAGTAGGCCATTTATTCTGCTTCGCAATAGGAAGAACCGACATCGAAGGATCAAAAAGCAACGTCGCTGTGAACTCTTGGCCGTCACAAGCCATGTATGCTTAATTCAAACAAGTTCGTATTTTTACTTTGCGTTATGATGCGTTTGACGCTAAGGAAATGTTTTTCACTTTGAAGAAAATCAAACAAAAACAAAATATTTGCGCTCTTTTGCGTCCTTTTCCTTTTTGATTGTTATATTTATGCACTTGCCACCGATATTTTCCCTGACTCCCGTCTCGACCCGTAATCCCGATGATGAATTCTTATCAGCTTATTTTGGTACCAAAAGTGCCTCGCAGAGGATCAAGACTCCCTCATCTTCGGAGCACCAGTGGCAAATATTGGGATAAATACTTGTTATGGCCAAAAAGGTCATGAGACAGGGTCGAACCAACTGTGGGCAAACTATGAAACGTTAAAAAGACTTTCCCCGACTTCCGCATCCTAAAACCGTACCCGAATCCCGAATCGCCCCCCACCCCCTCCCTTTGACGCTAAATTCCCGGATCCCGTCCTTCAAATAAGCCTTTTGTTTGTAGAAAATCGTCTAAGTACCCTAAACGGAGCGTGGAATTTGATCGTTTCGTTTCACTTCATTTTATCGTTCTGCTTTGTCTTTTTCTGTTTTTCTGCGGTTGTTTGTGCCCTTTCTCACGTGTTTTATTGCAGCATCTGATTTTCCTGATGTTTAGCCCACTTTGTGAATTAAAAAAATATATTTTAAAATGTTAAAAGTAGTGGGACTAATTCATTAACAGTATAACACGACACACAGACGAGTGTTTTGCAGTTGATAAAAACACTAACAGCGAGCCCAGTCGTGACCTCAAAAAGTTTCCCTATAATTTCCTTTCAGTTTTGGATTATTTTGCGTTAAGAAATGGAGCTAAAAACTCGTCCGTGTTTTATTATACTCACTATATATGAGATCTTTCAAAACTAGTGATGGGCTGAGATTTTATCATCGATCATCGGAAATAATCGGATTGACCCACCCGATCGATCATCGATTATAATCGGAAAATCTATTGATAAAAAATTCAGCCGCCATGTTTGTTGTGGACAACATGAAAACGAGACAACGAAGAGTGGACCCTGGGAACCAACTTGAGTTTCACTTCGATATTTGCAAGCTGTTTATATTTGTTTTGCTTTCATCTCCCCTTGTAACCTTTCTGATCGCAGTAAGTAGATCTAAAAATGTTCTTTACGGCCAGCTACTAATTTAGAATAATTTCTAAGAGAACCATCAAAATGTGCATTAAAATGTGCATGCAACACACAGTATTTTTTATGTTTTTATTGGTCATCAATAATTTTTTTCATTTGTCCGCGATAATCGATTGTCATCACCTATAATCGATTGTCGCGTCGCTTAAAGATTTTCGATCAATGATCGATTATAATCGATGATCGGCACACCACTATTTAAAACCTCATTAAAAATAGACGAAAGTAAAACGAAATGGCCTTTCAGCTCAAGTGGCAAAAAAGACAACTTTTTAAATTATCAAGACGCATGTAAGCAGTCACTTATTTTCAAGTTTTTTTTTTATTTCAGGCTCCTGATTTCCCTTCAATTTAGTTTAACTTCCCTCCTCCTTTCTCGTTACTTTTAACTCGTTTTATTAGGTTTACTGTTTTTCATTAAGAATTGGAGAGAATATTGCCAGTTAATTATAAGTAGATCATTCTTTCATAAAGCAGGAGTTGTAATTTAAGTCTATCTGGCATACAGTACAAAACTTTCAAATTTTGAACTTTTTTTTTCTTCTTTCCATACAAACTATGCCGAGGCGTATTCAACGCGCTAGAAAGAAATTATATATCAGAACATGTACCCTTCGAGCAGATTGTTCTCCTTTGCATGGCTTTTAACGTTTACGAAGTCGTTCGTATCCGGCGCTTATCTGTCGCGTAGTTGGCAAGAGAGAAGCATCTGCTCACAGGATACAACAAATGACGACAAAGTGTACTTTTTTACATCTTGACCGTAGAGATCCTTCGGCCAGACGCAATTGGAGCAGTTTAACGGGCCTTTAACTATTGTACTAAAACAAGAGAGAATGAGATCTCTCTTGACTAAAAGAAGTACTCTCTCCTTTAAATTATATCTTTTTATGAGAGTTCTTGCCCGAGACTGCCTTCGGAGTTCGTTTTCAACATTTCGTTCTTTAGTATCATCACAATAGGTCTAAATCTCATTATGGAAAATGCCGAAAAAAAAAACAGCACCGTGCGAAAATAATAATGAAGTTTCATTTGAATGAACACACCATAGGATTTCGTTCACATAGAGAATAGTTAGAACCACCTTGTATGTATATAATAAACAGTACCACAGGAAAGAACTGCTCAGTAGCTTTCATTTGAATGGTAACACCATAGAATTTCATCTACAGACTCAAAGGTTAGAACCACCTTGTACAGCATAATAAACAATACCACAGGAAAGTACTGATCAGTAGCTTTCATTTGAATGGTTACATCGTAGGACTTGGTTAACAGACACAATTTATACATTTACACTCCATGTCCCAATATTGACCTGTAGAGGTGCCGGATTACGACACCTACTTCAAAATCAGATATAAATCAATTGTACTAATATTGACTGTAGAGGTGCCGGATTACGACACGTACTTCAAAATCAGTTCTCAAACTTATTAATAATTCATTAAGAAAATACAAAGGAAATTAATGTTTAATGAGTGTTTAGAAATCGGATGAAACACTGCTTAGTATTTGCATCGTTAATTTCTCCTTCAATAATGATTTTGTTTGAGAAGAAATATCAAACATTCGACACAGTGTTTCATCACCAGATGAAACACCTCGAAGTTCGTCAAAAATACTCCGCTGCGCGTCGTATTTTCAACTCTCTTCTCGGTGTTTCATCTGGTGATGAAACACTGCATCTCATGTTTGATATATTACATATAATACATCGTCAAGTTCTACAAATATGAGAAATGTGATATTAAGTAAAGGCAGTCACGGTATCTGAGTAATACAGGTCACGTTTCACGTTTTTGTTTAGTGTAAATTCGTTTTTTAAAAGGACCAGCATCGTGTTCTGCTGACATTGACACTTCTCAAGAACCTTACCCTTTTAAGCAAATATTCTTTTCTCGCTTTAACAGACATTAAGACGTGCTGAGTCTAATGTATATTAAAGCACGTTTAAGATCCAGAGCATGGGTTGTCTTCCATACCGTTCTCTAAGTAGACTTCTTGATTTTTTAGGACACTGACTATAGCCGGATTAAATTTGATGTAATAGCACTGAATTTCTTAGCATCATCACTCATCGTCATACTATACAAGCAAAGAGTTTTCTTGCTAAAAACCGGATGCAAGTTGAATTTCTTTCGAAATATCCTTTTTGACACTATCCTGTCCCAAATACTTTATATGAATTTACATCATTAGAGACCTTAAGCAGCAATGACGGCGACGGCTACGAAATTGCGCGCGAATTTTGTAAATTTACTTGCGTGCATCTAACTCGCTTCCGATTGGTTGAAAAACAATCAGCTACTGTCAGAACTCACACATGCGCATTATCGTGAACCAGTCCCTTTAAGGTGATGTTACACGAGACGATTTTAGCGCAACACAGAGTTGCAACATTGTTGCAACATTGTTGCAACATTGGTGCGACATTGTTTCGAATGGTTACAACATTGTTCCAACATTGCAACGCTGTGTTGCGCTAAAAGTCGTCGTTGCGAATAATTGAATTCGTCAAATGTTGGCGAATTTTTCAGTCGGAGTTGAATTCTAAATGACTGTATCGAAGTCCAGGAAAATGCAAAGAAAGTGGATCTCTTGTGTTCACCTCCTTGTCAAAACGTAAAATTAGGTACTTTGACGTCGCGGTCGTGCAACGACGGCAAAGAAATGAACAAAAAAGCGTGATGCACGTGCAAAGTTGTCCTTTTTTAATCTAAACCTATTGCTTTTTTGCCGTACTTGTTGGTTAAGCTCCTTAATATGCTTTATGCGTCGCCTACTTCAGTTTTCATTCGGTCGGTGAAATAGCTGCTTCGTTGTTTTGACAATCGCTTCTCTAAGTTGTCGGAGCCGCCAACAATACAGAAAAGGATTAATGGCAGAGTTCATGAACGTTAAAGTTGAGGAAAATGTCCATTCGGGTTTCCATGCTACGTGCAATGTTCCGAACAGAGTCAGTAAAACAAACCCAGGAAAATAACAAAGAAGCATACAAATGTAAAATACAAACGTACTCATTGCGCTTTTCTTGACCCGTGACAGTTGCATTTTGTTTCCATCGTTTTCATTTTCCACAGCGTTATGCTGAATGTTTATCTGTTGCTGGTGAACGCGAACAATTCGATAAATTTTTGCGTAAGAAACTGTGCAAATGATAATGCAAACAGCCGAAAATACACCTGCTATTAGGTGAAAAACATACTTGTCGCAAAGGTAAAACCCCAAAGACAGGAACATGACTAACCAGATTGCTCCTACGGTGTATTTGACTCGTGTGTTGGTCACTATGATGGCGTATCGCATGTGATAGTGAAGAGCCAAAACGCGATCCACACTGATAGCTGTTATTGTTCCAATAGACACTCCAACGACAAAAAAGCCTATCATTGCTGATAGACGGTATAATATAGGGTTTTGCGTTGTTAAGCTTGTGATTTCGTCCGCAATAAAAAGTGGTTGGGCTAGGAGACCAACGAGAAGATCCGAAAACGCAAGGCTTGCCAGCATGATCATTGAGGTTGAGTGTATGGAGGGCGTTCTGAAGATGGCGAGCAAGACCAGAGCATTGCCTACGATGGATATTATTATCAACGGAGCATTAAGCACAGAGTTTGTGATAACTATAATTTCCGTTCTGCTGTGATCCGAATTGTTTCTTCCTTTATCACTCAAATTCATGATGTCTCTCCTTAAAAGATCGTTAACGATTTGTATACACCTTTGCGTTTGTGGCCCCACTTATAAACCACTCGTGATATGGTGTGGGAACTTATTAACGGGATGAAAGCTCGGTTTAAAATGCATCCTGTCTGCCTAGAAATTATTATACCAATTGTCAATTTCGCTTTTCGATCAAATAACTATTTCAGTTCTGCCTGGGATAACTTTGTTTCAACACCTGCGGTTATAATTAATTTTCTCAGATCCTACATATTCATGCAAATTGCAAGTTGAACCACTAGTTTCGATACTTCCATATAAATAGCGGAGTCTTTGTTTCCTTCATCACTCGGCTGTTGTCAAAAAATCGCGCTTGTATCATGAACTGCGACATTGTACTGATTGTATACAGCTAACCACACTGTTTCTCAAGTCAGGTGACGTTAAACTGATGACTTCACGTCGCAGTTCTTCATGCAGACACGATTTTATGACAATAGCAAAGTAAAGAAATAAACAGTCATTTCTACGTCTCGAAACTAACCCCGATGACGCGGTTTTTAAATTTGTTTCACTAAAAGAGCTGCAATTTAAAATTAAAGAAAGATGCAAATTTTTAATTGGTAGCATAATGGAAAAAAAACCACTAGCAGACAGAACAAATCAAAACCAAAACCAAAGAAGGTAAAAAAATCAAATGAACTTTTAAATCACTTTTTTAGTGTCAAAACCATTGTTACCATATCTAGACAAATGAAAGTTGCTAAGTAGGATTAAATAACTATTTACACAACTCAGGACACATAATTGTGAATAAGGTTGATAAAGTAGGCGAAGTATTCACTACTTTATCGTATACCCTGAATATACATAAGACAGTGTATATGTAAACTCAGATGTGGCCTTGCTTTAAAACAGATTCCTAATCCACTTTCTTGAAAGCGTGAGAGATTAGTTGTCAACTCGGAGAATTTAAGATAGGTCGTTACTCGTGACAAAGTCGTGAGACTTGGTAAGTCTGAAACTAGGCCATTTATTCTGCTTCGCAATAGGAGGAACCGACATCGAAGGATCGAAAAGCAACGTCGCTATGAACTCTTGGCTGTCACAAGCCATGTATGCTTAATTCAAACAAGTTCGTATTTTGACTTTGCGTTATGATGCGTTTAACGCTAAGGAAATGTTTTTCACTGTGAAGAAAATCAAACAAAAACAAAATATTTGCGCTCTTTTGCGTCCTGTTCTGTTTTGCTTGTTTTATTTATGCACTTGCCACCGATATTTCCCCTGATCCCCGTCTCGACCCGTAATCCCGACGATGAGTTCTTATCAGCTTATTTCGGTACCAAAAGTGCCTCGCAGAGGATCAAGACTCCCTCATCTTCGGAGCACCAGTGGCAAATATTGGGATAAATACTTGTTATGGCCAAAAAGGTCATGAGACAGGGTCGAACCAACTGTGGGCAAACTATGAAACGTTAAAAAGACTTTCCCCGATTTCCGCATCCTAAAACCGTACCTCGATCAAAATTTCAATGCCGAATCGCGCCTCCGCGCCTCCGCGCCTCCTCACCCCCCTCCCTTTGACGCTAAATTCCCGGATCCCGTCCTTCAAATAAGCCTTTTGTTTGTAGAAAATCGTCTAAGTGCGTTAAACGGAGCGTGGAACTTGATCGTTTCGTCTCACTTCATTTTATCGTTCTGCTTTGTCTTTTTCTGTTTTTCTGCGGTTGTTTGTGCCCTTTCTCGCGTGTTTTATTCCAGCATCTGGTTTTCCTGATGTTTAGCCCACTTTGTGAATTAAAAAAATATATTTGAAAATGTTAAAAGTAGTAGGACTAATTCATTAACAGTAAAACACGACACACAGACGAGTGTTTTGCAGTTGATAAAAACACTAACAGCGAGCGTAGTCGTGGCCTCAATAAGTCTCCCTATAATTTCCTTTCAGTTTTGGATTATTTTGCGTTAAGAAATGGAGCTAAAAACTCATCCGTGTTTTATTATACTCACTATAAATGAGGTCTTTTAAAACTAGTGATGGGCTGAGATTTTATCATCGATCATCGGAAATAATCGGATTGACCCAACCGATTGATCATCGATTATAATCGGAAAATCTGTTGATAAAAAGACTCAGCCGTCGTCTTTGTTGTGGACAACATGAAAACGAGACAACGAAGAGTGGACCCTGGGAACCAACTTGAGTTTCACTTCGATCTTTGCAAGCTGTTTATATTTGTTTTGCTTTCATCTCCCCTTGTAACCTTTCTGATCGCAGTAAGTAGATCTAAAAATGTTCTTTACGGCCAGCTACTAATTTAGAATAATTTCTAAGAGAACCATCAAAATGTGCATTAAAATGTGCATGCAACACACAGTATTTTTTATGTTTTTATTTGTCATCAATAATTTTTTTCATTTGTCCGCTATAATCGAGTGTCATCATCCATAATCGATTGTCGCGTCGCTTAAAGATTTTCGATCAATGATCGATTATAATCGATGATCGGCACACCACTATTTAAAACCTCATTCAAAATAGACGAAAGTAAAACGAAATGGCCTTTCAGCTCAAGTTGCAGAAAAGACAACTTTTTAAAATTATCACGACCCATATAAGGAGTAACGTATTTCTCAAGTTTTTTTATTCATTCAGGTTCCTGATTTCCCTGCAATTGAGTTTAGCTTCCCTTCTCCTTTCTCGTTACTTTTAACTCGTTTTATTAGGTTTACTGTTTTTCATTAAGAACTGGAGAGAATATTGCCAGTTGATTATAAGTAGATCATTTTTTCATAAAGCAGGAGTTGTAATTTAAGTCTATCTGGCATACAGTACAAAACTTTCAAATTTTGAAGTTTTTTTTTTCTTCTTTCCATACAAACTATGCCGAGGCGTATTCAACGCGCTAGAAAGAAACTATATATCAAAACTCGTACCCTGCGAGCAGATTGTTCTCCTTTGCATGGCTTTTAGCGTTAACGAAGTCGTTCGCATCCGGCGCTTGTCTGTCGCGTACTTTGACGACTAATTAGACGCATTAGAAAGTACCTTTCGTACAAGAGTGCACAAAGACTAATCTTAGTACTGGTAATTTACTGTAACGTTTACGAAGTCGTTGGCATCTGGCGCTTATCTGTCGCGTAGCTGGCAAGAGAGAAACATCTGCTCACATGGTACAACAAATGACGACAAACTGTGCATTTTTACATCTTAACCGTAGAGATCCTTCGGTCAGACATTAGAGCAGTTAAAGGGCCGTTATCTGTTGTACCAAAACAAGAGAGAATGAGATCTCTCTTGACTAAAACAAGTACAATCTCCTTTAAATTATATCTTTCTATGAGAGTTCTTGCCCGAGATTCGTTTTCAACATTTCATTGTTTAGTATCATCACAATAGGTCAAAATCTCATTCTGGAAAATGCCGAAAACAAACAGCAGCGTGCGAAAATACTAATGAATAAGTTTCATTTGAATGGTCACACCACTGGATTTCGTTCACATAGAGAATAGTTAGACAGCATAATAAACAGTACCACAGGAAAGTACTGCTCAGTAGCTTTCATTTGAACGGTAACACCATAGGATTTCATCCACAGACTCAAAAGTTAGAACCACCTTGTACAGCATAATAAACAGTACCCCAGGAAAGTACTGCTCAGTAGCTTTCATTTGAATGGTAACACCGTAGGAGTTCATCCACAGACTCAAAAGTTAGAACCATATCATATAGAATCATATCATCATATTCAATACCGTTACATGTACCAATATTGACTGTAGAGGTGCCAGATAACGACACGTACTTCAAAATCAGATATAATACATTGCCAACTGACAAGTTCTACAAATATGAGAAATGTGATATTAAGTAAAGGCAGTCACGGTATCAGAGTAATACAGGTCACGTTTCACGTTTTTGTTTAGTGTAAATTCGTTTTTTAAAAGGACCAGCATCGTGTTCTGCTGACATTGGCACTTCTCAAGAGCCTTACCCTTTTATTAAAGCAAATAATCTATCCTCGCTTTAGCAGACATTAAGACGTGCTGAGTCTAATGTATATTAAAGCACGTTTAAGATCCAGAGCAAACATGGGTTGTCTTCCATACCGTTCTCTAAGTAGACTTCTTGATTTTTTAGGACACTGACTATAGCCGGATTAAATTTGATGTAATAGCACTGAATTTCTTAGCATCATCACTCATCGTCATACTATACAAGCAAAGAGTTTTCCTGCTAAAAACCGGATGCAAGGTGAATTTCTTTCGAAATATCCTTTTTGACACTATCCTGTCCCAAATACTTTATATGAATTTACATCATTAGAGACCTTAAGGAACAATGACGGCGACGGCTACGAAATTGCGCGCGAATTTTGTAAATTTACTTGCGTGCATCTAACTCGCTTCCGATTGGTTGAAAAACAATCAGCTACTGTCAGAACTCACACATGCGCATTATCGTGAACCAGTCCCTTTAAGGTGATGTTACACGAGACGGTTTTAGCGCAACACAGAGTTGCAACATTGTTGCAACATTGGTGCGACATTGTTTCGAATGGTTACAACATTGTTCCAACATTGCAATGCTGTGTTGCGCTAAAAGTCGTCGTTGCGAATAATTGAATTCGTCAAATGTTGGCGAATTTTTCAGTCGGAGTTGAATTCTAAAGGACAGCATCGAAGTCCAGGAAAATGCAAAGAAAGTGGATCTCTTGTGTTCACCTCCTTCTCAAAACGTAAAATTAGGCACTTTGACGTCGCAGTCGTGCAACGACGGCAAAGAAATGAACAAAAAAGCGTGATGCACGTGCAAAGTTGTCGTTTTTAAATCTAAACCTATTGCTGTTTTGCCGTTCTCGTTGACGTCGCTGTCGTCAAAAGCTCCTTAATATGCTTTATGCGTCGCCTACTTCAGTTTTCATTCGGTCGGTGAAATAGCTGCTTCGTTGTTTTGACAATCGCTTCTCTAAGTTCTCGGAGCCGCCAACAATACAGAAAAGGATTAATGGCAGAGTTCATGAACGTTAAAGTTGAGGAAAATGTCCATTCGGGTTTCCATGCTACGTGCAATGTTCCGAACAGAGTCAGTAAAACAAACCCGGGAAAATAACAAAGAAGCATACAAATGTAAAATATAAACGTACTCATTGCGCGTTTCTTGACCCGTGACAGTTGCATTTTGTTTCCATCGTTTTCATTTTCCACAGCGTTATGCTGAATGTTTATCTGTTGCTGGTGAACTCGAACAATTCGATAAATTTTTGCGTAAGAAGCTGTGCAAATGATAATGCAAACAGCCGAAAATATACCTGCCATTAGGTGAAAAACATACTTGTCCCAAAGGTAAAACCCCAAAGACAGAAACATGACTAACCAGATTGCTCCTACGGTGTATTTGACTCGTGTGTTGGTCACTATGATGGCGTACCGCATGTGATAGTGAAGCGCCAAAACGCGGTCCACACTGATGGCTGTTATTGTTCCAAGAGACACTCCAGCGACAAAAAACCCTATCATTGCTGACAGACGGTATAATATAGGGTTTTGCGTTGTTAAGCTTGTGATTTCGTCCGCAATAAAAAGTGGTTGGGCTAGGAGACCAACGAGAAGATCCGAAAACGCAAGGCTTGTCAGCATAATCATTGAGGTTGATTGTATGGAAGGCGTTCTGAAGATGGCGAGCAAGACCAGAGCATTGCCTACGATGGATACTAGTATCAACGGAGCATTAAGCACAGAGTTTATGATAACTATAGTTTCCGTTCTGCTGTGATCCGACCTGTTTCTACCATTATCACTCAAATTCATGATGTCTCTCCTTAAAACATCGTTAACGATTTATAGAGACCTTTGCCTTGGTGGTGGGAACTTATAAACGGATAAAGCTCGGTTTAAAATGCATCCTGTTTGCCAAGAAACTCCTAAATCACACCAATTGTTAATTTCGCTTTTAAATCAAATAACTGTTTCAATTGTGCGTGGGGTAACTTCGTTTCAGCACCTGCGGCTAATTTCTCAGATCGTATGTTCTTATGCAAATTGCAAGTTGGACCACCAATTTCAAGACTTCGAGATAAATAGCAGAGTCTCTGTTTCCTTCATCACTCGGCTATTGTCAGAAAATCAGGCCGGTATCATGATCTGCGACATTGTTTAACCACAGTGTCTCTCAAATCAGGTGACGTTAAACTGATGACTTCAGGTCGCAGTTCATTCATGCAGACACGATTTTATGACAATAGCAAAGTGATGAAATTAATAGAGTCATTCCTACGTCTCGAAACCAGACCAGGTGACCCGGTTTTTAAATTTGTTTCGCTAAACGTGCTGCAAAATTAAAGAAAGATGCAAATTTTCACTCGGTAGGATAATGTGAAGTAGTAATAGTTGACACTACAGCTGCCCCATGTCGGACGAGGTTTCATCCAGAGTTTTAGAGTTAGATTTACACAGCTTTGATCAAAACATTCTCAGTTTCGAGAATAGTTTATTCTAAACCATAAGAAAAGATTTAATTAAAAGTTGAATTTTCCGCTATTTCTCTTTCACTTTTTACATTCAGTTCATTTTATTTACCGGAAAGTAAGCCTTAGAAATTGAAAAGACGTTTGATCAATTCATACTCGCGCATTCTATAGTCTTATTTTAAACTTTATTGCGGAAGGACATCTGTGAGCAGGGAATAAGGACGAATAAGTCAGCACAGAATTTGATTGTCGGCGAATTTCTGTAATCATCCATCGTTCTGCTAGCTATAAGCTAGCCGATGTTCACTCGTCTTGCTTGTTTGGTGCTGAGTCTGATTCCGGTCAAAGAGAGAGAAAGAGTGTCTGGCAAGGTCTCCAATCAGAGATTTGTGACATTTGCGAACTCGTGTCTGGCAAACTCTCCCAAGTGTTTATATATACACAGTTATACGCACCTTATAACTTCATCTGCGGTTAACGAGTATATTTTGATCCATAACTTTCAAACAACTGCTCCACAGAATGTCACTTATAACACGTAACGCAAAAGAGTATCGAAATATGACTGCACAATAAATGTCACAACATCTACCTAGGCGGTCCCTTCGGGATTTTCTGTCTTTACGTCATCCTAACCATTTCGCACTTGCGGGCGCAAACAATAGAAACGTCATCATTACCTACCGATTCCTTGCGGCCCCTGTTCAAGCAAATCGAGATTTTTTCTTTATTGACTGTATGACTGTATATTTCAACTGAAAGTACTTTCCTTAATATACGCGCGAGTTACTAGAGTGCCCCCGCAGGGATTTCGTCTTCTGCGGGAGCAAAAAAAAACCACACAAACAAACACAAACAAGAGAAAAGCAAAACCAAAGAAGGTATTAAGTTGAAAAGAACTTTTAAATCACTTTTTTAAGTGTCAAAACTACTGTTACCTTATCTAGACAAATGAAAGTTGCTAAGTAGGAAAACTGAGAACACGTAGATGTGAATAAAGCTGATAAAGTAGGCGAAGTACAGGAGAGACGTAACACACGCTTTAAGTAAGGTAAGCTGTTTCTTATTGAAATCCTTTCATATTTCGTACAAATCCTTATATTTTGAATGTTACGCAACAATGCCGATGCTCGCCGATGTTCATATTTCGAGCTTGGGCTACCTGTGAGGTAGCCCAAGCTGGAAATATGAACATCGGCGAGCATCGGCATTGTTGCGTAACATTCAAAATATAAGGATTTGTATGGGGAAAAACCTATCGTTTCTGTAACCTACGAAATATGAAAGGATTTCAATAAAAAACAGCTTACCTTACTTAAAGCGTGTGTTACGTCTCTCCTGTGTGGTCCACGTGCCGATTTAAGGTCGTTTTATGGGTTTTTATGTAAACGGTTTTCTCTGTATATAAAGGTTTAGGAGAGACGTAACACACATTTTAAGTAAGGTAAGCTGTTTTTTATTGAAATCCTTTCATTTTCGTAGGTTACAGAAACGATAGGTTTTTTTCCACACAAATCCTTATATTTCGAATGTTACGCAACAATGCCGATCGATGTTCGCCGATGCTCATATTTCCAGCTTGGGCTACCTGTGCTTTATTGTATACCCTGAATATGCACAATACAGTGTATATGTAAATTCGGATGTAGCCTTGCTTTCAAACAGATTCCTAATCCACTTTCTTGAAAGCAAGAGAAATTAGTGGTTAACTTGTGAGAGCGCGAGATAAATCGTCAAACCGTGAGACTCGTGACAAGCTCATTGGGAAGGATAGGTGGAACCGACATCGAAGGATCAAAAAACAACGTCGCTATGAACTCTTGGCTGTCACAAGCCATGTATGCTTAATTCAAACAAGTTCGCATTTTCACATTGCGTTATGATGTGTTTTACGCTAGGGAAACGTCGGTCACTTTGAAGTAAATCAAACAAAAACAAAATATTTGCGTTCTTTTGGGTCTTGTTCCTTTTTGATTGTTTTATTTATGCAATTACCACCGATATTTCCTCTGACGCCCGTCTCGACCCGTAATCCCGACGATGAGTTCTTATCAGCTTATTTCGGTACCGAAAGTGCCTCACAGAGGATCAAGACTCCCTCATCTTCGGAGCGCCAGTGGCAAATATTGGGATAAGTACTTGTTACGGCCAAAAAGGTCATGTGACAGGGTCGAACCAACTGTGGGCAAACTGTGAAAACTTAAAAAGATATTTCCCGATTTCCGCATTGTAAAACCGCACCTCGATCAAAATTACAATGCCGAATCTCGCCCCCCCCCCCCCCCCCTCCCTTTGACACTAAAATCCCGGATCCCGTCCTTCAAATATGCCAAATCCCGTATCCCGAAAAAACTAATTGGGGGTCCTCATAAGCTTGGTTTTGAAGTAATTGTTTGGATCGTTTACCCTGCGAGCAGAGGCCCTTCGATCTCCCTAGACTTCCTTCCCGACTTATTTAGGAAGATCGAAGGGCCTCTGCTCGCAGGGTATGGATCGTTGAGCTGTCCCAAAAAGTGTTCTTACGAAGGAGACAATCCCAACGACTGAGACGATTCCAATCGCCTAAGACTAGTAGGATGGTCACCAGTGGCCAAATATTCGAGACGATCTCCACGACCTAGAAAGCCTCCCACGATCCTCTTCCATATCTCTTCAAGCAACGCTTTGCGCTTTCTCTAGGGAACGCAAAAATCGAGGTTAAATGTTAAGTGGGTACGATCGATAGTCTCACCACCATAACCGTCTAGTTTTTGTGTGGCAGATTAGAGCGGCGCGGTGTAAACACCATAGCCTTCTGGAATTTTGTGCGGGAAAGGCATGGTTGCATGATTACGTGGAAACTCTGCTGGGAGTTGCTTAATTAGCGCTCTGCGCATGGGCAGGTGACAAAGGCCTCTGACAAAAGTTAAAATTCAACCTGGTTCGTCAGTTCCGTGTGAATAGATCGAACATATTGAACGGTTCCGTGTGAACGATTTGTCCGGCCCAGTTTTTACGGGGCCATGTGAACGTGATCTGAAACTGAAAGCGTCCTTTTTGTCTTTTTAAATGGTGCTCACTACGTAACTTTGTCTTTCACTATAGGTGTCTTAAGGATTTTAACACAGTTAAACATGGCAGTCCAGAGTCGTCCGTGTCTAGGAAGATATTTTCTGATCACTGGAATGTGAAAGTAGCCCCTTTATCTGGAAATATAATCTGGGAACACTTGTCCGTCGATAATGAAAGCTGGTGGGCCAGGGCGCTGTTAATAAACACACTGCTCTTCATCTTCGTACTGTTTCTGACAACTCCAACTGTTATATTGTCATCAATTCAGGAACTGGAGGCGACAATAGGTGAGTGACGGGTGACTGAAATACTGTAGCCTCTTTAGCCTGCGTAAACAGCCATATCTCCTCGCTCTTGGTCGCGAAATGTCGCTAGCGGTGATGAGCGACGGAGATGGCTGTTTTTGCAAGCTAGAAATACTGTTTCAGGTAAACTTTTTACGTTCTAGGGTTTCGTCACGCGTTGCTCTCGTGGGGAAGGAACGCGTGACCAAACCCTAAGAATGTCTGCATGAGAGGCTCAGGAGTAGTCTGTAAAGAGATCGTCTATTTCCTCTTTAGAGTGCGTCGTGCGCGCATGCAAAATAAAACCTGCGCAGGATTTATTGACCCCTCCCTAAGCTTTGCGCCTTAACAAGGCGGGAAGGTTTGCGTGACTTGGTGATCCTGGTGGGTTCAGCCATGCTGAGCAGGTTTCAGTTAAAAGGCCAGACGAAGAGGAGAAGTCGTTACGTCACGTTACCATGGTAGCAAATTTCTGGATGACAACAAATCAAAACGTCACTTAAAAAGTGGATTCGCACTGTTTCAAACTTCATCGCACTTATTTAGTTTGATTTAATTTGTAAAATGCTGGCGAAATTTTCTGGGTTGAATCCGAAAGGACCGTATTTAAGTTTAGAAAAAGAAAAAGATAATTTTGGTGGTGTGCTCACCTACTCGATAAAGCGGGCGAGCGAAATTAGGAAGTTTCGTGTCGCAGTTGTGTAACAACTGCTAAGAAATGTACAAAAAAAGTGTGATGCACGTGCAAAGTTGTTCTTTTGCCAATCTAAACCTATTGCTTTTTTGCTGTTGCGAAAACTCCCTATTGCTGTAGTCCAGAAATTTTGCTACCATAGTAACGTGACGTCACACTTCTCTCCATTGTAACGCCTTACCATCCAGGTTTAGAGTTGGGCGATCGGTTAATGTCCCATCCCCCATAAAAAAGTATCATTACTGAAATCCGATACACTTTTCAAGATAGCTGGCGGAGAAGTATGGAGGCCTTATGCGCAAGTGGGCGGTAAAAGGCGAGGTGACTTGAGGTGATTTTTGGATCACTATTGCATGGGGTTGGTGGTGGAGGTGTGCTATGCGCTCGCTCTCGCGTGCTTATTGAATTCCTAAAACAAACATGCATCGATACGTCTCGAAGACATGTGAGTAAAGGAGTAACACTCTCCCTGGACACCTTGATACCTGATACCTCGTCTTTGTGGCACGGCTTGCGCAGCCCATTGACGTTAGTAGGTTGTTTTTAAAAGAAACCACGACGGCGACGCTAGCGAAAACGTCACTATTAAAAAGGCTTTGCGTTTTTGCAAGCCGGCACCCGCTCTAAGATACCTCCCTAGGGTTACCCGAAACTTGTTCTTAATAATTACCTTTTTCACTCATTTTTCTTCTTCAGCGGAAAAGAATCCCAAGCTCGCTGTTCCTCCAAACCCGTTTCTCACGCAATTCTTGCCCACCATCCTTCTGTGGAGCTTTGCAGCAATGCTTCCCGCAGTTGTGTCTTGGTCTAGTTATTTTGAGGCACACTGGACCAGGTAAAGTTGGATTTAAGAGTGAAGAGTTTCATAATCTCAGTTGTTTACAATAGTAACTTGACAAAATTACTCGATTACTTTGGCGCGAAATTTCAGGGTTATAAGTTTCTAATATCACTAGTGAAAACGCAAAATTGCTTTGGAAACTTTTCGGGTCAATTAGGGTTTTTGGGAAAGTGCCTACCTACCCCTCTCCTAAGTCAACATTAACACTTACTTCTCACTTAGGGCAAAATGTTGGGTTAGGGGAGGGGTCGGTGGGCAGTTTCCCTGAAACCTAAATTGATCCAACTTTTTTACTAAACCCACGATTGGTATGAAAAAGGTACTCAAATGGTATACTTCGTGAAATATGGAAATAATTTCACTCGTCACCATTTGATTTCACGTTAATTTACTGACCAACATTGTGGAATGTATATTCCTCGTGAGAACAACTTGAAGTTACACTCTGTCACATTTGTAGCACTTTTTTTCGCACAGGTCCAAGCTGGAACATTCTGTGATGGTCAAGACCTACATTTTTCTATTGTTGATGATTTTAATCTTGCCATCTTTGGCTTTGACAAGGTAACTAATTCGATGGTTAAAGTAATTACCTGATTAGAGTAGTTTCAGTTCAGTTGTTTCGATTGCCGTGGTTTAACATGGCTTTGCTTTGTGATTGGCTAAAGAATTCTCACGCTACTTTTTCAGCCAATCAGAAGTAAACCCACAGCTAATCGTGATTTGTTCACGTGCGTTTCTCCGCGTCTGGCGCCCAGTACGTGAATTTTCTTCGAGTTATAATTTTTTGTTGGAATACTTGCGCCTTCTGTGATTGGCTTAAAAACTTCTTACGCCTCTTTGTCAACCAATCAGAAGTAAGCCCACAGCCGATCGTGCTTCGGTCACATGAGTTTTCCCGCGTTTGGCTCACAGTACGTGAATTTTCTTCGAGTCATGAGTGGTTGTTTCAAATACCGGCACCTTTTGTGATCAGCCAAGAAATTCTCACGCCGCTTTCTCAACCAATCAGAAGTAAGGCCATTGCCAATTGTGACGTTCTGACGTGCGTTTTCCTGCACTTGGCGGCCGGTACGTGTATTTCTTCGAGGTTCGATTGGTTGCTTCGTTAACCTTCGTTGTGATTGGTTAAACACTTCCCCCCTTTTTTATTAAACTAATTGGACAATTTTCACGAGGTCATTACTTGACTTCAGCCTTTAGGGAGGCTGTTGTCAATTGACGTCAACTAGTAACTGGCCCAAAAAAGACAACTGCTCTTTTTAAGCGTTAAACACCAGAAAATGACTGCTTAGGTTTTTTATAACACATATGATATTATATGTGACCGTCTTTTTGTGTTGAATTTCTTGTAGTGCTGATGCCTTGTTTCATTTGACGCTGGGTGGAAAGATGCCTGAATTTCAAAGTAGACTAGCGTAAGTACGCTTCTTTACGGTTAAGATTTGAGAAATTAAAGCACCACAAGCTCTTTGATGTTTCTTTAGACGTCTGTAATACTGTCTGTAATACGTCTGTAATTATACCGTAAAGTGACGTGGTAGGTATTAGCAGAATAGCAAATATAAATGTATATATACTTATTTTTTTTAGTTACAGATTACACTTCATTTTTATCGACGCTTAGAGACTACGGCTTTTAGATTTACGATTTACTTGCCATGATCTCCATTGTGGAATAAGGTGGCCTCGGTGCTGTATTGTGCAGCTGGTTTCAGTGTTTTTGTTCTTAGACAACCTCGCTCTGCTACGTCTCTCGGTTTACCTGCTTAAAGCAGGTTTCAGCTTACCGGGTTAAAGATTTTGATTCCATTTTCCACTTGGCAAAGCATCTTCACGGTTAGTTTCAACCAACAATTTTGGTAGACCTTGAGCGGTCGTCTGTGTTTTCCCTCAGTGCTACGCGCGAGTGAAAAAGTAAAATTATGCAAATTAATGATAAAAAGGAGGAGAGATTGGGGTGGAGAGATCGAGGCTTCGGGCTTCCGCACTCGTTCCTCGCGCGTGCTTCCCCTCACGCGTGCGTTTTGATCTGCTTTGACTAAAAAGAAAAATAACTGACTGCTTGCAGTCTACAATTTAGGGGCAGTCTCCGCTTCTTGATAATAGACTCAAAAAAATTTGAGGGTGTGTGATGTGCCGTTTTCTCGCTGAAACTCCCTTGGTTACATTCCTGGTGTTTTGTTTTTTACTGCAGTTGTGTGTTCTTACCTAACAATGGGGCGTTCTTTGTGAACTACTTGATAACTTCTGCGTTGATTGGCACCGCGTTAGAGTTGTGTCGTTTCCCTGAACTGGTGTCGTACGCTGGAAATATGGCTTGCGCGCGAAATGAAGGCGAGAAAAGGCTCGCTCGTAAGGTAAGAAAGAACAGCTCTAGTTGAGAATCCAAAGTCGAGACGTTTTTTTCAACGGAGAATCATGTAGCGGGAAAACAGCCGACATTTCGCGAAGCCGCTGGTGATGACGCGTCACTGGATATTGCTTCTGATTGAGCACTAGCTAGATCAGAGTAGTGACACGTCATCAGTATGGAATTTCTACGCTCGTTTCTCGGATGTCATTTCGCGGGGAAAGCAGTGGTGACGTCGCGAAATGTCAGCTGTTTTCTTAGGCTAAGAAATGGTAAAACAACTTTGGCCCTTTGCGTCTGAAATAACCAAATCGGTACAATAACACAATGTCTCGCAAAATTTCAAATATATCATTTGCAACCCTTATCTTACTGAGAGAATTCCTCTTTTTAACAGGAAGCTGTGCGCGAGTTTGCGTATGGTCAACAGTATGCCTGGATGCTGGTGATCTTTTCTGTCATGGTTGTGTACTGTATCACGTGTCCTCTAGTCACGCCTTTTGGTAAGTCACGCAATGGCCTTGTCACATGTCAGATTTTTTCTTTAGTCACTGTTAGGAAAGAGTCAGGGAAAAATAATTTTTACGGTCGGGGAAACGTAACGGGATGTTGTAAAAGGTCGGAAAAAATAAGTTCTTGGAAAAGTAATGAATAAGGTTTTTTAATTAAAAGGTTAGTTATAAGAAGTATTGAGTAGAAGGAGACCGATTTTGATACTCTAAATCCTATAATAAAAGATATTGTCAAAAATATTCGTAGCTTCTAAAGGAGCTGAAGGAAATGTGAAGTGCGTGTTCAGTGGCCGTTGTTTAGTCTTAAAGGAGAGTCCGGAGTTTTCTTCTTTTTTTTTCTTTTTCTTTTTGTCGTTCTGAGCTTCGGTAAAACGGGCAACAGAAACGTGTAACTTGTCTTTCAACATTGCTACAAAATGAGTCGAAAAGCTATGTTGCGCGTTTTACCACCCACGTTCAGACCAGGTAACAACCTGATTTATTGCATAACAGGTTTAACGAGCGAGTGGCGAAGCCGCGAGGGGCTCGCGCGGGGGGCTCGGCCCCTCACTCGCGCATCCTCGCGAGGCTCGCCCAAATAGGAGAGCTTGCTCGCAGGCTCTGTGGGTGATAAAACGCGCAACATCGCTATTCAAAACGTTTTGCAGCAATGTTGCAAGACAAGTTGCATAATTTTTGTTGCCCGTTTTGCGGTACCTTAACCCTTTAAACCCTAAGATCAAAATTTGAATTCTCATTCGTTGCCCCTATTCATTTCCTACAGAAGTAGTGGGGAGAAGTTGATAAAATATCAAACAAATCCATCTTGTGTGATCATGTCAGTAATTCTCATGACCACTCTGTTTTACCAAGCATTGATGTTACAAGGAGAAACTTGATACAGATCACTCTTAAGGCTTAAAGGGTTAAGCGCTTTGGTGAAGGTGCTAGGAGGCTTTGTGAGTATTGGTATTTAGAAACACTTTGTTCTATAGTTCCTACTATAAGATCTCATGTTCCCTATATTTCTTCTCAGGTTTGCTCTATTTGGCCTTGAAGCATTTGACTGATCGATATAATCTGTACTTTAATTACCGCTCCCCGGCCTACAAATACGTAGATAGCACTGTGCATTCTACGGCCGTCACCTTCACTATGATATCCACCTTCTTTGTATTGATGTCGATTTTATTTTATGCCGTTATCAGACTGGGTAAGTCATTAAAAATCGATGTATTTTTGGGTCTTTTTACAAGACACAGTAACGTGCTTAGGTAAATCTACTTCACCTCTCATCATCCATTCCCAAATTGTATCAGAGTACGTTCAGAAAGCACATCTCAACAAAACTGGTACATTTTTGGTGTTTTCGTTGTTGCAATAACATTTTCGTTTTTTTTTTTTCAATTACCCCTTTCCCCGTTAAATCTGTTCGTCCTTTCTATTTTTCGCCTGTTTGCCGCAAAGAGACAACAAAAGGGAAAGAGAGATTTACTCTTTGCTTGTCGGAAAAGAGCGAGGTAAAAGGCGGAATGAAATCTTTTTGGTGTTCGCACTGAGAGTTTCCTAACTGAAAGCTCTTCGTTTTCCGTAGCAGTGAAATAGCAACGTCAAGTTATTTTTCCTGTTAGTTGGTTCATGTAATTGTTCCTTTAAAGCGTCAGCAGTGAAACGTACCTCAAGTAATTATCTGAAAATAAAAAGGACTAAAAGAGACTCATGAATTTTGCTTCTTCTTCAAAATTTCGAAAATAAGCCCCTCCATGTATAAGCCCCACCAAATATAAGCCCCCCCAAACTCGTAACGCAAAAAACATTCCGTTAAATCGCCCCTCCAAATATAAGCCGTCCTGGGGGCTTGTACTTGGAAATTGCCCTCAATACAAAGTAAAACAAAGCAAAAACGGTAAATTTCCTTTCAACTAAAGGCTGGCCCGATCGATTTTGAAACGCAAATCTCCCTCCGTAGATAAGCCCCTCCAAAAATAAGCCCCTCTAAAAGGGCCTTTGAAAAACGTAAGCCCCGGGGCTTATTTTCGGAAGTTTACGGTATGTTGGTAAATAGCAAATCTTATCGCAGAGAAGAACGAGAAAGATCGTATCCTGTTCTCGTCCACAATTTTCTGACATCGATTACTTTTGAGGCTGGAAAATCGCTCGTTTCTCGAACTATCAAATGCATTGATCAGTACTTGCTATCACTGAAAATCGCTCCTTTATTTCATTTTGTTTTACCCTAGCTACACGGTAAAAATAATATTCTGTCGATGGTGTAGTTAAATTTGAAAATATCTGACAATTATAACCTTTTCTGAAGACGCTAAGAGCAGTTTCGACAAATATTAGTCGATGTTAACGATAGCTGTCCTTTGCTTTGGTTTCCCTGGAAACCTGTTCTGATTCGTTAAACGTCTACGGTAACCCAATAATAAGAACTTCCTCTTCCCACCCCTGCCAAAACTCGTTCCTATAGAGACGCCTACTGGCTCATAAAACTTGCTTGATTTTGGCCGCCCGCGATACACTTGCGTGGTATTCAGCAATTGTTTTGAATTTGGTGAGTTGGCAGTGAAGATTATAAATGTCAAAATTTTCTTTGGAGTTAAGCTTGTTCGTTAAGCGTCGGAGAAACTGAATTTTATGGCTTGGGATATGGGAGAGTTTCGCTTGCTTTCGGAGAATTTTGGCAGTAAGTATTGATTTTCACATTAAGAACTTCACCATTTAAGAAACCTTGTGACCTGAAACTATTGCAAAGTGTGTCATGTTTGATATTTTAGAGGCCATGTCGATAGCTTGCCCATTTCTTGTCTTCTGTGGTCTTTGGCAGAAGTTCTTGCCATTGGCTCTCTTTCTTGAAGAGTGAACTCACCAAATTTGCTGGGAAGAGCTTTTTGTAGAATTTTTGTGTTCAATGCACTTGTTTTCTTCGCAGACCTTCAAATACATGATATTATTTATTACTCTGCTTGCCATGAAAAATTGGCACCTTAAACTTAAGTGATTTTTTACCGTAAAAACTTAGATCCGTTACAAAAACTTATTGTAAACTAGTTAAGATGTTGTGCGACAGAAAACTCGGTCTTTGCTTTAGAGTTTTTATTTTCTTCGTAGATACGTTTTTCACTCATAATTTAATTTCAGTGCGCACAAACTCGGTTTATTTACTTTAAAAGCAATTATTTAATTTCAGTTCGCACAAACTCGGTTTATATACTTTCAAAGTAATTAGCGTCTCGCTTCAAGGTTAAGCCAATAACGTGGGGTTCTGGTAGCTAATCGCCGGCCTAATCGTTCGTCATGAAACTAACAAAGTGCGCTCATAAATGTAACTAGCATCTTTTAAATTCCTATCAAAACTCACCGTCTAAAACTTATCGGATATCGCATGTTTATTTAAGCGGGTTAATCATTTTCTTTCAACGGACCAAGATCAAAATTCTCTGTAATGCTTTTGTACCTAATCGCTTTCTTTTCTTGAAGAATTTGGTCCTAAATCTATACAGCTTTACTTTTAAAAGAAAACATACTCTAACTTCTTTTAATTGTTTTTTTTACTGGATCTAGGTATAGATGACCCGCAGACCATGTTTGCCTTGGTTGTGGTGATTATCACTATCGTCCTGTTCGTACTGCGGGCGTGTTTTGGAATGTTTAAAAGATTTGGCCCTCACAAGGTAGGCAGTCATAAGCAGTAACAGTGTAACTTTCTACTAGAAAATACGAGAAGTCTGGTAAAACTCCTTATGATTTGTAGTCTAAAAGATAATTTATCAAACGCTAATCACATCGTTGCCCCTACCTCGTCGCCGGGGCTTTTCCCATTTTATAAGGGGAAGAGGTTGGCGTTGTCTTTACGTTTATTGTTGGGTAGCCTGTGGCCCTGAATAAACATGGGTCTTTATTTTGCCTCTGCTTTTGTAACGTAAATTCTTCAAACGTGATCGATTTAAGCTTGCTGCTCGAGGTTTCTGGTATTATGTTATTTACAAATACGTACTCTGACGTTTCGTTTTTGTTTGTTTTTTGCAGCAACCTCCTTCGACAGATGCTGAACTCAATGGAGCCGATATATACATTCCTGTAAGTTAACAAACTTGTTCCCCGGAATTCTCTGCTTTGTTGGTCATGGAATAGTTCTCACTGACCGACAAGCTTGAGGACTTTGTGTTTGAGAATAGTATGCTCAGTGTTGTTTGTTTTTGTGGCTCTTTTGTGGGCGTTTACCGTTCATGCTATACCAGATAACTTCTCATGTCGGCAAAAAAACGTTATCCAATGTAGACTTAGCCTTAGATTTTTATTTCTCTTTCGAATAACTTGGAGAGAACAACGTGTACCAAATCGTTTGTAATTCAGCGCGCCAACTTGTATTTATATTAACTCGACTATAAGAAAGTCCAAGAAGCGGAAGTAACGTTTTTTCCCGTCGATATATTGCGTGACTAACTTGCGTGACATGTCATTTCTGTTTTTCTATTCCAGGAGGCGTACCTTCCCCCAGTCCTCCAAACAACGCGGGAAATGAAGGCGACCGGAAGCCCAGATGACCTCTCTCCTCCCCAGCTCACCAGGCGGAAGAATTATGGCACCACACAAAACGATCACGTGATTGATGCGTCACAACTTACGCCGAGCTCGGAAACTGTTTTGATGTTTGTTGAGGACGATAAACACTAGAAGCCTCGCGTCTTTATTTTTCTGTAAATGTAGCCTGCAAGGAAGCTGTCCATTTGGGAAAATCGTGAGAAGTCAAGCGACAGCCGCACACGAAAGGAGACGCGTGTACGAGCCACTCGCTCGCACGTTCTCTCGCGGCCCGCTTGGCATTCGACATGATTGACTGGAGAGCTTGCTGGCAGGCTTCTGTAAATGTTATTTTTACTTTTGTAATAATTCATGTAGTTAGTTCTCTTTGACCACTTTTAATAGAAAGTGGGTCTGTTTGGAGGGAATTAACTGTATTTTTGTGAGACGGATGTTCTGTTGTATATGTATATGAATTCACGTTTGAGATTTTTTTTTTTCTGTTGAGAAACCATAATTATGATTCTAAATCCCCAAAATTTGTTCTGTTCAGAAAATTTAGTCAGTTAGGTGACAGTAGAGGCAACTGAATAGTTGCGTGTTTCTCGTGAGATAATGTACCGATAAACTATCGATTGGTAATTTTTGCCGAATGAAACCTTCGCCCTTTACATGTTGCGAAGATAGATAATGAAAACCGAAGACAAAATGTCTTAATTTGTAAGCAAATTCTGCAGTGAAAGGAAAATGTACGTTGATCAGAGTTTTAAGAGTTAGAGACTGATGTGAGTGCTTTACACTCACATCGCCCATTCCACAGCTAGCTAATCATCAGTTCATTAATATGAACAAGAAGTCGCTAAGTGTTTGAATATTTGAACTGAGTGCTCTGTATCGCAAAAGCGACGATTTGTAATGGAACGAACTAGTTTCTGAAACGGTCGCTGAGGGGTAAAAAAGTTATTAAAGCATGCAAATCGTGCGTTAAAAGGCATCAACGCACCCCAATCAGCCAATCAACTTCCAGAATTTCAAACAGAGCGCGAAGGTGAATATCAACATGGGTTACTCTTGTAAGCGAACTTCAAATAGACGGTCCATCGTCTTTCGTTATTTTTTGAAAATCTTAATGAAGTAAGTTATATTAGCTATACCACATCCACAATGTGTTGTTAATAGGGAGTTTAAGTAACAACCACGGCGACGGCTACGAAAACGTCACCAAAAAAGTGAACTTGCACTGCTAAAAATTTTATCGCGCTTATTTCATCTCGTTCAATTGGTCAAATTTTGGGAATGTGTTTTTGGGAGTTGAATTCTAAAGGACTTTATCGAAATCCAGGAAAACCCAAAGAAAGTCGTTATCTTTTGATCACGTCCTCCACAAAACTTGAAATCAGGCATTTTCACCTCGTAGTCGTGAAACGACGGTAAAGAAATATACAAAAAAGCGTTATGCACGTGCAGATTTGTTGTTTCACTAATCTAAATCTATTGCTTTTTTGCCGTTCTCGTTGCCTTCGCCTTCGTCATTGGTTAGAGCGCTTTTCAATTGAGTGTCGAAAACCAAAACCAAAGTAATCACAACGGCCAATCAGAGTAAAGGAAATTATCAGAGGGAGCCAATGGCAACTCGAAGTAAACGCGTGTAACCGGCCTGTAGCGCGGGAAAACGCGAGTGACCAAGGAGCGATTGGTTTTAGTTTACATCTGATTGGCTGAGAGGGTGGCGCGAGTTTTCTAGACCAATCAAACAGCACAGTAAAGCAAAACCAATTCAATCCTGGATTACTTTCAACACTCAATTGAAAATTGCTCTAAGCTCCTTTATAGTTTCCTCGGACGCCTCTAATGTGTTCTTTGGGAGGTGAGATTAATTTTTGAAAAGTTATAAAATTTGTGTGAGAATTCATCTTGCATCAATATTGCATATTGAGCATTATTGCATGGAGCACATTGTATTGCCAAACCTAGAATTTTTCCAAGTATTTAGGTAATTTATTGTCACATAATTTATTAATTGGTCGTGTTGTTGTAGCGACATTTCAAGTTGCAAATATTTTGTTTGTAAACTAGGATTTATTGGTTAAAAACAATATGGAAGGAAAACACGTAAAGTGCATGGCTCTATCTAGTGTGTGATCTTTAGTTCTTCGTTATCGCTTCAGAAAAAGGCAATACTGAAAATAAACAACAATTTTCCATTGCCTGTACTCTTTTATAAAATAACTAAGATAGTACGCGCGTTCTGATTGGTTAAAAACCTATGGTTTATTGTGCCACAACCTCGTCCGTAAGGGAAAAATCCTGGGGACGAGGTTGATTGTGCCGGTAAACTCATAGACAACTGGAACATGCTTTAAAGTTATTTTATAAAAGCAATAGACCACACTTTCTATGGGTTTACCGGCGTGAGAACCCACTTGGGATGTTGGGAGAACACTCGAAAAGCTCAGTTGTAAATCACTGGCCTTTTGCTCGTGATTTACAAGGTCTTCTCGTGTTCTCCCAACATCCCGCGTGGGTTGTCATGCCGGTAAACCCATCTAAAGTGTGGTCTGTTGCTTAAATAGACTGTCAAATGATATCAAAATATTCATAGCTCAAGTGGAACAAGTTTCACTTCAAAGTTTTGAACATTTTAATGTCACGTCTATGGTGTACAAGAGTGTAGAAAATGGAAAGTTATTTTTTGTTTATTTTTACAACCATGTTAGCTAAATTTTTCAAACGTCCATTTACTCTAGTTCTGGCGAAGGTGCTCAGAAAATGGGGTGTAGTAGAAGGAAAAAAAACAGTACGTTATTTCCATGGTCTAGTAAAGTACCGTATAAGACCAAGAATTCGAGTTTTCTATGAGTCCATATAGTCATTGAGACGCGTCTAGCTCTGGATGTCAAAACAATAGTTTACGCAAAATTTCGGGGCCGGTAACAAAGTGGATAATGGAGGATTCGAGACTAGAGAATTCCCGCTATCCGAGTGAGTGAGTGAGTGATCGTGAGTGACTGGGGGCGGCTTGCCTTGTACGACAAGCAAAGAGGTTTCGCTTGATCGTTAGCGACGGAGTCATACCCGACATCAGAAAGACATTAATGGAAACGTTCTGACTTTTGCGACTCCCAATCCAATGAGGTTATTACTCTGACGACTCAGATTTTTTTTTTTTTAGATCGTAAACTACTTCTATATTCTACGCTTTTGAAAACAATCTCAATCCCCTTTCTCATCGTATGGTTTTCGGGCGTGAATTTTCTTGGAAGTTGGTTCTTTGACATACTAATACTGTACTAATACTGTAATGTACTAGAATTTTATGACACTTAAATAAAGGTTTCATCATACGGGTATCTCCTGCAAAAAATGTCACCTGTTTCGCCACGATACACTAAGAGCTCTGAAGAACTCGTTTGAAACAGCTCAATAGAGCCAGTTTCTAGGAAGCAGATTTGTCATGATTTCAGGAGCGACAAAAAGAATTTTTTCCTCTTGTGGAAAGAAGAAAAGAAACGTGACGATATAACCTGGTCACTTACACCAATCTTTATCAGTGTTTTTAAAGATCCTCCTCCTCCTCATCATAACCTTCATTTAAATATGATGAGATTTTAAGCTCAATGCTTGTGGGGTCGTTAAGAAATACTAATCACAATATAGAGTCGATTATAAGAATGAGGATAAAATTACACACAATATAAAGCTATGAATAAAAACTCTAAAAAGACACAGTAAGATTCTAAAAACAAGACAATATGGATAAGATTTCAAATGAATTTACAACAGGCTATCAATCACATAAGAGTAATTTACTACAGCATTTAATGAATAGCTAAAAATATTTAAAGTCATGATAGTGCTTAGGCAGCGACTGGACAGACTGTGCGCTAACTGGTCAAGTTCCTGTAAGTCCTTCTTTACTTTACGAGAAAAATCTGTAAATTATCCTGCAAAAAAAAGTTGAAACAGCTGTTGAAACAGCGTTCCCTAAAATACCTGGTCGAGTCATTTTACGGCATGATCCTGGAAGTGGACTGGGTTTGAGTCTCACTGCGCCTGCGCAATAAGCTTTCTTGTCCAAAATGGCCGCCCCTTCCTGAGAATAGGAGGCGGACGTTAATACGTTCCTTTCCTGCTACGATTTGTTTGGATTAAAGTGTAGTTGCACCCCACGATGGCTACAGTCTGGGGGAACGAGGACGTCGCCTGTTACTTCACTACGAAGCATTCATGGCGTGGGAAGTGAGTTCAATTAGTCTTGGAACCTGTGATCACGTCCGGTCACATCGCTTTCTTGGTGGTTAAGATGTCAAATTGTGCTTGATTGCTCTTTTGTAAATGGTTATTGCACTGTTGCTTACAGATACAAGAGGATATTTTCCATCGGGACGAAGGGAATAACAACCTACAACCCATCGAATCTGGAGGTCACCAACCAGGTAGAAATAGTGACATGCGAGCAACCTCACGTGATCACTTAGTGCGACTTTGCTACATTTTGAAACGTGCATGCATAACTTTAATGAGATTGCGGTTATATACTTTTTATATACAGGAAGAGTTACTCTACCATCTTATTTCTCTTCTCACGTTTAGTTCTCACAGTTTTTCCCTTTTTTTCCATTTTACCAATCTGTTTGTAGAAAATGAAATGACTTTTCTTTCACTTTAAAGTAAATGAACAAGGATAAAGTTGTTGATAAACTGAAATCTGACACTACGCTTTTACTAAAAGTGGTTCAAAGTTTGTAAAAAAATCAACAGAAAATACTCTGTTTGTAATTTCAGCTGCTTTCTCAAATTATACCGTGCATAGCAATTTCCCCCATGGGGTTTGCCATTTTAAGTTCAACAAACTTTTTGTTTTGTGTTTAAGATTGCATTTTTTTATGTTAAGGATTTATTATCAGGTGTAGGGATTTCTCTGAACTTTGAGCTAGCAAGCTTCTCAAAGAATAGGCTGTCACAAGCTTAATAAATCATCTGTTAGTTATTTTGGACAGTCATTTTATGGCTAGTGGTGATAACTAGTCCCTTCCGTCATTTAAAATAATAATAGATCTATACATTACAAGGACTCTTTATAAGATGGTGCTACACTGATGTTATCAAACAATTGTTTAGTCTTTGAGGAACAAATGATTGTTATTTACCCAACATTCAGTCTGCAGAGAACTAGGTTACCATAGCAACAGCATAATCCCATGAAAATGCCCTTTTATCACCAGCAATTAAAGGAAGCTTAAAAGAGCAACCCCGTACCACCGCAAATAATTGAAGTAATTGTAGGACATTTTTTTCAAACCTTGCTAATACAGAATTTTAAATTTTTTTTTTGTTGTTTCTGACTCTTTTCTCGTTATTTAGTGGGCCTACAATGACTTCTGCAGAATTTCACCAAGTGTCAAGGCCACCAATGAGCTTATCATAACCATGAAAAAAAGTGAGTCAAAATTTGAAATAATTTTTTGCTGGTTGAAACCCCATTTACACGTGCTAAAAATATCAGCATGGCACGCCAAATTTTTGGCACTTTGTAACCAGTGTACAATGACTGTATGTTGACTAAAGTTGCAGGTTGTCAAGTACATGTATGTGTACCAAACTAATTATTGTTTTGTTTCTTCTAGCTGGTGCCAGCAAGAAAATTCAAAGTATGACATTTTCCACAGAACACAGAGCAGATCTGTTAACTCAAGCACTTGTAAGTCCTTCAGGAGCTTTTAGTTGCTAATTATACACTTTACAACTGGTGGTGGTTGGGATCCTTTGGCCATTTTTTGGTTGACATCATTATGTTTAGTGTTTGTGTTGCTGGCCCTAACCAAGTGGCATTGATATTATACTATTATATTGTTTTATCAATTTATTATTTATTGACACCCCATCTTGGTCACTGCTTTGCAAAATATAACTGTGCATTCTCAACTTTGCCAGCTGGTATGTTTAAACTAATGTGCATGAGTCCTTGAAATTTTCAGGAGCTGCCATGTTAAAAATATGTAACCTCTATCTAGTAACTTTCCTGAAAATGCAACCAATGTTTTATGCTACCCTGCACAGCGGCACATCCCCAGTGGTCTATTAGTAGGAAGTTTCCTCTCTCCCCCGGGGCATTTTCCTTTTTGTGGCAAAAATTTGCTTAGCCTGTTCGAGGCATTCAGATGGTAGGGAGTGGGTGAAAAATTAGTTGGGTGCGGGCAAAAAATTGATGAGGGAAAAAATCCAGGCAAATGGTGGGGAGCACGCGAAAAATTAGTTGGGCGTGGGCGAAAAATTCCCCTCGCTTTTTTTGCCCTTGTGTTCCTTTTGCGCTCGACGCCTACTAAAAATTTAACCCGCTCCCCACTATCTTATTTCCTGGAACAGGCTAATATCTGCTTTGATTAACATTCTAGATGATTCATGTCGCATAATAATTTTCACTGTCTTGATTGCTTTTCAGCGGTTTCATAAACAATTTTCTGACTTCAAAGCTAAAAATGAAGTGGTAAGTTTATAATAATATCAATACATGTTTTGAGGTTTGTGCGTGTACATAATGTATCAGGTAGCTATGGTGGGCACAATCCATTGATTGAGGGCAGACAACTTTTCTGCAGCACTGCACAAAATAATATTGACTTGACATTATATGTTGTTCTTTCAGCGGTTTAATGCTTACAAGTATCACTGGAGTGACACAAGACTTCCTGTAGTACTAGAGGTGACAAGAATAATTATTCTATTTTTTAACCCTCCATTTGTTTAACCTTTGCATAATTTAAACTGACTTCCTGTCCCTAGTTAAATGCTCCAATTTTACAATCCAGTTTTTAAAACTCTGGATTTTCCAAACCAATTTTTGTATTTGTTATTACACTATAGGTTACTCCATGCTCTTTGGATCAAATTGATCCTACAACAAGACAAAAACTGTGCTCATATGATTATAAGGAAATGGAAGGAGTTGTTCAGGTAAGTAGAACATTAATATTAATATTATCATAGCTTGAACACATTATTATTATTTTTGTACAGTAGTTCACTTGAGTCTGTAAAAGTTGCTTTTTCTTCAAAGCATGCATTAGAGAATGTTTTCCTACAAACCACAAAAAGTAATATTAAATGAAAGCTTTGTACATTTTGCCAAAATAATTAGCTTTGTCTGTATCACTTTAGGTGTCTGACTACCCAGGAGGAATTGCCATTGTTTACGGAGGTTTTAGCCGACTTGTAAGTTGTATTAAAAAATAAAGCTACTGCGTCGGTTAAGCCATCTATCAATATTAAGTAGCACTTGACATGTCCATAGTCTAGAGTTTCCAAATACAGTGTACAGTAAGAACTTTTTGTTAAATAGACTGCTGTTTTTTTTTTTCAGCACCTTTTTGCACTAGAACAGAGAGATGAGCTTATAAAAAAGATGTCAGAATATTCCATGGCAAATGTTGGTATCTCAATTAGGTGAGCAGAGATATGGTGCTTAATTACATGTCAATACATGTATTGAGCAGTCATTTAAATTGTTGATTTACATGCAATTCATTATTATTAACTACCATTAAGTCTATCTACATCTTCAGTTATGAATACTGTTTTTCTCTTTAAACTACAGGCAAAGAAATAAACCAATTACACATGACCAGTTTCTCAAACACAAATTTGGAAAGTACAGGTAAGGTGACTGATTTCATCCACAGACTCAAAAGTTAGAACCACCTACAGTGTAGTGCAACATAATAGACAGTACTACAAGAAAGTACTGCTCAGTAGCTTTCATTTGAATGGTCACACCATGGAATTTCATCCACAGACTCAAAAGTTAGAACCACCTTGTACAGCATAATAAACAATACCACAGGAAAGTACTGCTCAGTAGCTTTCATTTGAATGGTCACACATTGGATTCAAAAGTAATAGACTGAATTGACTTCACACACAAGAAACAAAACCACATATTTATGAAGCATAACTTGCATGCTATCTTCATAATTTTTAACTACATTGTACCTGTATTAAACACCTACAGTGAAGATGAACATATCACATCATTAGCAGAATTCAAGGTTCAGAAAATATCGCCAAGACAACCGGTAAGCCATTTTTGTATCATTAGCTTTAGTGGATGAAAGGTTTGTTTTTGTCATTCCATCGAAATGCTGTTAGTGACTGTTTAATTTACTAAGTTCTGTATTGATACTGTTTTTTTAGGATCCTGTAGTTCGTACTCTGTGTTTATCAGAGACCTGTATTATAGAAAGAGATCCTGCGACATACATCATCGTCAGCTGTCTTCCACTGAGTGATGTAAGTTGCATAATTTTATTGTGTGTGTTTCAGTCAGTGTCAATCCTAGCATTATTCATCCCATCAGCATCTTGTATTTTTCTACTCCATTTATGGTATTAATCATTTCAATGATAGCCAGTTTATATATAGACAGTGTGCACAGTGGAGTCTCGATCTGTTTAGAGAAAAACCTTTCAGAGCAAGGTAGAAAACCAACAACAAACTCGACCAAAATGTGGCATCGACGCTGGGACTTGAACCCAGGCCATATTTGAGGGAGGCTAGTGCTCTCACCACTGCGCCACCCTTGCTCCCTCACTAGAAACAACCTCAATGTTCTATGCTGTTGTTTTAACATCAGTGGCTCAGTGCAAACACTCTTTGTTTTCTCACAGGTGTTTGCTATTATTCGTGAAGTTGATAATCCTCAGTTGTTCACCTTAGAGTTTGTCAGAGGGACTACGAAGAAATTTATGTCAACTGACAGGTACATAAAGGGCAATGAAAGTTAAGTTTTAAGTTATGTATTATTTCAATATTATTTTAGTACTTCTCTTGAAGAAATATCTGTCTCCTTTTTTTGTTGCCAATGTTAGCATCACTCTAAGTTGTACCATTTACAAATGTAAATTGCTTCATATTAATTGTCGTTAGTGATCTAAGAAAGTGATTTTGAAATGAATGCTGCCCTTGAATAAATGCCCCCCTTTCAAATAAGCACTGGAAAAAAAATTCGTAAGATTTAATCAGCATTATGGCATGGTGGCTGGTATTTAACAGTAGCTGTATTTTGTTGTTGTTTTGTTCAGAGACTCACTTCTGGCCAGTCTACTTGATGGAGTGCGTGCAAGTGGCAACAGAGATGTCTGTGTTAAAATTAAACCAACCAAGAGAGGTGCAGTGCCATATCAGATAATAAGATTTAATAATATTGTTATTACATTTACATGTTAAAGTGCATTTGAATATTTTGTCCTTTATAATTAGCTTCCGTATGTTTGCATTCTTCTTATCCAATACATAGACACAGGTTTGTAGTTCATGTCTCGAACAGAAATAACTTAATAATATTTGACTGGTAATACTTTTTTGATGTTTCCCAGGGTTTAGATTTGGGCCTGTAATTTCCAATGTTGATGAAGAAGTGGAGAGTCAACACCTCAGATTTCTCGCTGTTCCGCCAAGTAAGTGTCAACAAAATTTGCAGTGATATTAAAGGTTGCACCAGGCAGATTGCAATAGGCAATACATTTGTAGGTCAAGAGGTTTTCTGGTGAATGTGAGCAATGTCATGAGCATACAGTGTTATAGTATTGATTAAGCCATCTGGATGTTCTTCAAAGTAGAAAGACTTGCAAACAGAGTATAATGTTTTATTTGTGGAAGTTATTGATTTTTATTCATTATGCTCTTTGAATATTGGCTTACTCCAATTTAACTTGTTTTCTGCTTCAGCTACTTTCGCAGAAGCAGTAGAAAGGTTCAACAGCAATATTCCTTACAATGGACTACTGCATGCTGTCACGCAAGATGTGAGTACGGCAGTGGGCACGTAAAGGGCATGTTGGATTTGCCATTTCGAGAATAAGAATAAATGGAACAACTGTAGAAATCTCTTGTTTTGGCATTCACTTCATTGCAATATCTGGACATTTGCCTGAAATAAAATATTCCAATATACATAATTTATACATGTGTGTAGAGTTTTAAATAATGTTCCAAAACTCAAGGTAGAAGAGATTTGTAACAAAACTTTTGGGTACATGTATTCTTATTTCAAAATACGATTAATGGAACACACCCAAAGATGTTCAATGCACTAAACATTTTTATTATTATTTTCATAAAGTTGTAATTTTTAGTACACATGCACTTTTGTGTACTGCAAAACAAGGACCATAAAAATTAATTGTTAAATAAATACTGATGTCAATGCCCCTACCCCCTTGGCCATCCCTTTTGGCCCTTCAATTAAGCTTGCCTCTCCCTAACCTACATGTACAGTGTATGTTTCTTACTGTTTTAGTTTCTGTGCCTAAGGTTTTCTTGCACCTCTGTGTTTTATTCTGACTTCATCATGATGTTGTCTCTTTAGGGTCTGTTTGCTGAAAATAAGGAGAAGCTGATAACAGGAGCAATCACTGCACTGCTAGCAATGGAAGGTAAATAAGACTGTTACATTCCCAGACTTTCACTCAGCTAAACAGGGACTGCCATTGGTTGATTCTTGGTCACATGGCCTTGACAATGTACAGGTATCTTGATTGTGATACATTTGAGCAATATTGTATCCTGCTCAGATACATTACAGCACATGATCAAAGCATGATGGAAATTGGCATGACAGAAGGCAGGAAAAACACTGCCATTTTTCACTTTTGGGGATGAAGACAACAACACAAATGTGAAGCCTCAAGCTAAAAAGTAACAACTGCAGCTAGTGTACTGCTCAGTACAGCTGTACACATAGCTTTTACAGTTTGTGTATTTTATTGGTCACACCCTTAGACTTCAACACTACTTGCTGTAAAGGTTAATGTACTTTGACGACCCATGTTTCTTTGCAGGAGATCAGAGTACCATCACTGCTGAAGATCTTGAAGGACAGTTTCAGGCCATTAGAAGACTTGTTGCTTCCAAAGCAGGATTTCAAGCATTCACCACCCTGCCCAAGTAAGTGGAAGATTTTTATTGCATTTTTCAAGGAAAATCTCTCGCACAACTTTTTTGGTTTATGGACCACCACAATTTAATTATCCACTCCCCTTATGGGGCTTTTCTGGGATGATGAAACAGGTTGCTCTTTACACGTCCCAGGTTACCTGCTTCTGCCATAACCTGGAGAGCTCTATGGCCAGGTGTTTATAATGGTCAACCTTCTCCCTGTACTTGCTCTCAACATTGGCGTCCCACAGCACAGCTATATCTATGATTTTTACCCTGCTATCCACTTTGTCGATTAGTACAGTGTTGGGGCAGCCATGGTGAATGGCCAGTCAGTGTATATGTTGTGGTTCAATTTTATCCTTGGTTCAATTTTTATTTTCTTTTGTTTGAAACTCATTATCATACATTACCATACCCAAAAACAAAAGGAAATAAAAATTAAACCAAGGATAAAATTGAACCACAACATATATGCTGAAGTCCCATAGAATTTTGGAGGTTCCATTTTCCAAAGCTGTCTCCACCTTGTGTTGCCACCATTGTTCCAATCTCTCAAATCCATAGAGCCCAGTGGATCTGACTAGCAATTCGGTTATGGCAGTTGAGATAGTCGCTGTTTGCTAGCATTTCACATCTGCTTACAATGTGGGCTACTGTCTCATCCTTTTTTCCACATTGTCTGGGTTTAGGGGATTCAACAGAGTGGTAGAGTTATTATTATTATTATTATTATTATTATTATAATCATTATCATTATTACTATTATCATTATTATTATTATCATCATTATTATTATTATTAGCTAGCGATCAGGGTGGGACTTGAACTCGGAGCCTCTGAATTACAAGTCCAGCTCCCTAACCGCTCGGCCACACTGCCTCTTTAATGAAGGGTATCATAAAAATAATATGAGTCACATCTGATTCCATTTGAAAGGAACCCTATCAAAAGTACTTGCATCATGAACTGTCAACTTATAGTATGTTAAATTTTGCATTATGGTTGAAATCAGGTTTCAAATGTCAAAATTGACATAAAAAGGAAGTTCTGGAAATCAATTTTCATGGAGGTAAAAACTTCTCCAGCTTCGCTATGAATCACTGTGTACCCACTTTTCTATTTTTCACAGATTCAGAGATAAGCTTGGTGTCAAGGTTGTGAAAGCTTTGAAAAGAAATGATGATGGTGTCACACATGCTGCCATTGACACACTATGTGCTCTGATGCAGGTGGGAGATAATTTACCATCGCAATCTTATCAAACCTTCAAACTGTAAACTGCCGCTTATACACTGTAAGCCCCCCTCCACTTATATACACCCAAGTTATAGGTGCATTTACTTGTAAAGTAACAAAAACAATAAATCTTCTAGCCCCAATTTATTATAAGCCCTTTCCCCCCGCCTCCCCTGTGAATTTGATTTATTGTGATGTGCTAAAGATGTACATTGTAAAAAGAAAGACCACCTGGAAGAACTCGTGCGGGATTGCTGGATAGAGTAAAGGATGGCAGCCCTTACATAATGGTCAACAGGCGTGCCTTGGATCAAGAACTATAAGGAAGCGCCTTCCTGTGGGCAGAACACACACACACCCCTCCCCCCACATTGTATAAGCCCAGGGCTCATAAGCAGTATTGTATGTATGTGGCCATCTGTCTTGAGCAACCACCTACATGTACATTGTAATAAAAATACCAAATTCAGTTTTCTCAGTCAAAGCACTATTAATGTTATTTTATTTATTTAATTGAAATTATTCTAAATTGAATTTCATTGCACAAGACAACCAATGAATACGCAGGGCTGTCACCAAGATTTCAAGTTGCCGGGTAAATACAACAATTAGGTGGGGAGTCAAACAGCGAGGATTTCGTTTGGTTCTATTTTTCTTGTATTGTCCCATGAAAGTAGCTGGGGCCATGTTCGTAGTAGCCAGGGGAAATCGTCAGCCCGCGCCTCTTAATGACAGCCGTGATTATAAGGTCAGAAAGAATACAAGATTCCTCAAGAATAAGCCACCCGAGGTTCAAATGTAGTTGGAACCACATATTAATTAGTGACCACCTCTTATAAGCAATCGCCACAACTTGGCATTCAGAGTTCTCACTTATGTGAGGTTAGGCATACATACATGCTGGACCAAAGTTCCTTGCTCTAACATTTTATCATGTTTTATTTTCAGCCAATGCATGATAACTACGACCTTAGGCAAGAGCAGATGAACAAGTCTTCACTTCTTTCATCCAAAAAATTCCTTGCTACCCTTTTGGAAATCTTCACCACCCATGTGGTTAGTATTTGTTATGAAAGTTATCTCTAGCCCCTAGTCCTTAGTAGTCCTTCTATTTCTTTTTGATTTATGGACAACGTTCCTTTCCTACAAAGATATCGGTAGGGATCACTCTACGAGCAAAGGTTTCTCTCTTGCATGGCTGTTAGTATTTACGAAGTGGTTTCTCCCAGAGCGTAAACAAACCAACTGTGTGACTGATAAGCGATGCAAACGGCTCTGTAAATGCCAAAAGCCATACAAGAGAGTAACCTCTGCTTGCAGGGCAGGTAAGGATATTTTCTCAAGCCAAAACAATATCTGCATAAGCAGCTAGTATCTTTAATAAATTGCCTGTAAACGAATCATTTTTACGGCTGTTAACATTTTTGTCTTGGTTTAATTTTTATCTTACAGAATAGAAGCACTGGAGCTCTTGTAGTCAGTTCACTACTTGATTTCCTCACATTTGCACTATGTCCACCATACAGGTCTGTTATAGTCCTTAATTCAATGAAAAAAAAAAGTGAAACATAATTTTTAATAAATTTGATTTTAATCATACAGTGAAACAACAGATGGAGTTCAGTTCGACACTTTGTTGGAAATGGTTGCAGATCTTGGTCGGAACATTTTCAAACTATTTCAGGTACATCAAATGCATATCACAGCTCAGTGGCAGATCTAGGGGACCTGAGGGTTGTGCCACCCTTATTTTACAACCAAAACTAGGCCTGTACGGTTGAGTCTGTCCCCCACCCCCCTTCACAAAGTCAGGATGATCGGGGCCTGACTTACTCAAAGTTCTGAATGTGCCAATACAGCACACTATAAATAAATTTATGCTCAAGAAAAACAGGTCATTTCACATATTCATCCTACAGTTACATACACACCATGTACTCCAAGCCATTCTCCAGTATGGTGAATTAAATTAATGTACTACAGGAAAATAAAATCCTTGACAAATGCAGAGTGAACTTTACATTAATTTTGGAGGTTTCATTACTGAGTTTTCTGTAATTATTTCATGCATCGATGTTCATGTTGGGTTTCCTGTTGTAGCATCCATCCATGGCAATTGTCAAGGGAGCTGGAATGGTGATGAAAGCTGTCATTGAGGTGGGTTTCAGTAATTACCAGTAAATACAACAAAATTGTTGCTACATGTAGAACCAACAATATTGTTTCCCTGTTCAAGATTTATATTTGTAGGTATTTTTTGTAACTCAGAACAATACAATGTATTGTAATACCAGTTAGATTCTCTTTGCTTTAAATTATATGATATGATTATGATTGATGACTTTAGGAAATTCAACCAGTGCTTGTGGAAGATTTCTTCCATTGCCAGTATTAATTTTTGTAATGTTAGGTCACCAAGGGTGTGGAGGCGTGTGTGGCTGAGTAGTAAACACTTTGAAATCCGCATCTGGGGGTCCGGGGGTCAAGCTTTGCCTGTCGCGTTGTTTCTTCAGACAAGGAACTTTATTCCACTTTGTCTCTCTTCACCCAGGTGTATAAATGGGTACCGGCGACATACTGCTGGAGGGTAACCCTACTATGGACTAGCATCCCGTCCAGGGGGGAATAGCAATACTCCTAGGTGCTTCATCCTACAGAAACCAGGATAAGCTCCAGCTGTTTGGGCCTTTGGCTTGTATGCGCCTTTACCTTTACCTTTTACCTAGGTCAGCAATGGTAACTAAGGTCTGTTTTTTTTGTTTGTGTGCCACAGGAGGGGGACTCAGAGATTGCGGCTAAGATGCAAGATTTAGCTTTGGCTGAGGGAGCTCTACCTCGACATCTTCACACAGCAATGTTTACACAGAGCACTGATAACAGACTGCTCACAAACAGGCATGTGTCATTATTAGCGCTTTAAGCTCCAATATCCACATATAAATTCTCCATACTGATCTTCATACATTTCCTTAAAGAATTAGTTGAGAGAATTTGATAACGGATCAAAGTGTTTTCTCTTAAGTGATCATTTTATTAACTCTCATAACCATTTCTTTTGGGAACATATGGATATGATTTATTAATGTTGGTCACTATTGGGACTTAACTGCCCACCTACCCCTCCCCTAACCCAACATTTTGCCCTAAGTGAGAAGTAAGTGTTAATGTTGACTTAGGGGAGGGGCAGGCGGGCAGTTTCCCAGGAACCTAAATTGATCCCAACATTCTGTAAGAAAATATTTACAAAATCTTTTTGTCTGTCTATAGACAACTCAGCAGACATCTGGTAACCCTGTGGGTCACAGGACACCCAACAGCAATGGGTCTGCTAAAGAGAATAATGGTAAGTTTTTGTTTTATGTTTGGTGGTCCTGTGGTATCTTAAATTGTTGACACTCGAAGTTCACTGTATTTCTTGCTCTCCTCTTAGCCTGCTGGGATGATGAACTTTCTCACTTCTGATGATAAGGTAAAGCTTTACTTGACCTTACTGAACTAATGAAACATAGAAAAAAGCCTTTAAATAGTCTTGGTGAATTGGTTCTATTGGAATGGCTATATTTTCAGTACCAGTACTTCATCCACAGACTCAAAAGCTTGAATTACCTTGTACAGCATAATAAACAGCACCACAGGAAAGTACCACTTAGCAGCTTTTATTTAAATGGTCACATCGTAGAATTTCATTCACAGACTCAAAAGTTTGAACCACCTTGTACAGCATAATAAACAGTACCACAGGCAAGTATTGCTCAATAGCTTTCATTTGAATGGTCACACCATAGGATTTCATCCACAGACTCAAAAGTTAGAACCACCTTGTACAGCATAATAAACAGTACCACAGGAAAGTACTGCTCAGTAGCTTTCATTTGAATGGTCATACCATAGGATTTCATCCACAGACTCAAAAGTTAGAACCACCTTCTACAGCATAATAAACAGTACCACAGGAAAGTATTTCTCAGTAGCTTTCATTTGAGTGGTCACACCATAGGATTCCATCCACAGACTCAAAAGTTTGAGCTACCTGCAGCTTGCACAACCTAATAAACAGTGTCACAGGAGGGATAAAGCTCGTCACACAAGGACCTACAAGCATTAACATTGGAAAATGCTGTTGTGCAGCAGCTTTCACTGGAATGATTGAAAATGTGGTGTACCACTTATGTTACATACCTCTTGTTTAATTTTGTGTGCAGGGTATGATCAAGTTATATAATTTTGTTCTCTTTGCATTGTCACTCACAGGTGCCAGAGACTGAGGAAGACAAACTCCATGTGCGAGACAACGTAAAACTTGCTGAAGTAAGCTGTCACCTTTATTGATTTTGCTGGCAGCTTTTCTTTGTGATAATCGTTATGTAGGTCCTTATTCCATTTGTAGCATGAGGTACACAATTCTTTTTTATTGTTAGTTTTTGTCATTTAGCAAATCTTAAGCTTTCGACAGTTTATCCAATGACTGGCATTAAGTTAAACCACTGTAAATCCTCTATGAAGCCCCCCTCTCAAATAAGCCCCCTACCTCTAATAAGCCCCCCTTTTCAGGGGAAGAAAATTAATAAGCCCCCCCTCCCATAATTATTCTTCACTAATAAGTGATAGACTGTATTAATCAATCACGACTGTAAAACTTTATGTGGACTGATCTGGGATGGTTTATTCACCAGCTGGAAGTTCGGACTTGATTCTGATCCTTGCATGACCTCCAACCTTCTTGTACTTAAGGTTTTCCACTTTGTATTCTAATTCTTTATGGAGAACTGATACCATCATCTTTTCTAAATTAAATAAGCCCCCCCCGCCCTCAAATGGGCGTGAAAAAAATAAGCCCCCCAGTGGGGGGGGGGGGGTCTTAATGGAGGATTTACCGTAAAAACAGCAACTGAACTTTTCAGTTATCGTGAGGTTCACATTAATTCATTCTTTGATGTTTGTCTCATGATATTCAAGGTCAATTCAGAGTCTTCTGCAGTTTCTACATTCATTTCTTTTTATTTTATGCTGTAGGATTCCTCTAAACCTAAGAAACATCAGTATCTTGTACAGCTAGATGTAGTGCTGACCCACTGGAGAACAAAGATGGGCTTCAAATCAAAAGAAGTAAGAATCTCTACTTTCCTTTTTCAGCTTATACTTAAGTAAAATAAAACTCCCTAGAGTAATGAAAAGTTAAATTCAACAACAACAGCAACCACAATAATGCAAAAGCAATTTGAAGTTTGTAAACTGCCAAAAAAGATGAATACCAAAGGAAGATGGAACAGTTACTCTGTATCTGCGCCTGCGGGCAAGCTACTGTATCTTCAAAACTAATACTCTCTTAACAATCTTATTTCTTCCACATCAAAAGCAGATATTCTATCACTGTTCTAGTGATCTATTGTAGAAGAACTGTCCATCCTTCCCTGCTGGCAGATGCCTCTTTTCCCATAACCTGAGATCAGGCTATATTTTCATTTCGTTGGTAAATAACATTCCGGCAGGCAAGGCGAAACGAAAAGAGAGCCCCAATTTTAGCGGTAGCAGTTAGAGAGAATGAGTATGAGAACCGCTAAAATTGGGCCTGATCTCAGGTTACTTTTCCTCCTGCCCGCCGAATACCAGGGAAAAGAGGCTTCTGCCAGCAGGAAATGTCCATCCTGTTGTTAAAATAAAAAATGTGTCTTTTATCAGTCTCTTTTAATAATGATGTTTATTATTTATTGGTACAGACAAATCAGAAGCCTGTGATTTTAAGAAAAAGAAGACAAAGAATAAAAAGCGATGCGAACTGGGAGCTTTTCTATTACAAGTAAGTTAGATGCAAGACTGCATGAAATGCTTTTTTAGGGTAAGCGCCCACTTTCCAGTGAATCCTTCTGTTCAAATATCGCTTCAAGGAAGGGTGTGGTTAATTGTTTTTTGTAATTACTCTTGAATGAATGGGGCTACGAATTGTTATTGAAGATGTTCCAGCATGGGCTAAGAATTAAAGAATCCTATCAATTCCCCCTGAGTATTCTTTTGTTCAGAGATTACTTGCCACATGGCAATTGATTTCAAGGCAGTTCAACCCTTTTAAGTTATCTATTCTCCATGATATAAAGATTTATGCTGATGTTGCCCATGCAATTTCCACTAAGGCAACCCAGGTTGTCCTGGACCTCACCTCCCTATTTAAAGAAACTACCCTCTTCCTCCTCTAGAGTCTGTACAGGTATGGAACTAAGTACATGTACGTACAGTTGCAGGACAACTACAAGAAAACTTCCTGCCATATTCCATAAAATTTAGCTTGGTATATGCCTCTGGAGTCTTCATGCAGTTCTCAGCACTATTTTTTTCTCATGTTTACATCAAGATGCAAGGACCTAGTCCATGTCAAAAACTGAAGTTTAAGTGTGTTCTTTGTTGCTGTTGTTGTCTTATAGGTTCAATCAAGATCATTCTCAACCCAATCTCATCTGGAACTACAAAGTAAGTTGCCATACTATGCAATTGAGTTGTTATTGATACAACAACGACAACAACAGTTTATTTCTACTACTGTAGACAACTAAAAGAATTTACAAGAATACGATTATAAATAAATAAATAAACAGTACATACAGTAGCAGGACACCCAAAACAACTCAAAAGCTAAACTAGTTGGGTGACCATAATTATGATAGGAAAAAATTTCGGTCTTTTCCTTTTTTACCACACGATCCTTTTATTTGAAATTTCTTTGTAGACAAGAGAAGAACTAAGAGAAGCCTTAGAAGCTGAAATGAGAGCTTTCACAGTAGACAAGGTTGGTCACAAATTAAGTCTGCTCGTTGTGCAATTTATTATCTGGAGTGTAAACCCTGGTTAAAAAGTCATTTAAAACACTCACCATTTGCAAAAGATAGAGGCTTCTAAGAAGCCTGTCTATCTTTTGCAAATGGTGCGTGTTTTAAATGACTTAATGTACTGTAAGTGAGTACATTTCCTTGACATCCACTGCATGAATACGACGTGAATCTCCTAATGCGACGTTTTATGGAGGGCGCGCCAACATACGACTGTAAATTTTCGTTTCTCTTCTGACCTGGATAAATTCCCTTAAGAATTCAACTTCAGAAGAAATCGTCTACATTTGAAAAATTAAATGGGTCCAAATTCACGCGGAAAAGTTTGAAGGGACGCATATTTATTTTTTTAGCGACGTATTCACTGCCCTCGTCTTCATTGCTTAAGTTCTCTATTTTAATAGAGAACTTAAGCCTGGAAAACCATGGTTTTCGAAGAACTCATGCTTTATGTTTTACTCGTTTTAATGAACAGGATCTTGGTCAAACTCATGTTATCTCGTGGAATCATCAAGAGTTTGAGGTACGGTATGAGTGCCTCAGTGAAGAGATCAAAATCGGGGACTACTATCTCAGGCTACTTCTTGAAGAAGAAGAGGAAAAAACACTGATTCATAATGCGTAAGTTTTGTATTAACGGGAGCTAAAAGGTATTAATGCAAACTAATGCACAGACTCATACCAAGTCCTCCTCAGTTTGAAACAAGAGAATGTGGGTTGCCATGGGCACCATCCACCAATCATAACTAACGCTTATTACCAAAATGATCCCAGAAATCGTCGCGTGGCAAGCTTCTACCCATTCTCCCTGAAAGTTTCAAAATTGGCAAATTGAAACTTGAGTTTCCTTCAATGTTTTTATTTTTGGTATTTGGGGGGCAATGCGTGGAAATTTTAGAGCTAAGGAGTGTTATGTCGTTTCTTTTCAGGTTAGAATTTTTCAATGACCTTTACCACAGATTTCTTCTGACAACCAAGTCTGTCATGAAAGCAATGTGTTTACAGGTAACCATAAAAGCATCGTTTATAAACTAATGATCTGCTTTTATCCTTCAGTAGAAAAAATTTTGTTAAGTATTTGAATTCTCGTTAAGTTTATTTCCAGGCTCTGTAATTTTTGTGAACACACTCATCCAGGGTTTATTCTACATTAGATAAGACTTTGTCGAATATTTTCTATTCGTACTAGGCAATGACCAAGGTGTATAGCAGATGCTACGATGAAATTGGTGCTTTTAATGACACAAGATACATTGTTGGAATGCTTGAAAAAGTAAGCATAACCTTGCTATGTTGTAATTTAACTTCATGTCTCTCTGGTTAATGCTATTTATGCTAATCTACTTTATTTAACTCTATCCTCTCCACAATTCTTCTTCAATAGCCTCTTCACTCACAGAATACTTTAGGGCGAGATTATAGGTCACTCTATTTTTGAAATCTGTGGATGAAATCCTATGTTGTTACCATTCAATTGAAAGCTACTGAGCAGTACTTTCCTGTGATACTGTTTATTATGCTGTAAAAGGTGGTTCTAACTTTTGAGTCTGTGGATGAGATCCTGTGGTGTGACCATTCAAATGAAACCTCTTTGACAGAGCTTAAGCATGGCACTCTTTATTTCTTTGGGTTTTACCAAAATGAATTTTATTTATTTTGTGAACTTTTTGGTCATTATCTGGATTGAAAGGGTTAGGGCAGATAGTGATTTGTAGTTTATAAAGAATTGGGCCCGAAGGCGTGAGGGACGGTCGTGAACCGAGCGAAAGCGAGCAACGAAGGTCCGAGACGAGAGACGTTCCACCAAACCAGCCGAAACCAGTGGAAACGGGCTTTGAGAAAGTCTACACCTGAAGCAGCAATTTAAGTTAATTTTATGTTCTGTTTTTTCACCGTGCAGACGATAGATAAACTGGAAAGAGATCGCCTTCTTCTCTTCCTGAATGCACTCATCAAGCACAAGGTAGCTGTGTACTTTTATTTTTTCGCTTTTCCGTGTTTGCTGAAGTTCTTTTTTCTTTCTGATATTTGCATTGTGTACACTATCGTACTGCGACCGTAGGTTAAGTCGAGAATGGGAGAAAAAAGAATATTTGTGGGTTCGTTCTTAACTCAAAATGGTAAGAGTAAGGTTTTATTCAAGTTGAGTGGTGCGCTCAACATAAAAGAATTGTATCTTTGTACTTTCATTTATTTATTAAGGGTACTTTCGTATTAAGGGTGGTTGTTTATACCCAAAGTCTTCTAGCGTATGTAATGCTTTTAAAACGTTTTCGTAGTTACCCCATATTCAGAAAGGCAAAAATGGGGTCACCATCCTTTTTTGGAGGTGTAGCATATCGAATATTGTAGTGTTTTTAGAACCTTCAGTCAGTACCATACAATACCTGAGAGAGTTAGTGACCATTTTTCGGGTAAAGTCGATATGCTTATAAATTATAATATGTATTGGCTTCTTCAGAAAAATGTCAAAGAGATGATGGATGTAAATGGTATTAAAGTTCTTGTGGATCTTCTTACACTCGCCCACCTTCACACCACCAGAGCTGTTGTACCATTCCAGGTAATGTGTAGGTTTGAATAAGTTATATTTTTCATCCAACAAGAAGTTGTATTTCTTTTTGTCATGTTAAGTGTCACAGGTTGTAGCTAAACTGATCAAGCTTTACCCCGGGTACCAGAGGTTTTTCTCGCGTGCGGCGAAGACGCGAGAAAAACTTTCCGCGCGGGTCACTATAAAGACTTGACAGAAACCGGAAGCCGCGCTAGAAAAGTCCCTGGCACCCAGGGTAATCAAGCTTTTTCGCCGTATTAAAATAAAGTAGCTGTAGAGTGTTTGTCGCTTAGGCGTTTGCGTGACATTGTCAAATTTTTTTTTCCAAAAAAGGCTCCTCGTAGATTTAGGACGCGTGACGGGGCGCTGTTTACGCTTGAGTTAAGATACTTTCTACAGATTCTAGGGTATTTTCGACCAGTCGGTAAAAAGTACAAGTAGCCGCGCTCAAGATTCATTTGTCTGTTTCTATATTTTTTATAGAGTAACCTGCTGGAAGCATCTCCAGAGTCCATGCAAAAAGGGACTGAAAAAGAGTGGTACTATGGAAACAAGGAGAGGGAAAGATTAGGTCCTTTTAGCTTCAAAGAGGTCAGTACTAGCATCTGTAAGATAATGAAAAATTTATTGGCAGTTCTGTTTTGTTAAGCCCTGTCCTCACTAGCGACCCAAGCACAAGCATAAGCATAAGCATTACCATAAGAGAACGCAGGCATAAACCTAAGCAGCCTGCGTAGAAGGCGCTTGGAAGTAAGGGGCACAGGAAAGAACGGCGCGCGCGAAAGAGACACGCGAGGGGAGAAGGAGTAAACGATTTTCATGGGCCTCTCGGGCAGGTGCTCTCTCTCTCCTCTCGTGTCGCTCTCGCGCGCCACGCTCTTTCTTGTGCTCATTACTTTCAACTGTCTGCTGCGCAGGCTAAAACATAAACATAAGCATAAAAAGCTTATGCGTTAGTGAGGACGGCCGTGATATAGTCATGAGAATAAGTATAAGAACGCAAGGTTTATATGTCAAGGCCGTCCTCGGTCGCGTAAGCTCTTTATGCTCCTGCATAGGCATTCTTGCATCGATAGTGAGGACCAGGCTTAAAACAACTTAAAAGAGGATATCAATTCGTGACCGCTATTTCAGTGCACGTTGTAAATTTTTCAGATGAAGGACATGTCGGCAGAGGGTACTCTCCGCCCTGAAACAAAGTGTTGGGCGCAAGGTATGGATGGATGGAGACCACTGCAGAACATTCCGCAACTCAAATGGTACCTGCTGGCCACAGGAAATGCTGTTATGAATGAAACAGATCTGGCTGTGTTAATTCTGAATATGCTGATCAAAATATGTGAATTCTACCCCAACAGGTTACAACATCAATTTTATTTTTATTTGTTGCTTTGTTTTCTCCCATGAACGCAGCCTGCGAGCGGCGTGCGAGACGAGACGCCCCTCGCTGCTTTGCCGCTTAGACGCGCGTTTTTTTCAAAATAGAGAGCTTGCTCCCAGGCTACCTTGAATGCATCCTCGAAACGTCTGGTATTCCTCCTTTTTCAACGCATATTTTGATAAACATTGTCATTAACTCGATTATTTGCGTTGCACAGCCAGTTTCTTCAGAAGTTTTTGTAATGCTACCTCAAATGTTGTAATGCGGGCAGTTTTTTTCAGTTACTTTTTAATCACTGTGGAAGCAAACGTCCGGCTGGTGTCTCTGTGTACTCTTACGTAATTTTGGTGCGTATTCGAAGTTCCCCTCTTTTAACCATAAAGAACTAATGTTGTGTCTTAAGCTCATCATGGACTTCACATTAATCCGACATAATAATTTGTATTTTTGTTTGTTTGTTTTTCAGAGATATTGATGGTGCCATTGTCAGGCCGCTACCAAGAGCAAAGAGAATGTTATCCGAAGCCACCTGTCTGCCGCATATAGTTCAGGTATACACTTGATTTTGTGCTTGTTCTTGCTGAATCCTTCTCAACTGTCTTTTTCCATCCCTTTTCATTTGGCTTGAGGGAATGGCTTAAATAGAGCTCACTGAATAGCTTGAACTCCGAGGTTTGAAAGATGCTGAAATTTCCTTAATACCCATCACAACAGCCGTTCAGAGGCTTAGCTTTAATATTGGGATGCCACTATTTCATCCTATGGATTCTTCCCCCCCCTACCCTTGGGATTGCGTTACCATCCCTTGGGATTCCACTACCCCATCCTTGAGAACTCTTGAACAACCCCACACGTGGGATTCCACTAACTTACCTTTAGGATTCCAACACCCCACCCCTGAGATTCCATTATCCCCTTTTTGGTACTCCATTGCCACACCCTTGAGATTTCATTACCCCGCCCTTAGAATTTCAGCTCCCCTTTCATGACTTTTAGTTTATGGGTCACAAAAGTCCTTCTTTGCATCGCGTGCTTCACCCATCGCCATTATTGTTACCTTGTAGTAACTTACAGACACCACTGTTTAACGAACTTCTAAAAATCTCTTGTAATGATTTTTACAATTCTAAGAATCCGTCTAAGTTTTTTTTTTGTCAGAAATGGACCTGTTTTATGACACTTAACAGTTTATGTAATGTGTTATGTAGACGCACATTGCACGTACACGCACTTTTTAATTTTTTTCATTAAATTCATGCACTGTCTCCGTCATTGCAGCTGTTATTAACATTCGATCCCATAATTGTGGAGAAGGTTGCCATTCTGCTTCTAGATGTGATGGTGGTAAGCGAAAAATTTAATATGAGCTTATTCTTATGATAACTTTGTTAGATTAAGGCTATGTTCACATTAAACTGGATAGCCTCTTGCGCCGACACGAAAATCTTACGGGATAGGACTTCTGTTCACACACAAGAAGGATGATCTTCGCGCCATTTCTGTAACGGAGCGAAGCTGCGCCACACCGATCTTGCAAGTGGATCGTCACATATCGCATAGGTTTCTGCCACTCTTCATCACAGTGTGAACACTTTATTCGGACTGTAGCGGAAGTGAATAGACAGCTTTAGAGCGAGATTTTCTCAGTACTAACTAGTGCGCGTGCGTGAACCAGCGTTATTTTGGCGGGAAAATGTGGTAGCCGTCTTCTCTCTGCTACGAATTTTAGCGAGAATGTCAAAGTGGCGGAAACAAGTTATCAAATGTTAGTAGTTTTATCTTTTTGCGATCAGGAAAGGGTGTAACCTCCTTCACTTAAGGCAGCAGTGTTAACTTTTATACTGAAAACAGGTAAAATGAAGCTTTCCGGGGAGTCTATATTTTGAGAATACGTGAAAAAACTTGAAGTCAAATCTCGTACTCGTAGTCGTCCTTGTCCTTGAATCTAAAGGTCTCTAATAAGAGGAGGCGAGGACTGGAACCCACGGAAACGGAAGTAAATATTCAGGAGGAAAGGAACGATTGGTATTTAGTGCACCATGCTCACTCGGCCAACCGAACCGGTCGATGTTTGATGCGAGTCGGTGAACGACTTGTTTCATTTCTTTGTTGTTGTCATTCGTAATGTTCCCGACAGCTTTTCATGTCCCCACGAAAAGTTATCCGGCATATTGTAGGCATAGCTTAAGTCCTGACAGCGATCGTCAATCAAAATTGCAATGGGAATTAACGGTACGATCATCGAAGATATTACAACGATATTCTGCTTAGTACAGCTGTATAGAAAGTGTGAATTTAAATGATAATAGTGCGGTCATGCTGTGAGTGCTAACAGTGAGAAACTCTGCCAATCCTTCTGTACTGCAAGTTTTACAAGGGATAAACAAGAAAATGTTTTTGACCCCAGCAAGGATTGGACTCACGTCCTCCCAACTGAGCTACGAGGCTAATTGGGGGGCAGGTCATGAGCGTTTTGAAATTTTAGTTGATGAAGATGTTCTTAAGGTGTCACTGAGCATGTGTTTTACGGGGGGAAGTGGGGAAAGGATCAACCAATAAAAATCTAATAATTCTAGGAAAATTAGAACCATCAGTTGAGTGAAACCACTCAGTATTTTTTTTATCTTTGGTTCCAGGACAATCCAATCCTACCTCGACTGTATCTTACTGGAGTATTCTTCTTTATCATGATGTACACGGGTTCAAATGTTTTACCAATTGGAAGGTAACGAAACGTTTTCTTGCAATAGCCACATCTTTATTTGCATCCCAAGTGAACCACAATGGAAAATGAAAGATTTCATTTCGTACAGTTCCTTAAGGGTAGATTTCCTCTGAAGCGTTATTTTTACGTGTTTACGCGCGTTAAATTTACGTGCGTATATAAAGTAGAGGAGATGTATGAAAAGGCCGCGTGTAAACGTAAAATTGAGCAGGGTTCAACTTGAACGTTTACGCGCGACCTCCCATACATTGCTTTTATGCTATTTACGCGCGTTAAATTTGCGCGCGGGCGCACGTAAAAATTACGCGATACTGGAAATCCACCTTAAAGCAAGATTTTCTCGGCAAAAGTGATGCTGAAGCACTATAGGATTTCGACCTTGGACTCGAAGTTAGAACCAACTGTTCATACCAAAATAATTTTTGATGGAGCTTTAGATGCGCTTCGTGTATGTTTTCAGATTTCTTCAGGAAGTGCACACAAAACAGGCCTTCAGGACGGAGGAGGTTTGTGATGAAAGAAGTCTCTTTAATGCATGAGAGTAGTATTGGTGGTACATGTTGTTGTTGATGTTGTTATATCGTTTTAAATATCATAAAGTTGGAGAAGCGCCGTCGAAGATTTAGCGTTAAGAAATGAACATTTTCGTTCGCCTCTTTGCTTTTAATATTGAAGTAGATCAGGCATTCTAGTTAGCGACCAACAGAAAGGTGAAAATAGAAAATTAAATAAAATGTCCTGTCAATTCTATCCCTATATTAGAGGGTCACCTTTCTAATACGGCTAACCTTGGTCTAGACTGCAAGCAGTCTCTTTTTCTCGTTAGATTTAGTGAAGGGAGTGCGCGCGCGCCAGCATCGACTGGCGAAGCCGCGAGACGCGAGAAACGAGGGCATCTCCAGTCTCGCGCGCGGTCATTTTAGCTCGACGTACTAAGAAGGAGAGACTGCTCGCAGTATTGTAGTCTAACTTTGGTCCTTAACGCTGGTCAGACATATTCTTTGACTCTCAATAATGCGGAGGTCCAAGGGTATCCGAAAGGTTGACTTTAGAAGAGGGAAAATATAACAGTAAAATAATAACAAATTTTCTTTTCAGAATAAATCTTCGGACTTGATCCAGAGAAGCATTCTTGGCCCTCTCCTTCCAGAGGCCATGGTTTGTTACCTCGAAAATCACGGTAAGGTGACATTTTACGATTCTTCTAAGATTACGATTTTATCACTGTCATGTGCCACAGCAATGATGTAGCAACTTTTTTTTTTTCACCCAGGTCACGAAAAATTTGCGGAAATATTCTTGGGAGAATTTGACACGCCTGAAGCCATCTGGAACAGCGAAATGAGGTATAGAGATATTGCTCTTGCCACGAGAACATAAAATTCATATCTTCGAGCTAACGTGTAATATTCTTTTTATCATATAAACATACTGATGACGGCGTTTTTGATGATTTTCCGAAGATTTCCGACCACCTTCCGAAGATTTCCGAAGATTTTTCAAATTGTCCCGAAGACCAGACGAACGTTCCCGAACATTTTCCGAAAATTTCCGAAGATTGCCGAGCACTTTCGAGGAAGACCCGACGATGTTTCGATGATACACCAACGAATTTAAGTACAATTTTTAAAAGAGACAAACCTGATGTCAGTGAAATTATCGATATCTTCACATGTAAAAATATCGTATTTTTACGTGTGTTCAGATACCACATTTCTCGGTGGTACAAATCCTTGTAAAACACTGCAGTTTATATAATAATTGCTTTTTTAAACAATTCAGTTTGTTGTTTCCTGCTTTTGTTTTAGGCGTATGATGATAGAGAAGATCGCTTCTCATTTAGGAGACTTCTCACCCAGGCTTCAAAGTAACACTAGAGCACTTTATCAGGTTAGGAATATTCCAGTAGTTGACTCCTTCAAATTTGAACGGATAGCGTTGAAGTGTGAAAAAATCATCGTCGTTGTCGTCATCTAACAAAGTTCTTAACATTTTGCTCACAGTACTGCCCAATCCCAGCGATTTCATATCCACAACTGGAAAACGAGTTGTTCTGCAACATCTTCTATTTACGTCATCTATGTGATACGGACAAGTTTCCTGATTGGCCAATCAGAGAGCCAGTAAGTTTGACGTTTTTCCTTGTTTACAAGCTTGATCAAAGAGCCATTGCCGCTGACATGCCCAAGTTCCGTCTTCACTAATTCAATGTTGTGGTACTGAATGCGACAAAAATATTAGCACTACTTTTTGAAGCGTTGAATAGCGGACGTCAAACATGAAAATGACGTGGAAAATGAGATTAGTTAATTAGGATGCTAGATTTTTCCCAGCATGAGTATCGCTAGTTGATTTTTGCATTTCGCAGTGCAGTGTTTTTACCTTCAATTTCGACCCCAGAGCAGCACGGGCAACGAGGATGTGTTTCCTTTGCCTGTGACGGCTGTTTGCCCCCACCCCTCCTCCCTTATCATTATGAGCATGGAAAAATTCTCTTCAACGAAGTCATCGCTTCTTCACTGAGTTCAGATGCCAAATGAAAGGTGTGACTGCGATGCGGTTGCCATGACTACCTCGTTTTAGGTGTGTTTACATTCATTTCCGGCCCCTACCTCCGCCCCATACCGCCACTCATGATCACGTGGTACTTTGTGCCTTTCGAGCTTACCGACAAGCGGTGAGAAGAAAGGTTAACTCGAATTCTTTTGTTTATTTGCAGGTTCGCCTACTGAAGGACATCCTAGAAGCTTGGAAGAAGGAAGTGGAAAAGAAACCCTCGGATCTGACATTAGACGAAGCCTATGAAACTCTCAAAGTTAAAAAAGACCCCTCAGGGTAGGACGTGGCTTTAACGAGTCCACACTTCAAGTCAAAGTCTGTCTGTATGATTTTACTCAAAGGCTGAAACTATGTTATGCGGCCATGTAAATAGCATCACACACTTGATGTGGCCCCGTCGGTTGTTTTTATAGTAAAACATCTCGATGTCCTTTTCGGAAACCAAGAGCCTTCGGGTTCTCTTCACAAAATGCTGGACATGTCGGGTGTTTTTTGGTGGCGCGGAAACTATAGTCTGCTACACGTTGCGTGACCACACTAAAAACGGCTGTGTAGCAGACTAAGGAAACTATTGTTGGTTCGCTTTTGTTTTATGGTGTAGCTATTGTTTTTTGTCTTTTCAATCTCTCGTATTACGTCACTTTCGTGATTGCGCTGGTCGTCAATACCAAGCAACCACCAACTTATCCGATAACAAACCTTTGAATATTTTTGTCCAACTGTTCTGTTTCTCGGTGCATACTGTGAAAGGCTTTTGTTATTCTTTTAGAATAATTGATTACTTATTCTTTCAATGCAGAAAAGTCGATGAATCCAAGATAAGAAAAGCTTATTTCAGATTGGCGCAGAAATATCATCCAGATAAGAACCCCGAAGGACGGGTAAGAAACGATTTTGTGCAAAAATACTCTCGCAGATATTGTAGTTAAACTCGGATCAATGTAGGTTTCTGAGAAACTGCCCACCTACTCCTCCCCTAACTCAACATTAACGCTTACTTCTTACTTAGGGCAAAATGTTGGGTTAGGGGACGGGTAGGTGGGGAGTTTCCCCAGAAATCTAAAACGTGGGGGAAGGTGCCTGTGAGGTTGTGGGAGCCCCGAACTGCAGCCAAGTGCAATGCGTAACCTCGACAACCGGAGAGTGGCATCCACCGATGCACCGTCACACTGCTAACCAGTGGAACCTAACATACCCACCATACTTACCGTAGGGGGAAGGGTAGGGAGCAGAAAAAAAGACTTTGCAAACACGAGCGACGACAGGCAACGAAAACCAAAAGGTAATGACCTGACCCCAAGAGAATAGCTGTGAATAGACTCATGAGCCCCTGCGACGCGGTTTGGACGCCCCCGCATATGTCATAGCTTAACATAGAAGATTGTAATTTTAAATTATTTGGAAAACAGTCGATGTACCAGGTGGTATAAGACCCCAAATAAAAAAAATTATCTTTTCTTGTCTGTCCAGCAATGTCTTGAGTTTAACTGAGCGCTACATGCAACTTTTATTAACTTTCCTTCCATATTCCGTTTTAGGACATTTTCGAGAAAGTTAGCAAGGCGTACGAGTTCCTGTGTTCGAAGGATTCCAAAAAAGTTCAAGGACCTGATCCCCACAATATTGTGCTTATCCTTAAGGCGCAGTCCATTCTCTTCAAACGTTACAAGGAAGGTAAAGTTAAAACAGCGAGAGTGACTTTTTGGTCAAGATCTGTCAAGAAGATGTTTCGTTGTGTGGACAGGAAACTGCAACCTCGCCAGTTAGACAACAAATCTAGGAGCTTAGCTTTGTCGTATGCAAGGCTGAATCTTAAAAACGTAGGACGATTCGTTTGTTTTCGTGTCATAGATCTATAGGTTGGAGGTGGTGTTTATTAACTTAGGGCGGTATTTTTTTTGTAACAGTTACATCAACCCAAGCTAATTCATCAAACACATTGACAACGTTTTTCTGACTCAAACTATTTGTACATTCGCAGAGCTTCAGCCTTACAAATACGCGGGTTATCCCATGTTGATAAAAACCATCAGATTGGAAACAGAAGATGGATCTGTGTTCTCTAAAGATGCCCCACTGTTGACAGCCGCTAGTGAACTCGCTTATCATACAATGAACTGTTCTGCGCTTAACGCAGAGGAACTCCGCAGAGAAAACGGCATCGAGGTAAAAAAAAAAAAAAAATGCTGAATGTGTATCAGGTCGTTGTTTATTACTAAGATAGTCTTGAGGTGTTTTTAATAGCCCTTACTTTCAGTAGCCTCTGGATTTGAAGGTTCCATTTATGTATTGTAATACTTTTATTGTTGATATAATTTTTATCAGGTGGCTGTTGATCAATGTGAGTGGGCTGTTACTGAATTCAGTCCAATGACTTGTTTTTTTCTTTATTTTCCGTAGCTGTTCGAATCGGATAGCCTGTTTGCTAATCTGCTACACAGCCGTTTTTAGTGTCGTCACGCAACGGTCCTCTCCATGAGGGAGGAGCGTTGCGTGACGACACTAAGAACGGCTGTGTAGCAGACCAGACTACCTGTTTGCTTGATTAGCAGCCAAAAGTCGTAAAAATTTGTTTGTTTTCATTGCTCGTTTACATCAACAATGAGTTTATTTCATATTCAGGCTTTACAAGAAGCTTACAGCCGATGTTTAACAGCCATTAGTAGGCTTACTGAGCCTCATGAAATAGCTGTCCAGGTAAGATGAAAAAAATAATGACCACCTAGTCAAACGAATGTTGCAGCTTGAAGTGTAAAAAAATCTCTGGTTTTGTTTTCTTCCGTAAAAATTAAATAGCAGTACCTTGTGAGAGAAAAAAGGTGTTATTTTAATATTCTGGTCATAGGTTTTTCCCCACGAGTTTCATTGTTGGATTTAACGGTCGCTTACCTATAGAAAACCTTTTCTGTAAGTTCTCGAAAAATCGGTCTAGCCTACTGCCTTTCCTGCCTTGGACAAAGATTTCTACTGTTAGTCGCGTAAGTGCGACGGTTTTGAGTTTTAGGGAGAATTGAACTTGACTTCTGCTTGTTGGTCCCTTTTCAGGTGTGCACCCATATCACAAAATGCTACACTGTGGCGTCCCAATTTGAAGAATGTCGTGAGAAGATCACAGAAATGCCAGAAATTATTAAAGATCTTTGCCGTGTTCTATATCACAAGGTTTGTAAATGATGTTGTTACAGTTTTTACAATGCTGGCTTTATCTCCCTCAAAAAGAGTCACATTTACTTCCGCATTTCTTTGAGATCTTGAACGTCAGTTCAATGTCAATCGAATCTCTCTTCTTTTCCTTCTGATGAACACTCCTGATCGCTAACCTCTATTAACCCTTTAAGCCCCAATATCCACATGCAAATTCTCCAAACTGATCTCTATACATTTTCTTAAAGAATGTGTTGAGAGAATTTGGTAAAAGAGCCAAGGCATTTTCTCTTAGGTGATCAATTTATTAATTCTCATAACCTAATCTCTTGACAATCGATAGATATGGTTAGGAGAAAATTGATGTTGGTCACCAACTACTTAACTAACTACAAGCCATGAGTTCGAATCCCGTTGAAGTCCCAAGATTTTCTTCGCGTTTATTTGCAGTTGTTTAAATTGCAATTACTACTGCGACCGTCATATCTTCATTTAAAAAAATTGTATTTCCGCAGTTTACATCATCTTCATGTAACTAGAATCTAGTCAATAAAACTATTGCATATGTACGTATATAGGTTGTGATTCAGTTGTATCCTTACTGCAGTGTCTTATTCGCCACTTTAGAAACGAGCGGGGAACTGGAGCCGAAATGTGTCCCGCAAGTGTTACTGGGATCGTTACTGGGGACGTGGCGGTCAGCTATTGGCCACTTTTCGTTGTCCTTAGCTACAAACATTCCCAGAAGTCTTGGCGAAAGTTTTCTCGACCCAGTTTCCGTCTCAATTGTAAAGTGGCGAATTTTCATTTACTTTATGTTTGCTACACTCCCAAAGCCCGCTCCTCCCACCCCACCCTCTCTATTTTTGTTGTTAGGTACTGATACGTTTTTTTCATCTCTAAAAAAGAATCTTCCAGCTCTTTGCTCGGTGGCAGCTGAATGTGTCAGCGCTTTCTCCGTGGAGTTCTGGCTTCAAACACAGCTCTTACAGGTAACGTGATCAAAAACCTGAAATCTTTCAGTTTTGGGGAGAGAAAAGTAGTGACGAGTAGCAAGTTTTCAGTGGGTTCAGTTCCTCCTTCGATGATGTTTCTTATCTTATTTGCAGTCGTTCAGTAGAGTGTTTATGGGATGATGATTTTCTTGTAGGCTGGCGTGTTGTGGCATTTGCTGTTGTTTCTGTTCAACTATGACTATACATTGGATGAAAGTGGTGTAGAGAAAAGCGCGGAGACCAACCAACAGGTTTGACTGTTTGAATGTAAATATACTGTATGCTTTGTCTAGTAATGCTTATATTATATTATACCACTGACATCTGCTTATATTTTGTTTTACAGGAAATTGCAAATAACCTTGCGCGGCTGAGTGTTGATGCTCTGGCAAGACTCGGCGGATATCTGTGTAAGTGAATAAAGATTTTTAGAGTACCTTTTAACGTCGAAACCGCAACACCGAAGGGAATCACTCTCGCCAAATGTAACACTCGCAAACAATATTAAAAATGAGCCAATCAGCTTTCGAAGTAAGTTTATGAAGCAGGCGCGATCGGCGGGAAAATTCAATGTAACCAGGTCACAATTAGTCGAACCTGATAGGTTGAGAAAGTGGCGCGATATTTTTTAACCAGTCACAAAGCCTTGTAAGACAGACACCAGCAAACATTAAATAATTGTTGAAGCTCGAAAAAAAAAAACGATTCGCTATTTGCACATTTCCCACAATTTTGTTCCCAAATTTTGCTCTAGCATTGTCTTCAATTTCTCTTGGACCGACAGTAATACCCAGGAGAAATTAAAAACAAAGGTTATGCAATATACTTTTCTGGGAGGTGGGCAAGCAAGTTGTATTGTATGAGATGCGCAAATGACGAATTAAGGAAGATTTGTTAATCGTTAATTCTCGAGCGAGTGACAAATCCAAGTAAACAATAAAAACTGTTGTCCTTAACGTGAAAGTTGCTTCTCTCCTAGTCATGGTTTCATACTGTTTTGAACGGTTTTTTTTTGGTCTTTCAGCGGACGAAAATGCAACACCTGAGAACCCAGCCATAAGGAAATCTCTGTCCAGCATGTTAACGCCATACATTGCCAAGCAATTCAGCAATGACTCACCAAAAGAGGTATGTGCGGAAATTAGCTTAAGGAGTAATAAAGATCAATAGGAGGACTCTTAAAAAAACATCGCTCAATGACCTGCAACAAGTGAGGTTTCCACAGACGCACGATTTTTCAAGTTGGTCTAACTTCTCAGACTGATTTTAACCAATACGAAAGTGGAAATCCAAGATAGCGGCCGTTTATGATTATGTAATGTTTGCTTCATATGCGTTACAGTCAACCTACGGTATATGAGACCTACACTGACCTGCTGTAAACGCATCATGTTAATCAGAAGAGACAGTGCTTCATTGCACACCGAAACACTGAAACAGCATATCAAACAATGAGGAGAGGACTGTAGTAAAAACGAGTAGCGGAGTAGTTTTAACGAACTTTGAGGTGATCGTGTGATGTAACAGTGTATAGAGTGTTTTCACGGGAAAATAACGGTTGCGACAAGCGAAGAGCGTTTTCTTTAGATGACCAAACATGTCACAGTGCGTTTTTCTTGGTCTCCCTTTTGTATTGTTGATGAGTTTGAGAATGTCGTAGCCTCTGCGTCCTTGAAATTTACGCAGAGACCCGTCCCTCTCGGCACTTGACGACAGAAAAGCGTCGTGTTTTTTTTATTTTAAAACCTTTGACTTCGTGTGTTTTAAACTGTTCTCCTTAGATCCTCAAGATGCTGAACAGTAATACAGAGAACCCCTACCTAATCTGGGACAACGCGACTCGTGCTGAGCTCACTGAGTTCCTTGAGAGAGAACAAAGCAGGAAAATTGAAACGGTAAATAAGCTTTACAATCTTCGTATGTTTGTAACCCGTGAAACAGCATAGACCTTTCCTTTCTGATCATCCTTGTTTTCGTTTTCCAGGGCGATTGTGACACCTCGTTTGGTGCTAGGTTTACTTTCTCCATTTTTAGCGAAGAGCTAATTGTGGGCGAGATTTTTGTGCGCATCTACAATGACCAGCCTCTATTTCCGCTCGAGGTGAGAATTGTAATAGTCTTAAATTCCGCGCATGCACGCTTCGGATTAAGCACTGTGTTAACTAATCACACATAAGACAAGCCAGGCGTTGTTGTCTACGCGTGTCTCCCGCGCTTTGCACGTGTACTGTGATTGGTTCACTGGGTTTTATGATAAGGCGTCACGTTATGTTCGCCCAGAGAAGTATATTTGGATTTGGGAGAAAGGAGTGGTGCAGCCTCCCTGCAATGTGACCTGAGTTTGATCTCCGGAAGCGGCTACATATATAGGTAGAGTACTTGAGTTTCTAGTTGGTTCTTTCGGGTGCTCTGGTTTTCCTTACTCTTTAAAAACCATCATTCCCAATTTCCATCAGGGCGCTCGAACGCATAAAAACAAGTTCTTAAGAGCTTAAGGGTCTTTCCTTGGTATACAAATTACATTTAAAGCACCTATTGAGACACTGCGTGGTCTTAAAGTAAAGCATTATATAGTCTCTACTGAAACTTTTTCGAAGAGAATCTGCCTCTTCAAGTTACAGGTCATGAACGTTTGAACGGGGAAGATTTGTAAATAACTAACGTACCCGTGTTTTTGTTCTAATTGTAGGCTCCTCTGAAATTTGCAGCAGATTTAATTAACTTCCTCGGTTCAGAGGCACAGGTTGGTAAAGTGAACAACATAGCAGTGCTTTTTGAAGTGTTTGTTGGGAAATAATGTGCTAAAACTAGGCTTGCATCCCGCCGAGCTCGATATCTCGAGTCAACTCTGGATACTTCGAGTGTAGGCCCGAGGAAAGTTGCCTTGGAGTTAAAAAGGTGGTATTATTATGTATGATTTTTTTATTATTATTTTATAATTTCCGTTTCCAGTACCTTCACTCTTTGATGGCGCTCACGTCAACTGAGCTGGATTGTCAGAAAAATCAAAAAAGGCTGGACGCAAGTACAATGGCTCTGGAAGCACTCAGAAACGTCATCAAAAACAACTCAGGTAAATAACTGTTCAGTTCAGGGTCCTGTTGCTTAACATAACTTAAGGTGAGGGTTAGTGCGAACATTTGAATTCTTTTGGTCTGCAATTTGGTGATTGGATGCTCTTAAAAGGAAAGGGAAAATTGTCCGAGAAAATGCTTTTTAACAAAAGAAACAGAAATCCGGATTAAAATTTAACCCCGGGTTAGCGATAATCGATCTTCAAACTGAGTTCAGGGATCCTTCTTTTGACCTGGCCCCAGTTGTTCAAAAGGTAGATAAAGCTATCCACCAGATCAATCTCTATCTAACGGATAGGTGTCCTTAATACTTTTCCTATGGGTAACGATTTCTCCGGTGGATAGCTCTATACAGCATTTGAAAAACTGGGGCCTGTACCTTCCAAACCACCTCACCGCTGGAACGCTACCATCAATTTTGTAACCACCTGAACTCTGTTGTTTGTTCACCTTCCAGGCACGGAAGCGCAGTGTATCGGTCATTATAGACTGATATTCTCACTGCTAAGGATGACCCATGCAACGAAACTTCAGAAGTTTGCACTCCAGGTAAGTTGAAAGGTTGCTTTAGAGGCGATTACGATCAATGGCATTTTTGTGGATGCTCATATTGCAGTGTCACATCCAAAATACAAACATCCGTACAGTGGTGGTACAGAGTCTTGAATTATTGGAAAAGTCTTGAAAATTGCCCAGCGATTTTCCAGATCTGGAAAACGTCTGGAAAACAGAGACAAAATCTGGAAAAATGGTAGAAAGTCTTGAGTTTTTTTTCAAAGCTACAACAGGTGTTTTATAAGTGTTTTAGTTTTTCTTTTGTCGTTTTGGTCAAATCTTATTCAATCTCGCCCGTACGTTTGCATCGTGAAAACAAGCTTTGTTTTCCACCTGTTTGATAACTTGGAGTCTGGAAAAAGAAATGATTGTTTTGGAAAAATAAAGTGTCTTGAATGTTGGATCCAAATATCTGTACGAACCCTGTCCATAGTAAATATGGCGAACAAAAGGTTTTGCTGGTGACAGGGTAAGGCGTTTATGAGTGTTTCTGTTCAATGGCAGGTAATCTCAAGCACCACAGGAAACAAGAACTGTGTTTCAAATATTGCTGATTCTGATATTCTTGGATTCCTTTTCCTCACACTGCACACACTTCCCTCAGGTATCGTTCCTGGATTTCTATGTTTTCGATCGATTATTTCGGGCTTAAACTGATTTGTTAGTGACATTTCTTGTGTTCTCACTTCAGATCGTCTGTTGACCGTTGATACAATGCATGCGCTGTGTTCAAACACGAAGCTTGTTAAGGAGACAATGCATAAGGGTAAGCAGCTTAGAACAAACACAACCTGACTGAAGAAATGTGGGCTTATGCTGTGTTTAAAGGGGTCCTAAGAGTAAACAAATCCCCTTAATATTTATTATTATTCTCAGATGTATATCTGCTACAGTGGGTAGAAAAGCTGTGAATAAACCGTTATTATTATTATTATTATTATTATTATTAGAAGTAGTAGTAGTAGTAGTAGTGGTAGTAGTATTGTTGTATTATTATTGTTATTATTATTATTACTCGTAAAAATGATGTAAACTCAATGATAGATGATGGATGTAAGGGGTTCTCTCTGCTCTTCATAATCATTTAATTTTACAATTCTCCTCAGTCTCATAGTGAATATTACTCATTTTAGATTCTCATTAGATTGTAATACAGTATGCGTAGTTTTAATATTTTTACTTTTTTATTGTTTACGTAATTCCAGTTATAAATATTTATTGTGTCCGCAAATTAGTATGGGGTTTTTCCCAAGCTATACGGCTCCGACACATTAATAAAGTTTTCTATCCATCTATTGACATTCTTAACTCTTGTATGTTACTTCATTACATTGTAACTGTTGTCACCTAAAGTTGAGTTCCTCTTTATCAGGTGGTCTTATTTACCTTCTCGACTTATACTGCAATGGTACAAACCCAACTGTCCGCGAACGATCTGCAGAGCTGTTTTCAAAAATGATGTCCGACAAGCTCATAGGACCTAAAGTCAAGATCGTCTTGGCCAAATTCCTGCCCGCCATCTTTATGGATGCCATGCGTGATAACGCTGAGGCCAGTGTGCACATGTTTGAAGGTGAGTTATAGAAGGTCAAGTTTTCTGCCGGAAGGCGGAAGTGTACTTCCCCAGTCTGATTATCCATTAGAAACTAGTCTCTTCATGGCAAAATCTTTCAATCTGGCAAGTTATACGTCAAACGCGACAAGGATTGTTTCATTCGATATTCAGATACCGTGGAGTAATATATCAAGCACGATTCATCTGATTATCAAACACCGATAAGTTAACAACTGCATCGCTAAAATGGAGGTTGGGTGCCTGAAGTATCCAGGGGCTTCCACTATTGGCAGCAAGCCCCTAGATTGAAATAATGCCCCCATGACCGGCACAACAGCGCAACCCAGCCATGACCCCCCACACGAAAGGAAAGGAACAGGCACCCGTCATACTGAAAACATCAGTGGAGAAAAACCCAACAAGCCTAGGGGTAGGGCGAGAGGGGAAGAAAATGGCCGCCAGAACCCAGCACGAAGGTAAAACTGAACGCGCCAAGGAATCACATGATCGATGTAGCCAGCCACCGGGCGTGCGCATGCCAGCATGCCAAAGAGCGCTGACCTAGGCACCCAGGCGCTCCTAGTTGTTAACTCCTTTAAATTGCATTTAAATGCATTTATATATCAAACACGAGGAGTGTTTCATGTGATATATCAAACACGAAAAGGAGTGTTTCATGTGATATATCAAACACGAAAAGGAGTGTTTCATCTGATATCCAAACACCGAGAAGTAATATATCAAACACAAGAAGGAGTGTTTCATCTGACATCCAAACACTATAAGTAATATATCAAACACAAGACGGAGTGATTCATCTGATATCCAAACACTGAGAAGTAACACGTCAAACACAAGACGGAGTGATTCATCTGATATCCAGACACCGAGAAGTAATATATCAAACACGAGAGGGAGTGTTTCATCTGATATCCAAACACTGAGGAGTAATATATCAACAAAAAGGAATAAGTAATGTAACATACACAATACAGTAATAGAGACGATAAGCATCCCTGTCTCTTTCATTTGGGAGTTTTCCTGGGGGTGTCGAGCCCCTTTTATGTCGACCGACCTGTGTAACGAGTGGTATTCTTCACCCCAGTCACAGTTAAATGTATGAGATAGCACCCTCTTATAAGGCACCCCTGTTATAAGAAACGCGTTTTCCCAGTTTGCTTGCATTCCGTTATATCAGGAATCCACTATGTCTGGAAATCGGACGTAAAAGTTTGTTACAGCTTGTTAATTAACTTTTTAACGAAAGTAAACTTTCGTAAAAAACGTTTTGGCAGTGCTTTCCTTTATTTTCTCTCTACGAGTTATTTATGATTCTGAGAGAGTCATTTATTCTTTGTGCAGCCAATCAGGAGAACCCTGAGTTGATATGGAATACAGAAGCTAGAGAGAAAGTCTGTTCGGTAATCAAAAAGCTCAAAGACAGGTAAGTCTTTCAGTGGTTTTCGTGTGTTACGTCAACTCTCTTTAAAGGCAGATTTACACGGTACGATTTTTGCTTACGATTATCGTGTGCGGATAGCATACGTCATGACTTACGACCATCCACACACGCACAATTTTCACCTAGGACATCCACAATGTGTCGTACGAATGTCGTGGGTCTAATAGGCCGTTAACGAGTTCCCTCGGGTTTCTGTATCAAAACGAAGTTAAGTGCTCAGCCTTTGATGTGGAAATGATTTTTCATTCTCATGCAAACAAAACTCATTTTCACCAGAAAGGTTGTGCACTTGACCTCATTTTGAAAGTGACGGTTTTTGGAACTCGGAAGTGGCGTATTTACACGACAAGATCTACCGTGAAGTCATGACCTATGCTAGTCGCGCACGTTAGTGGTAAGCAAAAATCGTACCGGCTAAATCGGCCTTAATACGGACACATTTGGGACAGCACTAGATGTTCGTCCAAGAATGAAGAGTGATGCCCGTCTTATAGAGAGTCAAATAAAGGGAGTAAAGAAAGTAAGGGACCAACTCTTGGTGTCTGTTTTACCGAGGTGTCCGTAAAGACAGAGTCGACTGTATTCATTTTGATCATTGTGTTAGCTGGCTGTTCAACAAAGAATGGTGCAGTCTGTTGGTGACTTGGCAGCACGCGTGCCCTCGCCTCACACCCTTTTTGGCTTTGGTGGGGGTACCATTATCGGTGCCGACATTTGTCAGTTGTGTTGGATAGTAAGCCTTGCTCTAAGGGCTTTTCTCCGGGTTCCTCAATCTTTCTGCTTACCCAAAACCAATAATTCGATTGATAATTTTCGGGTTACAAGTTTGTCAGTCAAAAGATTATGTATAATGTGAAGAAAAGGTTATTCATTTATATCTTGACACTATTTAGGATACACTGTTCATTGAATTATATGTATTCTTCTTTTATTTAGTCATTACCAGGCGCAGAAGGACAGTCCTGATATTCAGTGGAAGGTTAACTGGATCCTTTATACTGTGTTTTTGTTAACTTGCCTCTTCAAAGCCTAAGAAAACAGCCGACATTTCGTGACGCGACCACTGGTTTTCCCGCGAAATGACGTCTGAGAAACAAGCGCAGAAATTCCATACTGAGGACGCGCCACTAACCAGATCATGGTAGAAGCAGACAGACTTCCGGACAAACGTCTAGGCAAACTTCCAGACAAACGGCTAGACAAACGTCCAGACTAACCTAAGATCCGGCCCAGTTTTAGCGGTTGTCATACATTCTCTCTAACGGCTACCGCTTGGTTTTCGTTTCGCCGTGCCCGCCGGAATGTTATTACAAAGCGAAACGAAAATTGAGCCTAATCTCAGGTTACTTTCAGACAAACCTCCGGACAAACTTCCAGACTAACCTGAGACCAGGCCCAATTTTAGCGGTTGTCATACATTCTCTAATGGCTACCGCTCTGTTTTCGTTTCGCCTTGCCCGCCGGAATGTTATTACAAAGCGAAACGAAAATTGAGCCTAATCTCAGGTTACTTTCAGACAAACTTCCAGACAAACTTCCCAGATGTGGGTAGTGACCCGTCATCAGAATGGAATTTCTGCATTCGTTTCTCAGACGTCATTTCTTGGGGAAACGGGTAGTGGCGTCGCCAAATGTCGGCTGTTTTGTCAGGCTAATCTCTTCAGGAAGCTACCAGACGTATTAAATAATTTTTTTTTGGTTTGTTTGTTTCAGCTTCCCGAAGACTTCCAAGTTTTATTTGACGATGCTGCTGGTGAATTAATTATCGGTGGAATTTATCTCAGACTGTTTATCCAGCAACCTGCGTGGGTAAGTGTCATGAACGTTTCCATTTGCCCCCAAACATCATTCTGGGATCGTAACTTGGGACGCGCCGGTCAGCTATTGGACAAGATTTTATTAACAGTCCCAGGTGTCTTTGCGTAAGTTAAATCGGCCCAGTTCCCTTCTCGTTTCTGAAGTGGCGAATGCACACCTGATTGGCTCTTTTGAGGTCTCGTTTGAGACTGGGTCGGTGTTGTGTCGAACTGCATTATGGGACTGTTTTGGGGGCGAATTTTGACCCAGTTTCCTACGCAACCTCGTATTCACCAATAAAAGAGCTTTCGCAAACAGTCCCATAAGGTAACCTACAAATAATCCTCCCTTTGAACCTTCGACGTTGCAGATTTAACAAAAATATTCTATTTTTCCGCGCCCCTGTTGATAAGTCCAAAACTCTCTTAACGTGTATTTCAGTTTTTTTGACAGGTTCTTCTTGAGTGTCTTGACACTCACAGTTACTTTTTTGTAATTTACAGCCTTTCACGAAACAGTGAGCATCCCACCTCTTCTATTAGCCCTCCAGCCTGTTAAGTCCCACACCTTCGACGTGCAGATCTTAACAACTCTCTTAACGTTTCTTTTTTTGACAGGTTCTTCGAAAGCCGAAGGAATTCCTGATAGCTTTACTTCAGAAGTTTGTCGATTTGCTTGCAAAACCGCCCTCCGATGTAAGTGGAGAATTACCTTGAACTTCTCAACAATGTCTCCCGTAAATATGCTGCCGAAATTCAGTCCTTCCTTGTGAAAATCACAAGGATATATGGTTTCCTATTTCGTACTTTTTTAACTTCAACTTCAACTTCAACTTTATTTAAATTTGGAAATATAACAAAACATACATTGGGATTGGTTTATTCGGGGTTAGACAAATACAAAGAAATTAGACGTTATATAAGTATATGCAATTTACATTAAATAGATACTATTCTACTTAAATGCAAGGACAATATTAAAGTGGAATTTTGAAAATAAAATAAAATGAAAATAAAGGACAAGAGAATTACTTTTTCATTTTCACGATGATCGTATCCACATCAATATAGCAGTCTTACTTGTTTATTCGGGGTTTCTAGAAAGGGCCGCCAGTATACTTCTGTAAGTATGTATTTTTGACAAGGTCCTGTGTTCTTGGAATGACACCTGTTTCTTTTTCTACTCTAGGGAGAAGTGCTCGAGACTGTTACCCAGGCCACTCTGTGCCTGTTCACGGCGCAGCCCTCGCTAGCAGACCAGGTACGTTTTAAAACGCAACCAGCTCACTCAGTACCACAGGAAGATAATGATCAGTAGCTTTCATTTGAATGGTCATACCAAAGGATTTCATCCACAGACTCAAATTTAGAACAAATAAACAGAACAACGTTGTCAGTAACATGAATAAACAGTACCAGACGGGAAAGTACAGCATGATAAACATCACCAAATAGTACTGTTTCATTTGAATGGTCACCACAGGATTTCATCCACAGACTCAGAAGTTAGAAATTTCATCCACAGACTCAAAATTTAGAACCACCTTGTACAACATAATAAACAGTACCACAGGAAAGTACGGCTTAGTAGCTTTTATTTGAATGTATCAACAGTTTCTTGTTATTTTTCAGGTGCCTGGCCTTGGTCATATCCCTAGCTTAGTAAAGAGTATGAGCTCCTCTAATGATGCCGTAATCAAATCTGCAGTTCAGGTTGTCTACACCCTGTCTTCTAATGAGGTACTGCTTGTGTCTCTTTAGTAATTTATACTTCTACATGAGAAATTTCTGCAATTTGATTGGCTTAGAGCAGTGGTATTTCAGCTTAATTTGAAATACCTACATGTGAAAATTACAAACCTTTTGTGGGTAGTAGTATAAACAAATAATAGCATGATTTGTACGTGAAATTTGGCATAAATACCACGAGTGATATTTCAAAATTGTCACAAATTACGGATAACAATTTTGAAATATCACTCGTGATATTTATGCTAAATATCACTACTAATCATGCTATTACCTATACAAACCATACTGGAATTTGTGATCTGACACGAAGAGGACAGCCTCAATGCCAGTGATGAACGATCCCCAAAATTTCTTTGTCTCCAAATTCGTAGTCGTCATTGTCGTCACGCAACACTTAGCTTCGTCGGAGAGTAGGCAGTATCAGTAAACAACGCGATGAAGGTAGACTCGCTTATGCATAAAAGGATTTCTGAACAACAGAATGACTGAAAAACGGCAGGGGCCAACACCAGGTGTTCGTCTTATACAGGTGTCCGTAAAGAGAAATTCGACTGTAGTTCACAATTAGTGAATTGTCAGTGATGCAACACTTTTTTGTGAACTTTAACAAAAAGAAGAACGTTTTGTTCATTCAACTTCATTCCAGATCTGTGTTCGAAGCATGGCGCAAGTCAGTGACTGTATCAGTCACATGATCAAAGGCATGGATGCGAGGCCAGATGTGGTGGGTGCGGCTTGCGAGGCGCTCCACAAAATGTTTGACAGGAATCATACAGAGCTAGTAGCACAGGTAAACAGTCACTTGTGATGCACTTAAATAACGAGCGAGTCGCCATTGACCACTCCAGAAAATACCATAACACACCATAATGCTCTTTGTTTCTCACCCCCCAAAATTTGCATGAGCATTGTCTTCAGTTTTTCTTGGGAGTTAAAATGGCCCCAAGAGAAACTGAAAACAATGCTTTTGTAAAAATTTTGGGGCGACAATCAAAAAGCATTATGGTATGTTATGGTATTTTCTGGAGTGGCCAATTACCTATTCGCCATTTTGGAAACGAGAGGGGAACTGGAACCGAAATGCATCCCGCAATTGTTTCTGGGTTCTTTACTTAGGACGCACTGATCAGCAATTGGCCAAATAGGCCATTCCTACGATAACGTCATTTTACTACTACGACCAGAATCCTTCAGGATTTTGCTTTCTTGTGCAAATTAGGGCTTTTGTTTTCGAAACCTCACTGGGAATACTAAATTAGAATATGAAAGGAGAAACGAAAAGGATTCTGGTCGTAGTAGTAAAATGACGCCATCAGACTAGTAACAGTCCCAGAAGTCTTTGCGAAAGTTAGCTCGTTCCAGTTTCCTTCTCGTTTTTAAAGTGGCGCTGCCAAAGTGATATGGGCATCCCCGCGTTTTGGGCATCCCAAAACCCTAGTAATACGGGTATCCCCTGTAACCCTAACCCAAATCGCTAAGGTAATATGAGAAGGGGATGCCCATATCACTAGGGTTTTGGGAATGGGGATGCCCAAAACGCGGAGATGCCCATGTCACGGTAACAGCGAATAGACGTGTATGTCAATACTAACGAGCCACTGATGTTCACCATTAACCCCTTAAGTCCCAAGAGTGACCAACATCAATTTTCTCCTAACAATATCCATACATTATAAAGAGAATAGGTTATGAGAATTGGTAAAATGATCACCAACGGGAAAAAATGCGTTGATCTTTCATCAAATTCTCTCAGCATCTTCTATAAGGAAATGTACGTAGATCGATCGAGAGAATTTGTATGTAGATATTGGGGCTGCGGAGACCAGCCTTCCGAGAGGTGTCTATCTTAGAGAAAGTTGAGTTCAAGATAAGCTAAAGAAACTAAGCTGAGACCAGCCAACCGCTGACCGGATGTCCACAGGGTGAGGTTCATCTTATAGGGAGTTTGGTTATTGATAAACATATAAAACTAAGCCAAAACCAGCCGCACACTGTATTAGTTTTCGGGAAGTTAACCGTAGATCTCTCTCCTCTTTGTAGGCTCTCTCGTTCGAGTTAGTCCAGTACCTTCTTAACCTCCTGAGTGGATCATTGAAAGCAGTGGAAAACCAAGCCGCAACTAAAGCACAGATTGTTAAGGCTCTGAAGGCGATGCTGAGAGACCTGACACACGGAGATGAGGTAAAGAGTGCTAATAAGCGTCAGTGTTTGCGCTTTGTCGGTCAAGGAGTTCAGGAGAGTCCCAGACGTGATCAGCCATAATGAACTGATTTGTTTGTCTGTCAACTTTCCCCGCTATTGTTTAGGGACTAGAAAATGTTGTTGGGTGTAAGGTGCCTGAGAGAGGCCTTAACTACACTGTTTTATTCATACTCAAAAGCGCTATAATATGTAACTATCCCCCAAAGGGGAGGTGTACAGCGAAAGATAATTAAGTGTCAAAATCTTTATAATGTAGAAATATTTTACAAAGTTGCGATGTAACTTGTGCCTTGACGCAAAATAAGGGCGGGACTCGCCACCATTCTTTTTTGGTCTTCCCGCGCTACGGACACCCACTTGATAAGGACATCTCATTTTCCCTAAATTCAACCCGCTTAATACGGACACTTTCTATGGACCCTGTCAGTGTCCGTATTAACGAGGTTTCACTGTAAAGCCTGGTTCTCCGACGTATGAGGACATAACGCCGCCGGCAACATGAAACATCGCTGGTCTTTACCGCCGGCATGCCTGCAAAGTTGAACTCGAGTCAACTTCGCAGGCATGCCGGCGGTAAAGACTGACATGGCCTCTGTTGCAGGCAACTTCGTTTCTCATATGGGAACGGTGTCGCAGGTAGCTCGGCAGCATATGAGAACCAGGCTTGAGCCTAGTCGTATGCAGGGCAAAGGACGGACGAAGAAAAATAGTATGTAACCGGTATGTAACCCTCACTTCTCTATTTTCTCAGGTCAATAAAGTCCTGGAGTCCTCTTCAGTGTGGGCCTCGTACAGAGACCAGAGACATGATCTATTCATATCAGACAAGCCCGCCGTGGCTGGGTACCTAACAGGGACCGCAGGAGTGGCTGGATACCTGACAATGGGCTCTGGTAACCCGAGCAGTATGTCCAGTGTACCCCCTCCTGTAGACACAGAACAGCCCGTGGAAAATAACAGTTAACATATGGTACCTGAATAATGCTGACCTAACGTCTGCGTTAAGGTGGTGTTAAGACAAGCGTGAACTAGGATGTATCGAAATAATGCAGATGACCTCGTGTTTGTACGAAGATTTGCCGAGAAAAAGCCGTACGTCGGTGGTACTACAAGGCTTTACCGAGCAGAATCGGGCTGTATGTCCGTAAACGAAAAGCGGGCATTAGCTCTGAAGTTTTCTTCAGAAAAGCACAGCGAAACATTCATTTGCTTAAGATTTTGGTTGATCCTACTGTCACCCTTATTTTAACACCGCCTTGCAATGGAATATCACGAAGAATTTTTTGTTAAGGATCAATGAATATCTGTGATTCCTTAATAATTTTAGCCGTGAATATCACGGATGAATTTAATGACCAAGTTGTCTCTGAAGCCAGGCGTCATTTTGTCCTCGCATTTGCATTTGTAATTTTATCATCTTTTTTTAATTAGCATCGTGTAAAGAGGAAATCAGGATGGCTTCATTTAGTTAAGAATGAAAACTGTAATTAATCGGGCGCCAAGACCCGCACACACGACGCAACATTGCGTGTAGTGGTTAAATTGCATAATGCGTCTTCCCTGAAATTGTTTCGGGCAATATTGCAGCAGTAGATTCTTCTCTCTCTACAACATTGCCCTCAGTATGTGTCATCCATCTTTTCAATATTAGGCTGATATAGCTAAGACAGCGCAACGTTGGATGAGAAGGCAAAAGTGCGCGGAAAGGACTGCACGAAACTTCTGGTTCTTAATTTGCTTGTCTGCTATTGGACGGGTCGTTTTTTAGATTTTTAAGAACCGTCGTTACTGTTGTCGTGTTGTCTTAGCTAATTATGCCTTCTACGTGTACTGGCAAGACACTACTTTCAACTTGCTGGCCTGAAACATCGCCTGTCGCACGCTACGAGGTAATCTCTTGACAAAAGTTGGGTCACGTGGTGTTACAAGAAGTAGGGCGCTTAAGCAATGACGACAACGACGACGGGAGCAAAAAGGTCGATAAAAAAATGAATTTGCGTCCTTTCAAACTTTTTGCGTCTATTTGAACTCGCTTAATTTGTCAAAAGTAGGCGATTTTTTTGTGGAGTTGAATTCTTAAGGACCTTATCAAAGTCCAAAAAAAAAAAAAAAAATTAGTCTTCGTATGTTCGCTGTAGAAGGTTTTGCGTCGTAGTCGTGCAGTGGACGTCAAAGAAATGTACTAAAAAGCGTGATGCCCGTGCAGAGCTGTTGCTTTGCTCATAAAACCAATTGTTTTTTGATGTTGTCGTCGTCGTGTTTGCTCAAGCTCCCCAATTGCCTTTTGGCCAGGTCCTTGTGTCTCAGTCCACCTTTAACCATTATTTTGTTATTGGGGAGTTTGATCCTGGCTGGAATAAACTCTTTTTTCTGATAACTCCTTGTCTAGCAACTTGTATATTTCCTTTTCTGATCAGTTAATGAGATTCGGAAACTCCTACAGCATCACGGAATTTGCCGACAACAGTCGTTTAGGACGGTTTCGGCTTAACAGAAGGCGGTATTTTGACAGTACTTGCGAGTTGTCCCCCCGACCAGTTCTACCATAAATTATACTTCTCAAGAAGGCGTTGATTAAGACCCTGTTTACATGGAGTGGGGGACCCCGGTTTAGTTGGGTAAGTTTCTTTTCTTTTGTGTCCCCCAGAGCGTGAAAACAACAGAAACCAACCCCACTAGACTGGGGTCCCCCACTCCATGTAAACAGGCCCTTAGTTTCTTTTCATCGAAGCGCGTTTTGTAGCTCATTTTCTTGTAGAGTGTTTGAAAATTACCACTTAATTAAATCAAAGGTAGCAATAGAATTAGATTAGATTTCTTTTTCTTTTTGTTCTCATTTGAACGAAGTGAATTTTGAGCTTAATGTGAACACGTCATTCTGTAATATAAACAAATTAGTATTGCCTTTTATATGAAATAGGACAGAGTAACGGAAAAATATATTTTATAAAAATAAGGCAACAGTGCAAATAAAAACTGTAACACTATCCTTTTGTTGTTTTACTAGCTTTTCGGCTATGCTTGTCTACTTGAGTTGTTAGCTTGTCATGTTCCTTTTCGTTAAACGTTTCTGGGAAATTGCCCGCCTACCCCTCAACTAAGCCATCATTAACACATACTTCTCACTTAGGGAAAAATGTTGGCTTATGGGAGGGGTAGGTGGGCAGTTTCCCGGAAACGTTTAATGATCCCTTTACCCAAACACAAAATGCCCCTGTAGAGTTATGACGAATATATCAAACAAATTTCATCAGGGAGCACTAACCACAACATTTTCTTTGGTGATTTTTACAGGCATACCAAAAGTTAAAACTTGGAAATGTTGGCTCAACTTTGTCAAGTTTTAATCCATGTTCATCTTTGCCATCCGTGGCCAACAGACGACAGGAAACAGTTTCAATATCTAAATACAGCCTTATAACAAATGTGTACCCTTTTTTTTGGAATTCAAGTGAAGCGAAGAGGGTTTAAGCTTTTTAAAAAGATAGCAAACAGCGAGACATAGCCCCTCTAGTTTCAGATCTCAGGTGGAAAACTCACAAGTATAGGACCAATCACGTCACCGCTGAGTTGCGGAAGCTCTGCCTCTGAGATGATGTGAATTCAGGTGTCCTCTGAAATATCCCAACTGTGAAATCCTGGAAAACCTCATCGTCTGATCGTGTAATGTTGGGCACTTGGACGATTTGGCCTTCTGTTCCCAAGTGGAGAGGACAGCATGCCATACGTATCGATAGTAATCGATATTGATCGACGATTAATATCGATTTCCGATATCAATCGATGGAAATCAATAAAGAAAAAAAGTTGTGACTTCGATAAATATCGATGATTTTCCGATAGAAATCGATAACAATTTTATCGATATCGATTTTGGAAGAATGCAAATTTTTCGACTATGTGAAAATGATATTTGGTAGTCTAAAAACCCTTCTTTTTCTATAAACAACATCATAAAAATACAATTCTCGGCCTTGTTCAAAGCAAAGCAGACTCGAAAGAAATTTTAATTTTTTTACCAAAATCATGGGTTAACTCCTTTGGAAAAATGTAGATTTTCCGATTATGTGAAAATGACATTGTTTGTAGTCAAATACATGTATGCAAGTCAGGTAGAATAGTAAAGCAGAATCAAAGTTAGGATTTGATAATTATAAAGGAGGAACGAAAGTCTAAGCCTATTTTAGCTAGTGCATGCACATGAACCAATGATATCATTCGTAAGAAGAGCTAAATACTTAGTAACATCCATCTGGACGATCTGGACATGATGCAGTTTGTGGTGATGTGATTATTTCTTCGCTGCCTTACAAATCATTTTCAGTCTCGTTTGCGTAAGCAATAAAAAACGTTTTCCAAAATACGGGTTTTTCACGCTTAAAATGTTAGCTCAAGCAAACATAAATGGACCCAGCATGTTTCTAAAGATTTTTCAAGTTTCAACCGACGAGGAAATGGGTAAATAAAGTAAACTTGTCGAGTTTTTCAACTCAAAATCTTTTTCAAACATTAGCGCGCGGAAAGCAAAACATCTTGACGTCACAACCATGCTTACATACTCTCATGCAAACACGCCTCTCGGCCAATCAGAGCGCGCGTACTATCTTAGTTATTTTATAAAATGAAATAAATTCGCAAAACTTTGCGTTACTTCCTATTGCCTCCAAATTTGGCGCACAAATAGATTTGGCTAGTTCCAGTCCCCGGTAGGTTATCAGCTTCACGCCACGATGTTTTGAACTGAGAAATGCGGCAAGGATTTTGTTGCGGGTTTTGCGAAGAACGAAAGCTTGCATAGACGAATTTTGACCAAATACAAGTGAAGCAAATTATTTTGAAGGATTCTGGAGGATAAGAAGCAAAAATCGAGGTGAGAAAACAGTATAGAGAATCTTTGCGTGCAACTCGCCAGCCATGTCTTCCACACATACTCTCTGATACTCTTCAAACGCGACGAATTCCTTCCCGCTTAGCTTTTTGCCTTCAAAGCCTTGCTTATTTTGATGACATTTATCAGTAAATTCATGTTTGCTTGTTGTTAACCCGATATTTCGATGAAAAACTAAAAAATAGAGCGTCTTTTAATTTGATGGTAGACTGCAAACCACGAGGTGTTGAATGCCCTTATGCTAATTAGCTTTAACCTCATTAGCATAATGTAACAGCGTAAGAAAATAAATTTGTAGAAAATTCCTAGTCGCTCTATATTTCCGAACGATTTTCGGGCTGTTTTGCTTAGATATTATATATCACACAAATAGTCCAAAACATCGGTTTTCCGGAAAAGTTTGAAAAAACGGGTCCAAAATGGACCACTTTTTCTCGGATTAAATTTTAAAATTAATTATGCAAAATGGACAGAAAGTTACATTCTTTAAAGAAATTATGCAGAAATATTGTTTTTTTTTTGTGGAATATTATGGGTTTCCTGAGGCCTTTTTTTAAAAATTTCTTATATAAGCTGAGTCTTAAGAATTGCCTTACTAGTTAAGAATGCAATTGGCAAAATACTGTATTTGTGTATTTTCATTTCTTAGTCTGGAAATGTCAGTTCCATCGTAATTTTAAGATCACGGTAAGGACTCAGTACCAGAAACGATTTTTACTGTGAAATCCTAGGGCTTGATACTAAGTAAAAGTTATACTGTGATAATAATGAAACACATTTAACCCATTCGCTCCTGGAGATTTTGCCGAAAAACGCGTTTTGAAGCTAGTCGAGTGGTTTTCTGGTCACTGTCGTGCTATAAAGAGCTAAAACTTACCACAACCCGGTTTACAGGTCGTACACTTGGCGGCCTTCTGATCCAGATGCAAAATATAAACTTATGGTTGGGGCATCGCAGAAAGCAAAATTTCGAGATAGTTTTTGGGTTTAAAAGTGACACAGCAGTCTTGACTTTTACTTTTCGCTTTCTCTCCTCCCTTCTTTTTTTCGCTTTTCTTGCCTCATTTTTTTTTTTCTCTTGCTGGGCATTTAGTAGGCTTCATTTTGGTGGGAAGAATTTTTAGGAAAGCTTTTAGGATCTTAGGATTAGGTGAAAGGAAAGGTAGGTGGGTAATGGAACAACATTTTCATGGAGATTTTCAGGTCCTTGTCACGTGGTTTGTTGCTTCTTTCTCCGGTGTCTTTGACTGAATTGTGCTCATTCTGGTATGGTTTGAAAGATCTCTTCACTCTGCACAAGTTAGCGAAGAAAGTTGTCCTTGACCGTTAAAACTGATGACGTCACAAAGGGTAGAAAGGACCTGGATCCGCACGGGCGGTTACGGGTGGTTCAGGGGCGAATGGGTTAATTTTCCAGAAAAATGTCTGTGCGTGGCAAATTGAACATGCAGCACGCAGTGTAATCCTCTGAGGCCACTGCACCAGCATGCAAACCTGAACCAAACACTTCTCTTAATCAGCAGAACTGGTAGGTAACATTGCAAGACCCTGGCTGCTACTGGATAATGTTATCTTGAAAACAAATTTGCTGTTAATGCCTTGATACCAAGCAGAATGCATGATGCAAATTTTAAACCATTCGCTGTATAATAAACAGTGAAATAGACGAATTTTTGTATTTATGTATAAGTTGTAGTAAATTTTTTATCTCGGGTAATTTTTGGCTTTCTTTCCTTTTAGGGCATGGTAATGTTTGCTAATAAAGTTGAAACAAAAAGGAAAAATAAAAATTACCGTAGAGATTAAAAATTAGCTACCAGGAACCTTGCAAGAAGCACATCTTATTTATTATTGTGTATTTCCAGAATATATCCATACCCCCCAATCCCCCTGGAATTTCCATTGTACACTGTAGGGGGTGCTTGTCATAGCCCCCCACCCCCCTTGAATTTCCATCATACTCTGTAGGGGGTGCTTGTAATAGCCCCCACCCCCACCCCCTGGAATTTCCGTAAATTTTCAACCTGGTTGGGTACCCTCTGGAAAGTATATTTGTGTCAAAAATATTGTTGCACTTTATTATTGTACGCAAAAGATAATTTTTCTGCAGCAATAAGGTGTCTAATAATTTCAAGGACTTTCTTAGCTAATAATTAACCATATATAGGGGCGATACCTACACTACTGACTACACAAATAATGCCATTTACAAAAGAACCAGTTACATTCAAACTTACCTGGTGAATGTTCAATGCTTCATTTCAGTTAGAACATGTCACTTCTCACTTAAGCCAAAATGTTGGCTCAGGGGAGGGGTACAGAACCTAAATCGATTCAGATACTATCGAAAAAGCATTAAGCCAAACGTAGATAAAAGTTGATCAATGTAAACAAATTATAATACTCGTTTTGAAACACCAGTAACAGTGAAATAACTGATAACTTTCTCAACAGAGCTGTTATTTAACAATTAGTCGCCGAAGGCGTCATGAATATTGGTAAATAGTCACTGAGACAAGGTCGAGGTGACTATTCGCCAATATTTATGTTGCCTGAGGCGACTAATAATTGTTTTAGTATAATTACATTGATGATTATTCGAGAAAATAAAATTATTGGTCAATTTCCGACTCCAAACATCAACAAATCTGGCTGCTATTTTGAAAACTGGTATAGCGGGATGAAGCAAAGCTCCTAGCCAATCATAGTGCTCTATTTTCGATAATCATCAATGTAATTATACTAATTATTGATAACTCACCAATCTCACTCAGAACCCCTTGAAAAAGACTTCTGTAGCAAGCCTCCACTCCCTCGGAAATTGCCTCCTTTTGGACCCCCTAATCCCCTTAGAATTTCCATTCCCCTTCCTGGGCAGAGGGAGGGGTATGGATATTTTCTGGAACTACACATTGCACTTACCAATATTAGACCGTAAGGGGAAAAAATAGAGTTTTAAAATTCTGTAGGCAAAGCAACCTTCTTCACAGGACAGAAATTATACAAAATACAAATGCAAATCTTAGAGTGTCCCCCTTCAGGGTGCTCATTGGCTACTGATGCAGTAACTGTACATTAA